CCCAAAAATAAACACAGCCACCCCCGGCGCCGGTGGGAGGTACTTTGTACATGGGTTTTCTTTTCGTGTGCATTATTTCCAATATTCTGTCCGTTTGCCCTGCGCTGAAGGTGGGCATATCTCGTCCCGCTCGCCGACACGGCCGGAAGATTTAGCGATCACAATGGGGAAATAATGGGCCTGAATCTGGCCTCAGTGCATGTCGTCTCGCCGCCGTCAGCCGTAATCTCGCACATAGTCAAGTAGCCTACTGGCCCGCCGTCATGATGCAACTTGTCGATATCAAGTATAGTTTGCGTGAAACAAGTTCGTTGAGCGGCATCGCCACCTGCAACCTCAAGTGGACGACCGAACGTTCCTCATTGCCCTGATCTGGCATGGCACTTTCTGCGGCGTTGCCACAATTGGATATCCTTCGCTTTGACCAGCTCATCGTGAATGTTTGGTTCTTCAGCCGTGAGTGCTCACGTGCTCTGTCGTGAGGCCAGTTTCGTGCCATCTAGAACTGCTCGCAGAAGGCTAGCACAAGTACCCGTGTTGAATTTGCCAGCAAGCTGCAGGCGATCTCATCACGGACCAAATCGGTCGCGGTAATACGGAGAGTGATGAGAAAAAGAGAGCAGGTCAAAGTAAGCGGGTTGAACTCTGCGTTGAAGCTTGCATGAGCGTTCAAGTCCATCCGAACTTCGCAGCGAGCCAACACGGCCATGGCCAAGCTGAATACGGAGCAAGCAGATACTCTGTTGGCTGTACTGTCCACTGTTGACTTACATCGCCGCAGAGGGAGACATCGGACAAAGCAAGTTGAGACTTTCCTAGCCTTAGCGTCCCAGGAGTCAGGTCTGGCGCCGCCGTCTCATCCCTCCTTAGCGGCGGTACCATGGCTTTGCGCCGTCCTTGTCAGTCGGGCCCACGGGCTCTACTTGCACCTGGGCGTTCCAGAAGCTCTGCTCTAGTAATCTTGTTAGCGTGGTGTATTTTTTTTGATAATATTTCTTATTTTGCTGCCACACAAAAAAAAGGGACTTTGTACCTGTGGCTAATTAGCCGGCCACCCGTTGCTCATCTGATAGTATATGCAGGTAGAGACCATGGACGAACCCCTGTTCGCGCCACTCATCGGGGCCACGCCGCTGCTTTAAGGACCACAGAGATTCTCAGATTGCGGTGCCTACTCACTAAGTGAACCCCTGTGAGTAGTCATCCGATTTATCCCTCTGCAGAGTAGACCGACCGCATTTCCATGCCGTCGTACGTTGAAGATGCCGTTGGCTTCCCGACATTCGCGATAATCAGTGTCTCTCCTCCAGATTCTGGTGCTTTGTCGAAACGTCATCGTCTCATGAATGTTGTCAGCGACTTTCTTTGTCGGCCGCAGAGCATTTCCGCAACCGGCAACCCGATGCAAATTCTTTGTCCAAATTGATCTCTCTGGTATTGCCGCTGATGTTCGCCGGAATTGACGAGCCGATCAGGCGGTTGCAATTTTGCATATGACGAGGCACGATAAGAATCTTTTGTAGACATGCAAAGCCAGCCGCAGCCGCAGCCGCAGCTGCGTGGCCCGTCCGATGCTTAGAGCCTGGCCCCATGTGGAAGACCCTCGAAGAGCGTAGCTTCTCAACAGGGCCCATCTTGATGCGGCAACTATTGGGTGTCCTAGTGGTTTGATAGCGCGGGTGGTTCTTTTCGGCCAGCCAGCCAGAGCTGTCAACATGCGGACTCGGGAAAGCTGAATAGGCATCGTGCAACCTTTGGCGTTGCTCATCCTGAATATTGGGGAGACTGCCAAGCCAGTAGCTTGGAGAGATGGGAGTACGTGGATTCGAGACTACTTTTTTTTTTGACCGTTACCCTCGACTCAGCTCCAAGCCAGGGCATCTTGAGACCAGACTGGATGCGTTCATGGCCCTGGCCAAGATAACGTTTTTCGAGGGGTTTTGGTACAAGGGGTAGAGACCGAAAAAATCAGAGTTGATGTGTGACAAAGACGGTGTCACCTCCAAGGCTGAAATCCCCAAGTCTGACGAGCATCGAACCCCTCGACGGTTGTCCCCCCCAGAGGTCTCAGTTCCAACTGCAGTGAGGTGTACATTTCCGACTCGAAATGATGTGGCGAGGCTGATAATTGGGTTCAACAGCCGCGAGACGAGATGTATTAGGGCGCAGCCCAGCAGCGTGGGAAGCCGGCAGTGGCAGCCGCGAGCCAGGCCGGCCGACATGCCGTAGTTGGTCCTATTGATATCTCGGTATATCTGACTCGATATGGGCAGCCGGGCAGGCGCTGACGGGGCGGGAGCCATGTGTCAGGGGTGGCGGGCACCATTCTCTGCGTGGTTATCAAGGGCCGCAGACTATATCCGTAGCGGGTTGGGCGAGAAAGAGAGAGTGCTTGCGCAATCTGGCTGATATGGCATGAGGTTCGGAAGGGTGGCTTGGCTGAATCAAAGGCGTTGACTAGTGCCAATGGCCATGAAGTGTTTCGTCTTGGAGGGCAGCGGTGCAAACATGCTTCTCAGGTGTAGGGCAGCACGGGATATCCGGTGGACGAGGTCGACCCAGTACATCGGAGAATATGATGTACGGCAGCAGGAAGTACGGAGCAGGGTTCGCAGGGCTCCTAGGTAACGGCGGGAATATCGTCACGGCATCGGGAGATGGGCCGATGGCGATGGGTTGCACGGATTGTTGTTTGGGTCTGACAGTAGGGGTCGGTCAATGTCGATCCCCAAGTCCCGAGTGAGCGGCATCGCGGACCCGAACCGTGGGTTTGGTTCTTTGGCGATTCTAGCGAGGACGAGGTACGGCATGTTGGAGATGTCGCCGCGTAGAACCTCATCGGCAGTGTTGAAAGAAACGGCCTCTTGGCGGCGAAATGCTCAAAATCTGCATGGCGAGGCTAGACAGCCTAGCTGGGCCACGGGTAAAAATGGCAGAGCGCCACCCTGGTAACCGCGCACAGGACGAGGTGAGGTGGTGAGGTGCTCTTGGACGACCTGGAAGCTTGACGACGACGACGACGAACAAGCCGACGGCCACCAGCCGGGCGCGACTGCCTCCGGGCCTGCCTAGCTCATCCGAGCTCCACTTCTGGTCCCATCAGACAGGGAGGCACGGGCCAGGCGACGGCTCAGGCTCAGGCACAGTCGGCGCTAAGGTCGCTAAGGCAAGGTAAGCGGGGGCCAGCAAGCACCACATGTGAACCTTCACACCCCCTGACCCCTGCTCCTCCCATTCGTTTCCCTCGAACGTCCCACACACCCACTGGATTGAGTGTCGATGATCCCTGTTCACTGTTCCTTGCACCTTCCCGTTCAGCACTCAGAGTTGACCCTTGTCCCTTGGCAGCCACGATGCGATGTCAGACAACCACGCCCCTCCCTCCTCCCAAGACCTCGACTATGACCCTTGTCCTGCCTGTGTACCTACCTTACCAAGTGTAGGTGGACTTACCGTATCCGGGCATCATGGCCATCCGGCGCATCTGCGTTTTATTTTTCTCATGTTTTCTTTCACTCTTTATTTTGCCTTGGTGTTTTCCGCAAGCTAGCCCTCTTCAAGCTACGCTCTCAATCTCCACTGTTGGCTGCTGGCTGTCCCCTCTGCACTGCAGCTCATCGCATTAAACACACCTGGCACCCTCGCTCATTTCCACCACGAAACCCGACGAGAGGGACTCACATCATCCTGCTTTCCTAGACAGCGTCTTTCTTTTCTCTGCCCCCTCCAATCCCTCCCTGAGGTGCTCTCACTCTCTATCGGAGCCATCCTCCACACGCCCCCTTGTGTTCTTTCGTTTGCACAATCCCGGCAGAAACCCAGTCAGTCCAGTCAGTCCAGTCAGTCCAGTCAACCAGTCCACCACGGCGTGGCAACCAAACCATCCCGAAGATCGTCGATTTCGTCCCGTCTGTCAACCACCAAAACTCTCCAGGCAGGGCAGCGCCCCGGCATATTCGAATCGAATAGAGTGAAATCTCACTCCCCATCGTCATCATCATCCCGGCTCGCTTCGTTTATCCTCGCCTCGCCTCGCCCGGCCTCGCAAAAAGGTACAGTACCCGCCACCACACCTGTCCGCTCTCACGGGAAGTCTCCCATGCCATGCCATGCCATGCCATGGTTGCATCTGCAGCCAGCTCAGCATGCTGCCTGTCCTCTCCCTCCCATTCACACCCATCCTCTTCCGTGAACCACGCCCAAAGCCCCAATATCCCCTCCCCGTCCTACCTTGCCTCAGGTCGGGTACCTTGGTGCCCTCCTAAAGATATCCTTGATCGCCTGTGGCCCTTGCTCTGGCGTGCCTAAGGTAGTGGATGGCTCCAAGGTCCAGCAGCTCTTAGCTTCAGCCAGCTCCAAGCAGCTCTAGACCCGGCCCCTGGCCGAAGGAGGATTTTCCCTAATCACCTCCCCCACTCACCCAACACTGACTGCACTTGCACTCACTACCTCACCTTACCACAACCGCCATCGCCTTTTCCTCTTATCCACCGGCCGCTCTGCCTGAGAGACGGGCTGACTGCGCTATCCGCCCTGCTATCCCTGATCTCTCTGGCGAGGCTCGTCCACGCCTTGCCCGATTGGCCCTCTCACTCTTCCTTGCCCGTACTCCTGCGCCTTCGTCCCCTCATTAACCTTCACATCTCCTCCCTCGTCCTCTTCCATTGACTTGGCTCTCTTCCCTTTCTCTCTCCCTCGAGATCGTCTTCCAGACTAACCCTCAAGGCGCCTTCAATAGAGACCAGAGGTTCGCACTCTTCAAGAAGTGCCTCCTCACCGGCTTGTCGCTTGCCAAACGGTCCACATTCCTCGACTCGACATCAACGAGATTCGACAACCGCCGCCTTCGTCAATGGTAGCCTGAAACTCCAACTTACAATCGCTACTCTACTTGCTCGGCTCCACTTGGAAGCCCGTTCACTCGCTATCTCAGTAACCCAGTCTGACTTCGACTTCACTTGAACTCGAACACCTCGTCAGTTCGCCCCAACCTCATCAACATGGGCATCGGCGGCTACTTCAAGGCCGACAAGGCCGAAGCTCCTCGCGGGGCCAGTCCGCCAAACCGCACAAGTCAACCCGCCGTCTCCGAGAAGGGTCATTCCCACCAGGGAAGCTCCAACGACATGGAGCTCCAACCGCCCACTCCTCGCTACAACTCCCGTCCCCAGTCCATTTCAGGCCGTTCAACACGCTCCAACGGCAGCTCCATGTTCCTCGACGACATCAAGCATGAGGTCATGGTCAACTACCTCTACCAGCAACAATGCTCTCACTTGTGGGTCAGCGACGGCTCTGGTGAGATCGAGGGTGTCCTTCTTCGAAAGGCCAGGGGCCAATACATGGCTTGCCCACCGCAACTGGGCAACTCGCCCTTCGCCCTGGCCTGCGCCGCTCTCAACGTTCAGTGCGCCATGACAGTCAACTCTCGTGTCATCAAGACCTTCCTCCAGTGGACGCCCGACGCCGTCGACGTTCCCCTGATGAATGGTCTGAGGGTACAGATTCTCCCCACTATCGAGGACTTGCCAAGAGCGAGAAAGCACCAGTTCGCCGCCTTTGTCGCCTCAGAAGGCCTTCTCATTGTTTGGGACGACGATGCCTTGCATCTGGTTCAGAGAGCCAAGGCCATTGAGTCGGAGCTCATGGAGCTCGTCTGGAAGGCCGGCGCTGAAGAGGAGGAGGGTGACGAAAAGAAGGGCCCCACTGTTGCCGACTACGAGATCGACGAGGAGAGTGGTGAGATCAAGCCCGAGAAGCGTCCTGTCCACCTTCTCAACACCTACCTGGTGTCCATCACTCTGGTTCTTGTCACCGTCTCCCTTGGTGCTGCTTGGAGACAGCTTGCCATCGAAGTCTCTGTCGACGGCGATTATCTTCGTCTGGCTCTCGTTGCCCTCTTCCCGGTTCAGATCTTCTTCACTCTCTTCTTCGCCCAAGTCATTGTCGGTTGCTTGGCTCAAATCTTCGGCCCCATCCGTCAGTTGACCATCAACTCCAAGTTCTACTCCGCACGCCCTCCCCCCAGACTGCAAAGCTCGATCCTGCCTCACATCACTGTCCAGTGCCCTGTGTACAAGGAGGGTCTGGGTGGTGTCATTGCTCCCACAGTCAAGTCCATCAAGCAGGCCATGTCCACCTACGAGCTTCAGGGTGGTTCTGCCAACATGTTCATCAACGATGACGGTATCCAGTTGATCTCTGAGGAGGACCGCCGCGCCCGTATCGAGTTCTATGCCGATCACAGCATCGGTTGGGTCGGTCGTCCCAAGCACGGCGAGGATGGTTTCGTTCGTCGCGGCAAGTTCAAGAAGGCTTCCAACATGAACTACGCCCTCATGATCTCCAACAAGGTCGAAGAGAAGCTCCAGCAGATCAACCGCCCCAACGAATGGACCCAGCACGACGAAGCCCAGGCTTACGAGATCGCCCTCAAGGAGGTCCTCGAGGCTGATGGCCGCGCGTGGGCTGACGGTAACATTCGTGTTGGCGACTACATCCTCATCATTGATTCCGATACTCGTATTCCTGCCGACTGTCTGCTCGACGCCGTCTCTGAGATGGAGCAATCTCCTGATGTCGGCATTATGCAATTCTCTTCCGGTGTCATGCAGGTTGTCCACACTTACTTCGAGAACGGTATCACCTTCTTCACCAACCTAATCTACTCCGCCATTCGTTACACGGTCTCCAACGGCGATGTTGCTCCTTTCGTCGGTCACAACGCCATTCTCCGATGGACAGCTATTCAACAGGTCGGTTACTTCGATGAGGACGGATACGAGAAGTTTTGGTCCGAGTCTCACGTGTCTGAGGACTTCGATATGTCTCTTCGTCTCCAGTGCAACGGCTACATCATCCGGTTAGCTGCTTGGGCCGGCGAAGGTTTCAAGGAAGGTGTCTCTCTTACTGTGTACGACGAGCTGGCGCGTTGGGAGAAGTACGCTTACGGCTGCAACGAGCTGCTCTTCCACCCCATCCGCACCTGGCTCTGGAGAGGCCCCTTCACCCCGCTGTTCCGCAAGTTCCTGTTCAGCAACATCCGTTTTACCTCCAAGATCACCGTCGTCTCGTACATCGGCACCTACTATGCCATTGGCGCCGCCTGGATCATGACTTCAGTCAACTACTTCCTCATGGGTTGGTACAACGGATACCTTGACAAGTACTACGTCGACTCGTGGCAGGTGTGGTTCTCCATCATCATCGTGTTCAACGGTCTTGGTAACGTCGCTCTTGCTGTGATGCGCTATCGTGTCGGCGAGAAGGGCTTGCTCTGGGCCTTCTTCGAGAACATCAAGTGGACTTTTCTGCTTGCCATCTTCCTCGGTGGACTCAGCTTGCACGTCAGCCAGGCTCTGTTGGCTCACATGTTCGAGATTGACATGACTTGGGGAGCGACGTCCAAGGAGGCCGAGTTCTCCAACTTCTTCATTGAGGTTCCCAAGGTTTTGAAGAAGGTGAGTTCATTTAATCAGCTCCCCCCTCAGCTTCGTCAGCTTTTGGTGGCGGTGCCCCCACATTCCTGTGGCCACCCTCGCCAATCGCGACGCGCTCGCAGCGCCATGCTGTGTGTTGTCCGTCTCATTCGAGCAATTGCTGACTTTATTTTTCAATAGTTCAAATTCTCCATGCTCTTCTCGTGCATTTTCATTGCCGGAATGATCATCCTGGCGGTTGCGCCTTTCGTTCCTTACGACTGGCGCATCACCGACTTCGTCGCCATCCTCCCGATGGCCACCGTTTCCGCCAGTCATCTGCTCCTGCCCATTGCCCTCAACCCCGCTCTCATGACCTTCTCGTGGTAATTGATTTATCACGGAAATCTGTTTGCGCGTAATTTCTATTTTGCATGGGCCCTACGCGGCGGTCGATATTTGTACAGTCTCAACAGCGGGCATTGAGGAGTTTTTCCACATCGGTATAGACATTGGATGGAGTTGCAACAGGATTGATACCTAGACTTACAGCTTGAGCACATCATGACATGATCAGTGGGGCTCTTGTTTCTTTCTCAAACTGGATATGACGCAAATATTTCTCTACTTATATTTAAAGCTTAATCTCTTTCATGACGAGTATGGTGGCTGGCAAAGCCGGCAAGGGAACAGGAATCGGACGACGGGACTGGGAATGAACTGGATGACGGTTATCATAGGTCGCCCTGATGATGGGAATTCGTTCTTTCGCACAACATAGACAAAATTACCACCCATCAAACTCGCTTCTTCCATTTCACGTGACCAGCCTCCTGGGTAGTGAACCATATACTCAAGCGGTAAGTAACCTCACTGTCGGCGGTCCTTCGACTATGGGAGTACCACAGTTCTATGCATCGCATCTCAATGCTGGTTCATAAGTAAAATATCCACGATCCATTCAGCTGATAGCCCGCACAAATTAGACTTTGCTCCATCCCTGACTAATCTTTAGTGATCATAAAAGCGATAAAGCTATCGTCGTTAGTCAGACGGGCTCCTGCCGACAGCGTACTGCATGAATATCTCCAACTCTGTCCTGCGCCTCTGCTTGCGACCGAGTATTTCTCTATCAATACTCATCCGTCCAAATCGGGGCCTTTTCTCTTATTCCGTCTTCTCGTCTCTCACACGCAGCCTGTCTCCAACGATGAGGTCTCCAATTGCTGGCTGTCAGAGGCAGTCGTGAAGGTCCACCTTCATCAAGGACGATCATTTTCCGGGGAAGAGATGTACTTGAAGCGGCACCGAGGCATTTAATCGATATTACACCTTGCGGCTACGGCTCACATGTGCCGTCAATTCTCCCGGGTGCCTCTCAACACACGAAATGAGGTTCTCTTGCGCAGGACTTGTATCCGTATATATATGCCTTCCACTGTCTCCTTACAAGGTTTTACCGACCCCCGCAAATACCGGTCGGCTTCTCATTGGGTTCCATAGCCTGGATGAATAAAATGATGATAGGAAAATGAAAGGCGCCTTGTAGCTCTTGCTGGATTCTAAACCAAACATCTTTCTGCTTGCCATCGTCCCCTGAGTATGCAACCATGTTACAGACCTTAAAGGCGAGCCATGTAAACGCTTCGATACAGGGAACTGGTCAACATTTACCTTACGGCTTATGACAGTCTCGAAATGACTTGCGAAGGTGGTCTTCTTCGATTTGTCCCATCCATTCCTGCAAGACGTTGGGGTCTAGGCTATGAGTCCGCCAGTGACGGCATGTTCTGCGGTCTACGCAACTGTGAACATCTCATTTCATGTATAAAAGCCCAATGGAAAACATTCTTTGGAGAGTAAAAGGACAATGATGAACATTGCCGTCTTGTAGCTTTGAAATTTTAATTTTAAGGGCCTTTCTACCCAATGCGCTTGCACGAGGGGGGGTTTGTTGAGGCGATATCTTACCTGTCAAGAAGCAGGGAGTTTTCCCTGCCGTCTCTCATTGCCTCTAACTTTTACTCATAGTTGTATTGAGTATCTTCTTCCGAACCTGACGATTTGAGAATTATGGACATCAAATATTGGAAGCATGATCGACTCCGAAAACTCCAAGTGAGTAGCTAGCAGAACATAGTCACCCTCAATTACATCTGCCCTTCTGCTAAAGTTTGTGTATGGATATGAGTGTGGTCTTTAAAGAAGGATTTGATACCTGCTTAGAGGCGACATAGCATGGCGATGTTTGTAAGCTGCCGTCGCGGCATCATTTTATGATGGTTACTCCTCAGACTACGGAGAGTCATGGCTATATATTCCAACGCAAACTATATTCTGATGATCTGGTCACCAATCGAACGTTTCCTATACGAGTTGCTTCAATTTGCTGCGAATATCAAAGCGCGAACAGTTCTGAGTACGGGGCGGCTTCAGCTCGGAAGTAGCAGGTTGATCCTTTTTATGATTCTTAGGACATCTACTATAAAGGCAAGCTTTCCATTGTAGTCTGTTTATCCATTTACAATACGCTAGCAGTGACGAACCTGTGCCGTCAGTAGGAGGCGTTGGGGGCACTTCTGACGCGATGATGGAGTCCAAGGTCTTTTACATGCTTTACTACTATGTTTGCCATGCTCAGAGTGCAAAGTCTCTTTCTGATGAGATGATCTGTGCTTTTTTGAACCGTATTACTGAGCTCAGTCTTTTCTTATATGCCCATCTGCTACATAGGGTCACCCCCGAAGGGTCTTGGAAAGCTGAACCACCAGATCATGTTGCACGTGGAAGCTTTGAACATTCAAAGATGAACATTCAAAGCTTGGTTAAAGATTGGGAGTTCATATAAATTGGATTGAATCATCTCCAAACTGGGTCATCAATTATTAAGCCGGAAGTTATTTCCTCTTCACGCACATGTCAGCAACCGAGCTCACTCAAGATGAAAGGCCGTCCCTGTACAGGCTTTGAATGTTCCTGTCTTCCCAGGCCTCAAGATTCCTGATATCGTCTCTGGTACTTGGTATCTCTCATGTTTGAAGGAGAATACGTCGACAACGCCACGACCTACAAGATCGCTCCTGCTGCTCGTACCCAGCAGCGCGAATGCTGCAGAATTCCGGGGCTTTCGATAGACCCAGGCTCAAAAAGACAATAAAGAAAAAAGTCGAAGCCTGTCATTGGCCTGTGGCTGAGGTCAAAAAGTCTTGAGAGCCTCAACTATGTTCCCTTAAATATGATTCGGGGTGACCGAACCCTTCTTACTGAAGGCAGGCTATATCGGCCCTGGCCCAGTTGTTTATTTAAGAGCTACCAGTGAGGATGACACTCATTATGGACGAAGATCGGAAATGACAGGCAGCCATAATTCAATCTTTCAATGGCTTTGCTAGCAGCCGAGGAATGGTCAACTCCCTGACAAGCGTCGATTAACTGGGCACATGGCTGCTGGTCTCGTACCCTCGCTTACTTCCGTCGACTATTCTACTAAAGCCATCAGATAATAAGAGAAGGAAAGTGAGAAATTTCCGTGATCTGGGATACTTCTTCATTAGGGATGGCAGGAGAAGGGGGATGGGAGATTTGTTAGACTTACCAGGGTGTTTGGGCACGCGCTTTGGAACTAATAGCAGCTAGAACCCAGCCTAATTGCTTGAGAAATTTGAAAAGAAACCGGTATTTCCAGAGACTTCAAATCATGCGAGGAGAATGCCAAGCCACTTCGAAGACACGCGGAAGCTTTTACTTCCATCCCCCACCTGAAGTTGATTGAAAAGCAGCGTCCCGGCCGCTCTTGGAAAACAGGAAGGGCAAGCGCAGTAAACTCTTGTATGGCATCTGTTGTTATAGAGAAGCAAGAAATGGCTGGAAGGTGTCGACGGAGGAAGCTTGTGGTTCCGGTTGTAGTCTTGCCAATACTTTACCACGCCACCCTGTTGATGAGGTTGAATACCACGCCAGAGAATCAAGATAACAGTGAGGAGGAGCCACTACTTCACATAAGAGAGGCTTGGGAGAGGCCAGGCACATATGGATCGGACATCGATAATACCTAGCTTCTTGCCTGCGTGACAAGGGGTTGAGGCCGAGCATTGTGGCAATCGAACTTGAAAGCACTGGGGAACCCCTTTTATCGATTTTGGAACCGATCACGAGTGTCAATAATGCGCTAATTTCGACCATGGGAGCAAACGGCCGCATTCACCAATAAACACATGAGAAAAGACATTTAGATAAGGTGACTGATCAATTCGTTCCATCGTTCGAATAGCTCTAGGGTGTCTCTAAAACTAAAGAAATCAACCCGCCCATCCCAATCCGTCTATATGCAGAACGCCTCTATAGATACCCTTCAATCCGTCTAAAAGCCCGGAGAGGGCCCAGGGTAGTCTTTGCTCTATCGCTGTCTCCTCCACTACTGCTGGTGGTGGTGCTGCTCTCTTGCCCACTCACCAAGCGTCCCAATAACCATTGCAATCAAATCAAACCCATCAAAATCACTTTTTTCCCGGCAGATCGTCTAGACAAAAAGAGGGGGCATTTCATCATATTACCGTCGCAAAAGAAAGCATTTACTCCTCATCGTCCGTGTCGGGAGGGTGGGGCGTTCCCTTGGGGCTGTTGAGCCACTCAATGTGGCGCAGGCGGCGACGGACCTCCTGCTCCTTGAGCTCCTTCTTGGTCTTCTTCTTCTTCTTGCGAGCCTTGAACTTGAGCGGTTCCTCGGCGTCCGAGTTGACGGCGCTGTTGACGGCGGACGAGGCGGCGGTGGAGGCGACCGTGCTGGGGACGCCGCTGGCGGGGGCGCTGCTGTCCTCGAAGGAGCCGAGGTTGATGGCGGCGTTGCCCTTGAGGGCGACGCGGCCGTCGTTCACGTGCCACTGCTCGGAGCACAGGGCGCCGACGAACTCTTCGTTGTGGGAAATGAGGATGACACCACCCTTGAACTCACGGATGGCGACGGCGAGACCGCCGAGGGAGTCGCGGTCCAAGAAGTTAGTCGGCTCGTCGAGGACGAGCAAGTGGGGGTTGTTCCACATGGCACCGGCGATGACGACCTTGACCTTCTGACCTCCGGAGAGGGAGCCGATCTCGTTGTGGTTGGCGATCTCAGGGTCGAGGCCGAGGTCCTCAAAGTGCTTGGAGATGACGGTGGGCTGGAGCTCACGGTAACCGAGACCCTCGCGAGAAGCCTCGTGGTCGTCAAACTCCTGGACGAGCTTGTCGAAGCCCCACTCAATAAGGGTCTCACGGGAGACCTGAGTGTTGTGCTTCGGGAGCCAGCCGCGCCATTTGCTGTCGAGTGTTAGTGATGAAAGGGGGTGATGAATGACCACGGAGATTACTTACACTTCGTACTGGAAGGTCTTCTTGTACTTCTGACGACCGACAAGAGCCTCGATTTGACGCTCAGACTTGCCGTCCTTGAGGTCAATCAGCTTCTCCATCTGGGCCTTGTCCTTGTCGGAGAGGATGCGAGTCTGCTTGAGGAAGACTTCACGGTCGTCACCGTTGGCGTAACGCCACTGCAGGTACTGGTTAGGCGTCTTCTCGAGATGCATCTCGACGTGCTCAAGAGCATGCTGCTTGATGTAGCCGATACGCAGGTTAGGGTGCTTCTCGACTCTGCCGGTGGTGGGGATGACCTCGCCCGTCAGGATCTTGATGAGAGTAGACTTGCCCGCACCGTTAGGTCCGATAATGGCCACACGGGAAGACAGGGTGAGCTGGCAGGTAACCTCCTGAAGAGAAGGCTTGGGTGCCTTGGGGTACTGGTAAGAGACGTTGCTCATGCGGATAATGGCACGAGTGTTGGACTTGACACCAGTCAGGATACCAGGAGGCGGGAACTTGAACTGGACCATAGAGGCGGAGAGCGTGTAGTAGCTCTTGGCCTCAGGACGAAGCTTGACGAAGTTGGCCAGGTTACCCTTGTAGCAGGCGAGCTTCTTGTTGGGCTCGTAGTGGTAGATGTCGGTCGTGACGTTGTCGAGGAAGCCAGAGTCGTGGGACACGATCAAACTGGTGATGTCGGGGTGAGTCTTGAGGTAGGTCTCGAGCCAGGCAATGTTGGCAACATCCAAGTGGTTAGTAGGTTCGTCAAGCAACAGGACATCGGCGCCCTTCAGCATAGCACGAGCCAAAGCCAACTTCATTTTCCAACCACCAGAGAGCGAGCCGACCTTGTGCGACTGACGGCCATCAGGACCGTCGGTGAAGCCGAACTCCGCAAGAACCTCGATGACCTTCTCGCGACCGCGAGCCTCGATCTCGGGATCCTTCAGGACGAAGTCCAGAATGCTGATGTCGGCATCCTCACCCTGGTTGTGCTCAACGTAAATGGTACGGAGGACGTCCTGAGGGGGGAAACCCTCAAGCTTGCCATTGGCAATACTGCGCATGAGCGTAGACTTGCCGGCACCGTTGCGGCCGCAAAGACCGTAACGGTGACCCTTGAGGAGTCTGAGGTTGGCGTGAGAAAGCAGCAGCATACCACCGTACGCGAGAGAGAAGTGGGCGTTGACGATCTCGGTCTCGCCATCGTCCTCCTTCTCGGGGACACCGAACTTGCGCTCGTCCTCCTCGACGTAGTGCTTCTGAACGGCATCGGCGACGGCAGTATGGGCGTCAGCAGTCTTCATCAAAGACTGGAGGTAGGGTGCAATTCTGGCGGAAATGCGTCTGACGAAGCGGTGGTTGACATTCTCGGCGACCTGGTCGCAGATGTAGGGACGAGCAATCTTGTAGACGTCGAGGTGGCCAGCAAGACCGCCGTTCTTCTTAATCTCGGCGTCGAGGATCTTGGAGACGTCGTCACCAGAGACACGCTCGGTGACGTCCTTGTCGTCACCCATAGCCTTCTCAATGACGTCCAGAGCTCTCTTAGCAAGCTCACGAACCTCGGGCAAAGAAGCGCGGTCGTAAACACCCTTAACACCAGGCTGGAGCTTGGGAAGGAAAGTGCGAGCCTCGATGGGATCGTGGACGAGCTTGGTCAGGTTCTCAACGACGACGACGGTCTGACGCAGAACCTCCTGGGCGGTGGTGGGGGTGTTGAGAGATCGCTCGAGGAGAGGAGTCAAAAGGGCCAGAACGGGAGAGGTGACGACGGCAACGAAGGTGGTCATGGACAGAGCATGAATGGCCTTGCGCAGCGACTCGGTGGAAGGGTGGTGCATACTCTCGATCAAGAGGGGGATGCGAGGTGCAACGTCGTCGTTCTGCAGAAGGCTGGTGAGCGCAGTCATGGTCTGGACGGCTTGCTTCTCGACTTCGGCCTTGAGGTCGTGCATTCCCGCCTCGACGAGAGGGATGAGGCCGGCCAGCTTGGTTCCCATGGTCTCGCGCATGACATCCTCCACTTCGGCCTGCTCCTGGGTAGAGCCGACGGTCTGGTTGGCCTTTTCGGCCATCTTCTGGAGCATCTTGAAGGCCTGGGCAGTTCCCTGCCACTTTCCACCCTTCTTGTTGAGGTAGCTGGTAAGCGCGGGCAGCAGGCCGACGACGAGAGCCTCGGGGCTCAGGTTGTTGAAAAGAGCATCCAGGGCGTACTGGGCAGACTCGCGGACGACGGAGCCCTTGTCGGACAAGGCGTCGAGGGAGACACCGACCAAGCCGCCATCTTGCAGCAGGAAGACGACCTCGCTCAAGGGGGACTTGGGAGGCAGACGCTCGAAGAGAGCGCCGAGCAGGTTCTGGGCAGACTCGCGGATCTGGCCGGACTTCTTGTTGGCGGCAGCCTTCTTGACCTCGGCGATAATGCCGTATTCTTGCAGACCCAGGTATCCGACGCTGTTGTTCAGGACTTCGCAGAGGCCATAGGCGGCATCGACAGAGGCAGCGGAGGTGGCGGAGTTGAAGATGGAGTGCACAAAGGCGTTGATGTCGTCCTGCGTGGGCGGAGGGGCAGCGCCCGTGGCCACGACGGTCATGGTCGCTTCGTTTTTCTTATTGCGATAAGGGCGGGGTTGCAGGATCGGAGGGGTCGAGGGGGACGAGAGAGAGGAGAGGGGAGATGTCGACACGGCGAAGAGAGCGAAAAGAAGGCCTCGCTTCTGCTGCTGGCAACGAAGTGAGGGAGTGAGATTTCTCGAAAGGCTCTCTCGTCTGTCCTCTCTCTCCTTGGGGACTCGGAGTTGTGTGGTGCAGTCAGCAAGAACCGCTGCCTCTTGTCGCAACACAATAATTTTTTTTTAGATTGGGCGTCCGGGCGCGGTTTTTTTCTTCCCTCCCTCTTTGTCTCTTATCCACCAAGCAGAATCGCATCCTTGGGCCATGTGAAAAATTTACTTATCCAGCCCCCTATCGGGGATGTTTGATTGGCTCGTCTATCTCAGTGGCCCCGTCCTCCGTCATGATACGTACCCCTGTGCTCCGTACCTCATCTTTTTCGCTCCGCCGCCAGTGCCTCTTGATGCCCGAATTACCAATCCACGGTTGTCGGTTTTGTTTTGCTGATAACCCGGCAATTGCCAGACCCGTATGACGGGACCGGAGGGGAGTTTTCTTCATGAATGTTGGGTAGGGCTTAGTCTTGTCAACTCCACTTCGCCTTCCAACCTCCGTCCGAGGGCCATCACCGGAGGAGGCAGCTGAAACATCAAAGTCTTTGTGTTGCGGACGTCTGCCCTTTTAGTTAATCTCAACTTGTATTTTACCTAAGATGATCTGGAAGAGGATTCTTGACTGAAAACGCTACTCAAATCAGAAAATGGCTCTCATGACGATCAACTTCTGCAAATATATTGGCCTCTGCTGTGCAACACTTCCATTGTTTCGACTGCGGTGAGGTGAGAATGCCCCTCTGAGACCCCACCACCACTCAGCTTTTCCGGGCAGGATATATGCCGAGAAAAAGTCATTATAATTTCCAAAGAAAGGGAAGCCTCAAAAAACCTAGTTTGAATGGCTCAAGCTCTCAAAGTCTGTGATGAACAATAAGTTGTGGTGCATGATGAAGTTCGACAAAGTTCAATCCAATGTGAGCATCATTCGGACGGTGCATGTTGTAGTGTTCTTCCGACGCCTGGCCAAAGTGAGGCTGAGAAACTTGCACAGAGCCTAAGTAAAGTAAAGGCCTACAGACGGCCCAAGAGCTTATCTTTCGCATCATAATTGGGATCCCGAATGTCTTCTTCATGGATTTGTCGGGAGTCGCGGTTGGCTTGAGGTGGCTGGTGGAGGGAACGTTTTGTCAAGGAGAACTGCGAGGGCTTCCTCGGTCATTGTTCACGCTTCCCACCCTTTGGGTCTAGTTGAGACACAATGTCTTTGATGTCGATCAAGTAGGGCCGCATTCCTTTCTTTTTGACTTTTCGTCTCACCGTAGCAATTTCGGGTTTCGATATCTGGTGATTATTCGTCTAGCACGGCTTCAAGTTGACGAGAGTTGTGCGTATGATCAATAAGAATCATCGGCAGTATGTTCTTCGGTGGCAGTGGGTATTCGGTTCGGTATCGGATCGTGAGACACCTTACATGAACAACGGCAAATCTTCGGGTGGCAAGGCAATGACTGAAGCAGTTCACCACTGCGAAAGTAGCGATGGATCCGTGGAGGAAGGCGGTGAAAGAGGATTCTGAGGCCTTGAATGGGTGAATTTCGCATTCTCTTCTGCCCACTCCCAGGCACGCTAGGCCCGTGCTGCCGAGGTCCCGCGCCAATCAGCGGGGACGGGAGCGCCCCTGGGCCACTCACTGGGCGCTGATGTTCGCCGTGGTTCCTGGGCGTCCTTCTTCCTTCCGGGCAGCTTCCAGAGTGGCAGAGGGACGTCACTCGCGACAGGGGTTGGCGGCCCAAGCGGGGGATGCCCAGCTGGTGTTTCCCCCCCACTGTTTCAACCCGGAATCGACAAAGTCCCAGGTCCAGGTCCAGCTGGGTCGAGGCGAGGTCCCCTGGAGGCGTGCGCAGCGCACCGCAGAAAGGCTAAAAAGACAAGAGCAGCAGCACCACCACGCTGCGGCAGCTGCAAATCGAAACTCAAGAGAACAGACACCGGCGCCCGTCCCCGTTCCTGGCTTCTTTTTTGTCATTCTCCCACTGCAGCCACACTTCATCCGTGTCGGAAAAGCGACAGCTGCTTGTTTCTGATCTGCCTCTCTCATACAACCGAACAGACTCCTCCATTGTCCTCGTGTGTCTTCCGGGTTGCCACTGTTGTCTCGAGCACAACACCCTGTCAACTCGCCTCATTGCGTCTCCCAGTCTAGAGGCGCATTGAGCAATGGTCCGTCAGTCGTAAAGCACTGCCAGATCACGACGAACTTGTCACCAAACACTACTGGACGTGTCCAATTTCCACGAACGAGCAACCGTCCTTTGAATTCGGCTTAACCAGACTTCGTGTCGAAGTCCCCCGCCATCGACGATGGATCCTAGCAAGGAGGGGCTCCTTAACGAGGAGAAGCACCGCCGCTCCTACGAATCCGACGATGCCTCCGACATCGACGCGACCGACTACCTCACTCACGATACCCAGAAGCAGTCCGCATTCCCCAAGCCCGCCTTCTTGTCCGGTAAACGCACCGGCGTACTCAATGCCATCAAGAATTGCTTCCGTGGCCGGTCGAAACTATGTTGGCTGTTCGCAGGTGTCGTGCTACTCATGTGGGTGGTCATTAGCGCTGGAGGAGCCGTCATGTATAAGAAATTCAAGGGCCCTCCCCCTACCGGCCTGTCACCGCCGTGGTACCCGACACCAAAGGGTGGAATATCAAAGAATTGGGCCGAGAGCTACAAGAAGGCGGGCGAGATGGTCGCCAAGATGACACTGCCTGAGAAGGTCAATGTCACCACCGGAACCGGCTGGATGATGGGCCTTGCCGTCGGCACGACTGGCCCGGCTGTCCACGTTGGCTTCCCTCAACTTCAGCTGCAAGATGGGCCCCTCGGTCTCCGCTTTGCTGATAATGCGACTGCTTTCCCCGCGGGCATCACCGTTGGTGCTACGTGGAACAAAGATTTGATGTACGAGCGCGGCAAGGCGCATGGCGAGGAAGCCCGGGGCAAGGGAATCAACGTTCTACTGGGCCCATGTGTCGGTCCTCTCGGTCGCCTGCCGGCTGGTGGTCGTAACTGGGAAGGCTTCGGCTCCGACCCCTATCTACAAGGTATTGCTGCAGCCCAAACCATCAAGGGTATCCAAGAGGAGGGTGTCATTGCTACGATCAAGCACTTCGTCGCCAACGAGCAAGAGCATTTCCGCCAGAGCTGGGAATGGGGCCTGCCCAACGCCATCTCGAGCAACATCGACGACCGAACGCTTCACGAGCTGTACGTTTGGCCATTCTTGGATGCTGTCAAGGCCGGTGTTGCCAGTGTCATGTGTTCGTACAACCAAGTAAACAACTCGTATGCCTGCGGTAACTCCAAGCTTCTGAACGGTATCTTGAAGGATGAGATGGGTTTCCAAGGTTTCGTGCAGAGCGACTGGTTGGCTCAGGTAAGGATTTTGCTTTTGTGATTGTGGATTCGAAGAGCAGTCACTGACACTCATCTAGCGCTCCGGTGTGGGAAGCGCCCTGGCCGGCCTGGATATGTCCATGCCCGGCGACGGACTGTTCTGGGCAGACGGAAAGTCCCTTTGGGGCTCCGAGCTGACGAAGGCGGTTTTGAACGGGTCGGTTCCAATCGACAGACTCGACGACATGGTCGTGCGCATCGTTGCCTCGTGGTATCAGATGGGTCAGGACGATAAGAAGAAGTTTCCCAACGAGCTTCCCAACTTCTCCTCGTGGACCGACGATAAGATGGGAGTGCTCGCTCCTGGAAGCAAGACGCCACAGAAAGAGGTGGAAGTGAACAAGTACGTGAATGTCCAGGGCAACCATTCCGACATCGCCCGTCGGGTTGCTGCTGAGGGCATTGTCTTGCTCAAGAACAAGGACGTGCTGCCGATCAGCAGAGATGGATTCATCGACGCCAAGCGCAGACGTAACGACAAACGTCACGAAGGAAAGCTGAAGATCGGCATCTTTGGCGAGGATGCAGGCCCTGGCAAGGGCCCCAACTACTGCAAAGACCGCGCTTGCAACCAAGGTACTCTAGGCTCGGGATGGGGCAGCGGCGCTGTCGAGTTCCCTTACCTCGTGCCGCCTGTCGAGGCCCTCAAGAAGGGCTTCAAGGGCGAGAAGGTCGAGCTCTCCGAGTACCTTACCAACTCGCTCCCCTACAAGAAAGACCCTTCAATCTTGAACGACAAGGATGTATGCATCGTCTTCGCTAACGCCGATGCGGGTGAGGGTTTTGTTTCTTGGTCTGGAGTCAGCGGTGACCGCAACGACCTCAAATTGCAGAAGGGAGGCGACGATCTCATCCTGCAGGTCGCAGACAACTGCGGTAAGAGCGATGGTAACAGCGTCGGCGGCGACACTGTCGTGGTCATTCACTCCGTTGGTCCCGTCGAGATGGAACGCTGGATTGAGCACCCTGGAGTCAAGGCTGTGCTTTATGCAAACCTTCCCGGGCAGGAGAGCGGTAATGCTCTCGCGGATGTCATCTTTGGAGACGTTAACCCCAGCGGCAAGCTGCCGTACACTATCGCCAAATCGCTCAAGGACTACGGAGCTGCTGGGCAAATTTTGTACCTGCCCAACGGCGTCGTGCCTCAGCAAGATTTCTCCGAGGGCCTGTACATCGACTATCGCCACTTCGATAAGTTCGAGATCGAGCCACGCTTCGAGTTTGGATTCGGCCTGTCGTACACGAGCTTTGCCTTCTCTAATGTTGTCGTCGAGGAGGTGAAGCCTAAGTCCAAGCTGCCCGCTCCCCGTCCAGCACCCGCCGCCGAGCCGCCCAAGTTCAGTGAGAAGCTGCCCGACCCCAAGGAGGCCCTGTTCCCTAGCGGATTCAACAAGCTTGACAAGTATGTGTACCCGTATTTGGACTCGACAGACGACGTTGTCAAGGAGCCGTACCCTTACCCTGAGGGATACGATACCAAGCAACCTCTCTCCGGCGCGGGAGGAGAAGAAGGTGGAAACCCGGACCTCTGGGAAACTTATGTCACTGTCAAGGCCGATGTGACCAACAGCGGTGCTCGCGCCGGCAAGGTCGTCCCGCAGCTCTACCTCGCGTATCCCAAGAACGTCCACGGAATCGACTTCCCAGTCAAGGTACTCCGTGGCTTCGACAAGTTTAACCTTGAAAAGGGCGAGAAGAAGACGGTCACATTCAACCTCACGCGTCGTGATCTCAGCTACTGGGATATCCACGAGCAAAACTGGGTCATGGTGACGAGTGGGCAGTACTCCTTCCTGGTCGGCGAGAGCTCACGGCAGCTGTCGAATGTCGCAAGTTGGTAATGAGGGCATGGCTTCGCTGGTAAGAAGTCGCTGTACGGTTATGATATGAATTGAAAAACAAAACGGGTTTGGGTGCATTTCTCTCGGGATAAGGTTGTTCACTTCATGGCACTGGCAAATGTGTCCGAGGCATGTCTATGCATCAGTATGTATAGAGGCGAAAAGAGCCAATCGATTGTCCACTGTCTATGATGTCTGTCTTCCTGAGTTCCGTCTAAAGTTCCTTCCTTGGACGATCCCATCCTGCGTGGTCGGTATCTTTCCCTTCTCCTTGAAAATTATGAAGCGTAGCCAACGAGGTCGACTCACTTGCGGGAGCCGGGCGGGGGTCCCTCGCGCACACCACACATGTACTCGGAGCAGATGAAGCCGTCCCTGTTGCCAAGGTAGCGGTCTGCGACTGGGGTTAGTTGGAGTTTCCAGAAGTGAGAGAAGAAGGGAACGGCACTCACTCAGGTCGATGCTGGTCGTCTGCAACTCGCCCTGGTTGTCCTTGCACTCGCACTGGAGGTAGCTGGTGGTGCGGGCGCGGCGCTGGCACGAGACGCACGAGGACGAAAAGTAGCCCTCGCGCTGGTAGACGAGGCGGCCGCCGACGTTGCCGAGCATGTGGTCGAGGCCGATGCGGGACCAGTACATGTTCCCGCGGCCGCGGGCGCGGCAGCGGGCCCAGAGGACGTTGTTGGCGTCCCAGACCTGCCAGGCGGAGCAGGTCTTGATGAAGCCGGCGGCGGGGTCGGAGGCCGGGGCGAGGGTGCCGTCGTCGAGGTTGTTGTCGTCGAGGGGGGAGCGCGGGCTGGTGGCGGTGATGTCGACGACGGTGATGGAGGGGTGGGTGTGGGTGGTGGTCGAGTTGGGGCTGGCGAGGGCGATGTTGGCGGCGAGGGCGGAGGGGGTGAGGGCCTTGGAGGGGATGGTCTTGGAGAGGCCAGTCTGGGGGATCTCGGTCTCGGGACTGGCGAGCTTGGCCTTGCTGTTGGCGACCTTGGACTTGGGAGTGTCCATGGGGAGCCACCAGATGTGACTGGTGAGGTGAGTGGTGTTGCTGAGACGAGGGTTCTTGATCGAGGAGGGCTCCTCAACCGTGGCAGTGACTGTAGCGGTGGTCGTGATGGTCGTCTTGATCTTGACGACTGTGGTCTTCAGGCCATTGGCGCCATTGACGACGGTGCTGTTGCCCGCGTTGATGAGGAGAGGGAGTCCTTCGAGGAGGCAGATCGTGGCGGCGCGGAGGTTCATCTTGACTATGGGATGATTTTGTGGTGAGGGCGCGTGGGTGTTGTTGTCGTTGTGAAGGAATTCACTTGTTTTCTGAAAACCTGCGGTGTTGTGGCGAGGTCTGTTTTCAGTGGAAGGGGGGCAAAGGAAGAAGTGCTTTTTGTAGAGATGGAAGAGCCTTGAAAGCTCTGCCTTGGGTGAAGGTGAGATATTCTACCTTAGAAAGGTAGGAACGATCTGGGATAGAAGAACAATAAAGAAGGCAGGCAATGTGAGATTGCTTGCTAGGAGGGTGAAGAGTTTTCATGCGAGGTGAATTATCTACAATTCACCCAGACCAGGAGGGTAGGTGGTTAAAGTCAGTTGCTCTTCCCACTTGTAAATATCTAAGGATGCTTCTTCTTTTCCACTGGCTTCCTAGTATATCTTGTCTCCTGTTTCGTTCCCTGCTTCTTCCTCTCACCCCTATTCTTGACCTGTTGTGAAGCAAAACATCACAACCCAAGCGACACCCACATCACCACCCAAAATGGCCAAGCTCGTACTTTCAGGCATTCTTCTTGCCCTTGGCATCTCCAAGGTCACCGAGGCCGGCTTCCTCGACGATGGCTGTGGCTATCTCAACGATGGCCCTCAATTCAACCTCCGCGATGATGGCAGTATCACCACCTACTGCAACGAGAAGATCTGCGGTGCTACTTCCTTCAGCGTCATTAACCTCAACGACTGCATCTCCAACGTCCTGGGTGACTTGGAAATCAAGCCTGAGCATCACAAGACGTGAGTCCTGCCCTCATCAGCACTACGGCCCTGCTGAGTGCCAAACGACTGATGTCCACATAGGGGCGACTTCTGGAAGACTTGCAAGGACTGCGGTGCCGACAGCTGGGACGGCCTCAAGTGCCAGTGCGAGACTCTCGACGGCACGTACAAGGAGACCCATATCAACCTCAGTAAGTGCGATGTGCAATTTCTTCCTGCCCAGAGTCGACCTTTGCTAATAAAACTACCAGACGAGGTCCTCGACAACTGGAATGGCTATCTCAGCTGCGGCGGCGGCATCTCGGACTGCAACCGGATCAAGTGGGCTTGCAAGCCTGAGGACTGGTGGCCCGAGGGTGCGCCTCCAAAGATCTACACTACGGACTGCGACATCTGGTCTTAGACCATACGAAAAGCCTGCAAATTCTTTCCTCCACAACAGTTATACGAAGTGGCTCTGAACTGGCAATTGATCACTTGCTCATCTTGGAGAAGGATGAATGGCGTATTGGAAAAGGCGCTCTAGACCTGGCCTGTTCATGGGGCAAATTTGGCTGTGGCTTTTGCAAGAACTTAGGGGGCATAATCATCAGCGCAGTTCAAGCTTCTGGTTTTGCTCTCTTAGATAATAGATACTGGTGATTCGACGAAATTTTGCCCATATCTTCCTGAATCGCCGAGAGAAGCGAAGCACACGACCTATTCCCGAAAGAGAGTCGTTGTACGACAGAGGCCTCTCGTTCACGGCCGTAGTGATGTCAGTGAAGCCATTCTGAAACTACCGGCGCTCTCCGGAGGTGGTCAGCCAGACTGCGGCGACCGAATATTTTGAGGTGAGGTAAGCGGAGTAGACATATTCGACGGCGATCGGTGACCTTCCACTCTCATCGGCTCCATGGGCGGAGTTGCCCGACAACGATAGGCGACAGGACAACTGTAGTCAGACGCGATTTGACTTGCAAGTGGCGGCCCACGTGACAAGGGAGGCGAGTGAGCTCACGTTACACGCCGGTTAGGGGATGTGGGGGCCGAAAACAAGGACATGACGCTGGAGAAGCGATGAGATTCAAAAGTTCTGGCTTACAGATCACAGTGCATCATGCCGAGTGCTGACATAGCGCTGGCCGGTGTGTCGGTGGACGTCAACAGATTCTGCCTGCCAAGTGAATGAGACAGGTTAGGAAGGTGGGGTTTTTCCCGGAATTCCTAACTGCAGCAAACTGAACTTGCACTCTTGGTGGTCACAGTGAAGCCGCTGGATTGTGTGAGATGTGCATGACAGACGCCAGAGACGCGAAGGGCTCGTTTCGTTGGTGCACTGTAAGCAGTGGGTTTGTTTGGGCGTCGGTGGTTGTTGTTCAGTAACAGACCTCGGCAAACAAGTGCGGAAACAACCATTGAGTCCGCGGCGGCTAAGCGCCCCGTAAACCAACGAGGAAAGAAACGTCGACATGCACGGTTGCAGAATGACACCAGATGTAGAGTGTTGAATCGGAGAGATATTCCTGTCTCTGCCGGATTTCCAGGAACCGGGGGGCTGAGGCCGAACCTTGAGCCACTTTTCCCGGAGCAAGCCCCATCCGACAAGCCAATGGCATGGCTCCTACTCGGACTTTGAGGGTATCTGATTGGAGTCCCAAACGGCAAGAGCTTTTATAGTGGAGACTTCTCAGTTAGTGCAGGTACGTACTCTGAGTGGGCGTGGCGCAGGCGCATCCAAGCAAGTCCGGGACCTGCCTTGTTTCAGTGGTCCTCTCCCGCTGTGTCTTTCCACTCTTTTTAGGCTCCCGCACCTTGTTTCCCGCGCTTGTTCCCTTCCATTTGCTGAATCCAGTTATTGCGATGGCTTCCTCACATTCCCTCCCGTCTTCTTCCCGCGTACCGCAGCAAACCACACGGCCGACACCGCTCCCGCGCTTAGAATCCCACTCCCATCTCTTGGCCAAGGACGGCCCCTCCGCTGTTTCAACCGGTATGGCGCTTGTTCGGGCCTTGTGACCCTTCGCGGATCGTGGATCACATACCATCCGCAGGTGAGAGCGAGTCTGCCTCGCCAAAATTCAACACGAGCTTCCTGAATCCACCGCAACGCCTCACCCTTGTATTGATATCGCCAAACTCTACTCTACTCCACCCCACTCTACCCAACTTCAGTCGGTGCTGACGTTCCTTTCTCGGAAGACATACCATGAGGCCGACATGATCTGCGAGCGGGCCTAGGTCCGTGATCGACCGGCCCAATCTGTTGATCAATCTGCCACCAAGGTGTGTGATCAAGTTTCAGCTGCAACAGCCTGACATTCAGCACCACGTTTTCGCCAACCGAGAAACAGCTCGCTGGAAATGCCATTGGCCATCATTGTGACGCACCGCCGGGGTGCCGCAGGTCATTTCAGGCCTTGCATGACTCCAGAGCCACATCGTTCCTGTTCCTGTCATCGGCCTTTGGTATGGCAACACAACACCACCAGATGCCCGATCTGAACCTGCTGTCGCCTTCTGAATGACTGCGTTTTCCCACACCTTGAACCACATCCAGCAATCAACAGTTTGTGCCGAGGCCAAGTCCGAAGTCAGTCATACCAGGTGTGGGACAGCTGATACCCAAACTGGCCACCCTGTGGTCTCATTGGCAAAACCACCACCCTTCAGCCCTATCGCATCCTCCCCGCATATGCAAGCCAAGGACACCCCGTCACTTGGGGAATTGGGATGACATATCCGCGGGAATATGACTTGCGATATTCGGACGACACTGTCACACCAGCGAGTCGGTATCCTACTGAGTTTTACAATACGATCAACTTTCTGAACACGATCCTCAACAGCGATCGCCGATATCCGCACCGTCGTCATTGTGGGTCTTCTCCACCGTTCCGTCTCGTCGCCGCTCCTGTCCCGGCTGTCTGCGGCGTGAACTCCGACGGTTGAATTCGCGTTCGCTTGCCACCGCCCGAACACCACGCAAACCTCGTGTCTGCACGATGGATGCAAATTTCCATGAGCGACCTTATGTCCATCTTGATAAGATTGTTTCATATGCCAACATGCTCCGGACCGACGGGCTGCCAAGGGCAAAAGTCCTCTGGGCCCCGTGTCAGCTGCAGAGCCACGGTCTGGTCTTGCTGCAGTGCAGTGCGTCCTACACCGGCCACCTAATCCGCAATGTTCACATCCACCTGCATACATCTCCAAATTGTTTGGATCAATCAGAGTCTGAAGATGGCTGGTCTTGAGCGACCGTTGCGCGCCATGCCACGGACTTGCCAACCGCTAAAATCTCACCTATGCGCATCGCCTTTCACTCGGGGCCCAACGACGAGCTGTTTCGTGCTGACCTCGTCCCGGAGCACCCTATCAACTATGAGCCATCGTAACATCTGCCTGTAGGGCTGCATCGCACACCCTTGCACACGGTCTGTCACACCCCAGGACGTGCATCATGGCTGCCCACCCGTCCCGGCAGCTGGGTTTCGCACAACCACGATCTTATCGTCATTGTCCAGGGTGACTCCCAGAAACCCGCAAAGACAAAAATATGTTTCCTTTGTAAGCATGTATTCGGCCGAGCACCGGTCCTGCTCCTGCCAATCATCGGTTTGAATTGCCTCTTCTCTCCCATCGCTCCACAGAGGCCGCACCCCCTTGTCGTCCCGACCTCGACATCCGAACATGCTCAGAACTCACTACAATCTACCCACAGCCGGTTTTCTGGGACAGCGTCGGCAAGGGGTCGGAGGGCTGCTGGCCACCCGTTTGGGTGCTCCTTGTCCAAGCCCGTCTTAGCTCGTGGCTCGACCTCGTTGACCTCTACCTTCGGGAGCCATCAATCAGCCCCATCCCCAGCCCCGTTACACAGACTTTAGACTGTCATGTATCCCGCGTTTAGAGCTTCGGAGTTCACACTCCTACGACTGGCGCGGTGTTAGGGGCGGACACGTGTGGCTTAGACTTCCCGCTCCCGTCTTCCGTTGACCACGGACGTCTGTTGTTATGTTTAAACTGTCATCTTTTTGTTTTCAAACAATCATAATCACCATATATTTGACCATACAGAGCGTCTCTGATATCCATAATCAGCCACCTTGGCATTCATTGCATGACAATCTCTCGGTGTTACTCACGCATGAACCTCTCACTTCTGACCCAAGCTCAAGGGTGGCTCTGCGAATGCATGTTCACATCATCGTCATACGCTCTCTCCGTTGACCTTCGCTCCGGACATCACTCTCCTGACTGCAGACACCAATCTTACCATTCTGGCGGCTATCTGCGATCTTCTCTGAGTACCGACGTCACTCGGCATAGAGCCTCGTTAGCCGGAAAGACCCCTGGCTGCCTCTTTTGGACGATCTGAACGCCCTCTGAACAGCTTCTTGGAGCTGAACGCCTGCCGTGATGAGCCCGACATCCGAAGAAGCATCGGAGCTGGATATATCATCGAGCTCGCCCGACTTCAAGTCCTGGTCTCGAAGCAGCAGCATCACCAGCAGACACACCAATATCACCGAAGTAAACGACCCCCTCGAGGACGCCGAGTTCACAGTTCAAGACATCCTGTCTTCTTTCTCATCATCCCGCACCACTCAGAAGTCGCATTCTTCCCGCACGCCACCAACAATGTCTTCGTCACGTTCCGGCCGTTCAGGAGGTTCATCCAGCCACCGCAGCTCCAAGAGTAGCAAGAAGCCAAGGGCGGTCCAAGTTAGTGAAGGCCTCTTCTTTGTACTATCGCCCCGTCCTGTCCCTACTCGTCCCTCCCTCCCTTCTACCTCGTACAGAACCCAACCTTCTTCATGATCGCTACATGCGTGCTTCATCCGAGATACCATACTGACAGAACCTTACAGCGCTCCGTCCAGCAGCTCATCGAGTCGCTCGAAACCCACCGGGTAAACACCCTCACAGAGCTCTGCCGGATCGAGCGCGTGGCCGCGACCTGTGAGAACGAAGAGGACGCCGTCGCCTTCCAGGGCCCCATGACGGCGGCCTGGGACTACTATGTCAACAGCAACCAGCTCCTGAGCGAGCTGCGCGGGATGACGCGCAGCTACCCGATCTGCAGCGACATCCTCTACGACGCCCACGTCCGCGTGCGCAGCGACCCGAACTCGAACAAGAGCTGGAACCTGGCGTGGCTCTGCTTGACCAAGATCCAGGAAGAGTAAGTGGACCTCGCGCGCATCTAGATGACTTTTCCCCGAGAGATTTCGGAGCTGACGCGCACTCGCAGTGGCCTAGTTGACGGATACGCCGGCGTCGAGGCCGTGAAGCCTGAGATGTGGGGAGGCCGCGAGCCTTCGGCGGAGGAGGCGGAACAGCTCAAGGCGTGCTTCGTGTACGAATGGAACAAGGCCTTGAGTGCCATGCTCAGGCACTGGGCCGTCGATCCGGTCTGGTACTAGAGGCAGGCTCGGCGCCGCGCAGGTGGTGGCGCATGTGCGGGCTCGGGGATAAGAAATGACGGCGACGGTGATGATTGGTGTATGAGTATAGGCGGCGGCGCATTTTACAGGTATCTTACGTTGCAGCATGGGATGATAGCGAGCGACAGGCATTCTTTTCTTCGAGCGACATCGGCATCAGCATCAGCATCGGCATCGGGGGAGCGAGCATCAGCGTCGCATTGGCATCTTACACCTCTCCGTCTCACGACGATTTCAATCATGGTCTATTCTCTTTCTCATATTTCGTCTACGGCATTTTCCTTTCATGGTCTTTCACGATGGGATGGGTTTGGGCTGGACACAGGGCTTCTGGCAAGTCCTCGGATTTCCATAGCGGTAGATAAGAGGTTTCAATTGGAGTCTTTTTGTTTCTGGCGTACTTTCCCTTTGCAATCCAGAAACTGGACGTTCCGGCGGTCTTTGAACCTGCGCCCGCTTTACCAACGGGGCGGGAGCGGACCGACCAAATCCACCGTCGCCGGGTTCCGGCCCCACCGGCGATCCGTCAGCGTCCCGGATCCTTCACTTTGACAGCTCATCCGACCAGGCGGTGTCGAAACAGGGATTGCAAGCCGGATCAGGCAACACGATTCACACGGCTCCTCCATCCTGATTTGAACGCGCGGAGGTTACAGCCCTGCCATGCGCCCCTCTTGGTCCGCAGGTTGAAGCTGGCCAAGACCATTGGAATCAAAGACGAAGAGGTGCAAAATAGATTGGCAGAGGGGAAACATGGGGGTCACACGGGATCAGATGCCCTGGTCTGGAGGCTGCCCTTGAGTGGGATGAATTGTTACCCCAAATATTGCGCTTGGCGTTGGAGATGCCAAGAGGAGGCTTAAAGAGCTACGCCGTTGGGGTTTAACTTCATCCCCTTTCTGTATCTTTTGACTTAGATACTTGATCAAGATATGTTGCGAAAGCTCTAGAATTCAAGGTGCTGCTGACGTTGAGAAGTTAGCACCTACGAGATGTTTGGCGGGATTTATGTAGGCTCTCGGGGCTTGCGTCAGCAGTGTCGCCTGCGGACTTTGTACGGCGTAACGAACTCCGACTCCGTTTTAATGACAGGACTGGAATAGGGTCTTAGGTTATTTGGGTGAATTTGAGGTTCTCGATGCCATGGCACATCGTTCTGCTATCCTAGTTGTCTCTACTGCCTTATTTCTTCTCTTTACCCTCGTAGCCGCAGTTATCACCTTCATCTCTGTCGTCAGCCTCATTGTAGCTCTTGTCCGCTAATATCACAGCCGTTCAAAGTAATTTGAGCCGGGTTCTCCAGTAAGCTAATAGATAATTGAGACAGAAGCAGCATATCACATTGGAGGCAGATTGAATAGTGAAGTCATGACACATTAGTCAAATCTCATTACCGACTCTACAATTACACGCTAACACACAACCTCTTAGAACACATAGCGGAACGACAGGTTCTCCCTATCCGTCATGTCCTCAAACGCATGAGCGGTGTAGTCGGGAGACGCCTCCGCGACGCCCGAGGCGGCCATCTCGTCCCTCTTCCTGTTCTGCCTCGTGAGGTGGATCCTCAGCCCGATGATGATGAGGATGAGCAGCGCGTAGCAGCCGAGGTGGGTCGCGAAGGCGATGAAGTAGCGCGGGGCGTTCCAGCTGAGGAAGACCTGGGGCCCGATGGCGTTGCCGGTGGCCCAGATGATGAAGTTGAGGGCGACGGCGATCTGCTTCTTGGTCTGGCCGGCGATGTTGCGCGAGATGAGGGAGAGCGCGAGGGTCTGGGCGGACCAGAAGGAGAGGGTGATGTAGTAGCAGATGAGGAGGCCGATGTGCTGTGAGAAGGTCTTGTTGGGGAGGGTCATGAGGAGGACGGTGCCGACGACGGAGCTGGATGTCTAGTTAGTGGATGCGATTCTGCAAGTAGTTTGGGGGCAAGGGACTTACGGAACGCAGAAGCCAAGCATGATGTAGAGGTTCTGGCCCGTCTTCTTGACCAGCCAGACGGATCCGAGAAGCACAAAGATGATGTAGAAACCAAGAACCATGGCGAGGAGCTGCACCTCGAGGGTGCTGAAGCCGAAGCTCATGATGATGATGTTTGCAAATGCGCCAAGGCCAGAGGTGGGCAGGGTGGTGCACAGCGCGATGAGAGCGTACCCCCAGACCTGGGGATCCGTGAGGGCCTCGACAGCCTGCTCGCGCTTGAACTTCTTGTTCTGGATACCGGTCTGGTTATCCCTCACACGCTCGACCATCTCCCTCTTCTCCTGCTCGGTGAAGCACTTGGCGCGCATGGGGGAGTCGGGCATCCAGAAGAGGACGAAGACGCCAAAAATGACGGAAATAACGCCGTAGACGAGGAACAGCCACTGCCATGACTTGAGGGGCCCGGTCTTGATGTGGGTGAAGCAGTACGCGAGGAGACCGCCGACAATCTGCTGGGCGCCGTTCATCATGTACCAGTATGTCACGCGGGAGGCCTGCTCCTCGCGGCGGTACCACAGGGAGGAGAGGATGACGAAGGCGGGCTGGCAGGCGGACTCGAAGATACCCAGGAGAGTGCGGACGACCACGAGGCCGGTGAAGTTTGTGCAGGCGGCGTGGCAGGCGAGGACGGCGCCCCAAGCGATGATGGAGAATGAGAGGTATTTAGCGATGGGGAGACGGGCGATCAAGTAATTCTGCGGCCATTCTACGAACAAGATGGCCTGAGAGTGTTGTTAGCTCGTTCAGTCTTGTCGTGGTGGTGGCTGTGGTTATGGCCCAAGAGTTGGCTGCAGTGTAATACGGTCGAGACTTACGATGTAGATACAGGTCGTGAGCCAGGAGAACTGCTGTCCCACAAGGCCGGTGTCTTTCTGCAGTCCCATGACGGAGGCGAAGGACATTGTCCCCTTGTCGATGGCCTGGAGGAAGTATGTGCAGATCATGACGAGGAGGATGCGACGGTCGATCTTCTTGCGGAGCTCGTCGCTGCGCTCTTTGGAGACGGTGATGTCGCCGCCGATGTACTGCGACAGTTCGTTGTCGACATTTTCGAGGCGGGTTGCTGGCGCCTTCTCGTACGAGGGTGTGCGTTCGAGTTCGGTGAGGGTAGGCTTGGCCCCTGGGGCGTCGTTCACTTCTTGAGAGGCCATGTTGTGATGTGTTTGGTGAGAACGACTGCACTTAAGCGCCGATATTAGGTTCAAAGTTCTGATGACTTCTTTGAAGACCTTGAAGTCACACTCTCAAAAGGGTGAAGAAAGTGAGTGACCTGGAGAAGAGAGTCCAGACGGGACGGATGCTACCAAGTTCTATATAAGAGCAGATCAGGGTGGAGTATGAGGTGATGAGTGTGCCTGGCCTTGGATATCGCCCTTTCTTATTCGGGTCGCCTGTCAAACCCCGGATCCAACCCTCACTCTCTCCTCACTATTACCCCAAGATTTCCTGTTGGGAGGCGCGTGTTCCCCAGTGGGGATGGTTCGGTCCCCCGCGAAAAGGGACGACGAGAGCGAACAGGAACCCCCACGAAGCCCGGGGAGAAGGGACGTCTGCGATTCGAGGATGCCTGGGCCAGGAACTTGCGACAGCCAACAGGACGAAGGAGAGAGGTGGGTTCACTTGGGGCATCATTCGACCGAGATGGGCGACGAGGCGTGGCCTGAGTCTCACACGCCCCTTTGGACCTTCCCAAACTCCTACTATCTGGAGAACGAGAGACGGATATAGGCCGCAGATTGGATGGGAGGCTTGCACAACGGTACCCATCAACTATGGGTAGGACGGCACGAGTCAAGTTTGGGGTTGGTTGGGGAGCCGGCTGATATGGGGACTGGGGGCCCACGGGGTTGGTACGGGGTGACGGCGGGCGTGAGTGCATTGCTCAAGGTATGGTTCAGACGGTGGACACGGCTAGTTTTTGTTTCTGGCTGCGCGTTGCATGGGTGGCGAGGCAATCCTGGTAATGGAGCGTCTACGGCTTCTGTGTTTGGATCTTGTCGCCAGTCGCAGACTCTGCGTTGGGATGTCTCACTTGAATCGGGTTTTCTTCACCGAGGAGAGAACGAGACTGTTGGAAAGAGGCTCTTTGCCAAGACGGGCGGTCTACGGCACTGAACGGAAGGGCAAGGGGAAGACCTCTGGGCAGATGTGAATCTGGCGAGTCGGCTCGGCTTTTGGGGGGTGTCATCGACAGGGGATGGGATTGGCTTGGTATGATGGGAGGGGTGCGACGGTGATGGGATCAGGGCGGGTTGAGCCTGAAAGGTGTCTCTAGCGTCGGCGGATGCCCGCGCCCTTCGTCTTGGAAAAGCTTGATGGAGCGTGCGGCTGCCTCGGAGTGCTTTCTTGGCAGGTCAGTGTTAAGCCGCATAGTGCTGTCATTTCTTGACGGCTGGATAGAACTTGGTGATAGGTCACATGGGGATGTGAGAGTTATGGCAACTGGCTGGGGACTGAGCCAGGGGCTTTGGGGGCTGGGAGAAATGGAGGTGAACAAGGAGAGAGAGGCACCGATGTAAGCAATTGAAGACAGTGCAGTCATTTCATGTGCTGTGATGATTTCTATATCGTTGCAAATCAAGTATGACATGAAGGAAATCGAATAGGCGTTCTCAGATGTCCATGGATAAGGTAGTAACGGTTTCTTTCGTTTCTGTGTGATGTAGGGCTATGCTGTGTTGGGGGCGGGTTTCCAGCGAACACGGTTTAAGCATCGCGAGGATGACCAGAGTTCCGGAATTGCAATTAAAGCACATTAGCACCTTGTCCAGTGGATTTATCCGGTCTAGTTCGCTCGACCACACTCCGCTCGACTCCGCGTTGGAATTGTGCCTGAGTCGGGTCGAGTTGTGCATATCGCTTTGGTCAGCAGAAGTGCTGGAGACTCCCGCCTCTCTCCGCAACCGCAACCTGGGGGAAATGGGGGAAGCCCGCTGTTTCCCCTCAAATCTCCTCCGTCTCGCGCTCTCTCTCCAGACTATCTCCATCTTTTCACCGCAGGCTGAGTGCGGAGATGACTTCCCCAAACTCCAGGCCGCGTGAGGGAAAAAACAGGGGCTGTGGACAACGGCCGCCGGCGGGCCTCGTACCGGGCGAGGGCCACACAGGGGTCATCCAGTGCGGTCTGGTCAGGTTGGGAAAGTCGCGCCAGTCAGGAAAGAGGACGACCTCCAGGCCAAACCGCAAACGACGACGAGAAAATCGGGGAAGACTCCACCGGCGCGGGGTAACCAGCCCGGGGCGCGGGGGAGGAGGACCCGAGATGGAGCCGAGTCGCAGCGTCGGTGGCCACCCGAAGTGGGTCGGCCCCGGTTCACCCAACCCAAACCTCCTTCAGTGTTTCCTACTGCATCATTACAGCGGGATATACCCAGCCAACCAATCCAGGAAATAACAGCTTGATACCATGCTTCGTGGGATCCCTCGTGCGTCTTTCTAGCCTCATGGCACATCGAGCTGTGGGGTTCTCAAGACCAGCGAAGACCGCAAGCACAGGACGGCGCATCTTTTAAAAGTCTTGGCCTTCATACACCTCGGCCTGCATCACGCCGAACGCGTTCGTGCCCCCGGCTCTCTTCGTCCACGTACCCCTGACACCTGCTGTGCATTTTGGTCATTTCGCCGAAGCCCTGCCACTTCATAAGGGTTTCTGCGGCCAGCGTAAAAGAGGAGAGCTGGCGTCAACGCGTGCTGTGTTCATACTCGTCCACTGTCGTCAAAGGAACAGGCCGATCGCTTCGTGAAACTCTCGAGACTGCACTTCCTGTTTATCGGATGCTCCCAAGGTAAGTCGTCGTGATTGAGGGAAGACCACGTTCCAACCGTCTTTGGCCGGCGATCGGAGCTACCCCGCCTCACTTTGAGAACCCGAAACTCGGTCACTAACTCATTGAACAGCAAGCCATTGAAACTTGCCGTTTAATACAACACCCCCAAAAACCGCCAAAATGCCCGCCGAGCTTCACGGCGTCAAGTCCGCCGATGTCCACAAGCAGGTCAAGCAGCTCATCCACGAGCTGGTGAACATCAAGGACACGACGGGCGAGTTCCTCATGACGCTGGCCGACGGCCGCATCATCGACACCAAGGGCTGGAACGACTGGGAGTGGACGCACGGCATCGGCCTGTACGGCATCTGGAAGTACTACGAGCTGACGGGCGACGACGAGTGCCTCAAGACCATCGAGGACTGGTTCCGCAACCGCTTCGACGAGGGCCACAAGGGCAAGAACATCAACACCATGGCCGTCTTCCTGACGCTCGCCTACGTCTACGAGAAGACGGGCAACGAGACGTACCGCCCCTGGCTCGAGAGCTGGGCCGAGTGGGCCTACCACGACCTGCCGCGCACAAAGTACGGCGGCATGCAGCACATCACCTACCTCGAGGTCAACGACCAGCAGCTGTGGGACGATACGCTGATGATGACCGTCATGCCGCTCGCCAAGATCGGCCTCGTGCTCAACCGCCCGCACTACGTCGAGGAGGCCAAGAAGCAGTTCCTCATCCACCTGCAGTACCTCTTCGACGCGCCTACGGGGCTCTTCTTCCACGGCTGGACCTTCCACGAGGGCGGCCACAACTTTGCCCGCGCCCGCTGGGCCCGCGGCAACAGCTGGGTGACCATCGTCATCCCCGAGTTCATCGAGCTGCTCGACCTCGGCCGCGACGACGCGCTGCGCGCGCACCTCGTCAACACGCTCGACGCGCAAGTCAACGCACTCGTGCCGCTGCAGGCGGAGAGCGGGCTGTGGAGGACGCTGCTCGACGTGCCCGAGGCGGAGGGCTCATACGTCGAGGCCAGCGCCACGGCCGGGTTCGCGTACGGCATCCTCAAGGGGCAGCGCAAGAAGTACATTGGCAAGGAGTACGAGGGGACGGCGATCAAGGCCGTCAGGGCGGTGCTGGAGAACATCAGCCCCGAGGGCGAGCTGCTGAACACGTCGTTCGGCACGGGTATGGGGCACGATCTGCAGCATTACAAGGACATCCCGCGGACGAGTATGCCGTACGGCCAGGCCATGGCCATGATGGCGCTGGTCGAGTTCTTGCGGGTCTACTATTGATGTAATGATACCATGCTAAAAATGAAAATGAATTGAATGAGCCAATGATTGCGTCTTCTGCCATGTGAGTTGATTCCGAAGTCCGGGCCGGGTTCACCGGCTGGATTGCCGTAAGAACGTAGGTAGTGGGCCTCGAGGACCGAAAGCCGGCCTCTTGCCAAAGGAAGGCGAGGCGCTTTCCGCGCCGAGACGCGTCCACATGGGGGTCATCGTCTTTCGGCTGATCGTCGACCGACGACACCCCTCCCCGGTCTCCCGGGCTGTCCGCAAGGCACAAAGAGTTTGCGACCCTTCATGTTGGAGCGGCGGACCCTGGGATTGGGGTAGCCTTGTCTTTGTCGACCCAGAAGTTTGTGACACTGGGGCCATGCATCTGCAGGTCGGCCGAGCCACCGAGTTTTGACAACGGTGTGGTTGGTTGAAGAATCCCGGAGGTGTGGTTCGCGGGGAAGATCTCGGGGCTCTCTCCTGACTGCTGCTTACCGCATGTCATTGATGTTCGGCATTCAGATTCTTGGGGTGACACGACGCAAGCCCTGGCAAGTTCGGCATGAAATGGTGCAAATTGCGAACGGACAGCTCGGGAGGTGTTGTTCAAGTGTTCCAGAGGGGTTCGGTGATGCTATGAAGAAGGCACGAGGTTCCGGTTGAATACAGCCCGAGACCTGCTTGTCTTGTGTGATGCCATGTGGTGTTTGTTCCATCTGAACTCGTGAGGTGTGATGATGATTGTCTGAGATTATATATACTCATAGTTGCAGCCACCATGGCTTCCACGTTTATGACAAGGTCGACAGTTTCTTGGCACGGGTCTACTCGACCTGCAAACTTGGTTGTCTCGGATGGATGTTCAACCTGAGTCTGCGGCCCCATGTGAACGACACTTTGTTTGGCAAGGCAGATGTGTCTGGTGAGAAATGATCAGTTCTCTGACAGAGGCAACGACAGATGCCGTGCCATATCTGTCTGCGCTGTCGAGTGACCGTGGCCCGTCGCTCAGCCTAGTAGCATTCATCTCGTATTTCCCCAACGGTCTCGTCGATCACTTTCGGCACGCACCGAGCAGAAGGTCTTTGAAAACCAACCTGACACTGGATATCGGCAAGACCGTCCAACACACACACAGCCTTGCAAGTTGGTTGCAGCAGAGATAACAGCCGGACCCTGCATGGACCTAGTCTCGGAGGTTTTCGAACCTATAGTCAGATGTCTCGTGGTGGCGGGCGGTGATGGCGTGGTATGAGTCCGGCTCTGCCAACACTCTGTGGTCACAGGGCTCGTCCTTTAGAAACAGTCTAGCCGTGTTCCCGGCGGTCTACGAGGTCAAATGATTGGCCTATGGCAAAGACGGCGAACAGTTGGGGGTGACAGCGAACGGGATGGATGGGCAAACTTACTAAGTAAGGCTTAGAATTGGGACGGTGGCCGTTGGAGGATCTGGGACGAGTGCCAGATCAGAGATCAGATCGGTGTGGCCAATGACAGACGCCTGATTTTGAGGGCGGACGTCATCGCACCTCCCAATATGCGCGTGATCGGAAAGGCGGGCACGAGGTTCCAGTACAGTGAGCTCTTCGCAGTGTTCAACGATGGTCATGATTGGCTGTTAGTGCCCAGGCACCTGTCAGCGCGGGAAGCTTAACACAGAGTTCCCGCCCCGCCACCCACATTTATTGCGCAGAACATTGTGAAGAAGGGAAGGAAGTGCACGGAGCACATGCCCCGTCGAAGCGAAGAGGAAGGAGACGAGGAAGAAAAATGACAAGGGGAAAAAAAAACGAGTGAAAAAATGAGGTCACCCCGGTCCGTGCTCCTTCTTTTTTGGTGGGCAGACTGCGGCAACTGCAAGTACCAGTGATTTGTGCTTTCCCCAGCAGAAAACAGCAGGTGCTAGGTACCTTCAGCCGGAAAGTACGTCCCATCGCATCCAGCCGAAGCTAATTCCCGCCGCCCATCAATCGAAAACCACCACCAACCTCTGCACCTGCACCACCACCACCACCTGCACCTCAACCACGCCGTCGTCTATCCTCGCTCGCGACGTTTGCGCCTGGTCTCACGCTCCCTCCTCTCTCCCCTCCACCCTCCTGCGCCTCCTCTACCGCATATCTGGGTTGCACACTTGATCTGCCCGCGCCGAATCTTAGCCCAGTGTGCTATCGCAACCCATATATATATCTCTTATCGACCACCCGCGCACCCTCGCACCCCCGTCGAATCTCGAAGCCATGCGCTGGAGGCTGCGATTCTGCATTCCATCACCGTGAGACCCTGGCAGCGGGGTAGCGCGCCGCCGCCCACACCGAGAGCACCAAGCGAGAAGCGACAAGCTCCAACCACCAAGGCACCAGGCGGCTACCTACACCCAATACAGCATCTCCCACCGACCCAACACCGATCTCCGACCGTTTACCACCGACGACAACCGTGTGTCCGCCTGCACCAGTTCGTCGACGTCACCGCCAGCAGACCCAATCCGTCTTCTGCTGCTGCGCGAGGTGAGCCCACGCCCGACGACTAACCTCAAGCCACGACGCGCGACTTAATCCCTCCGAACCATGGTCCACACAAATCTTGCCGGCGCCGCGGCTGCTTCCCGCACAGCCTCGTCCGGCTCATTCCACGCTGGTGCTCCCATTCCCACCTTGGCGAGTATAGAATCAAGCCGACGACAAGTCACAATGCGCCGCCAATCGACCCATGCCTATCACACATTCCCGACTCCTCCTCCAAAGACTCCTCGCGAGCAGTCATCCGCCGAGCTCTTTGACCACTCCGACTCGGGCTCCAATGCCTCCGACGATGACCACGAGCAGACTCCCTTGCCGGTGCGCCAGCTGGCCCTCCTTGCCTTCCTGTCCTTGAGCGAGCAGACGGCCCTCAACTCCATCGGCCCCTACCTGCCCCAGATGGTCGAGTCCTTCTCCGACATTCCAGATTCCCAGACTGGCCTGTACGTCGGCATCCTCGCCTCGGCATTCGCCCTCGCCCAGCTCTCGACGAACTTGTTGTGGGGATACCTATCCGATGTTATTGGGAGGAAACCCGTCATGATCATGGGCACCTTTATGCTCACCTGCTGTTTCGTCGCATTTGGTTTCTGCAGGACGTACTGGCAAATCGTGCTGGTCCACGTCTTCATGGGCTTGCTGAACGGCAATGCTGCCGTGGTGCCTACCGTGCTGGGCGAAGTGACGGATCGTTCTAACCAGAGCAGGGCTTTCACTTGGCTGCCCGTCATCTACTCTCTGGGTGGTATTACGGGTCCTGCGTTGGGAGGCCTGTTGGTAGGGACCTTGGGCAAGAAGTATCCCTACCTTGCGCCAAACCTGCTCAGCGCAGCACTGCTTCTTACCAGTGTGATTATCGTCGGAATTTGGTTTGAGGAGACTCTGGAAAGTTTGGAGTCCGATCACGCTGCTTGGATTCCTGCCTGGGCTCGCAATGCATGGTCGTGGGTCAAGGGATCACGCCAACCGAAGAGGAACTCTTGGGCCGCCCGCTGGCCTCGTCGCGGTTCCCAGGTCGCGGTGAGCACATCAGACGACGAAGAGGACGAGGATGAAGACGGCGCGACGGAGGACCAAGGGCTACTTCCCCACGCTGACGAAGAAGGCTCCGAGGCTGGAGACGATCCCAAAACGCCAGGCGACCTTGCAACCTGGCGCCATATCTTGAACCGCAATACGGTTCTGGTGCTGTTGACATATCTGGTATTCCAGTTGTCCAACATTTCCTACAACAGCTTGTACCCCATCTTCGCTGACGCGGATCCCCCAACAGGGCGCGGTTTGCCCCCAAGCAAGATTGGTGTCAGTCTGAGTCTGGCTGGCGTGGCCACAATCGTCTTTCAAGCTTTCCTGTTCCAGCCTGTCAAAGCCCGTTTGGGAAACCTGGGCAGCTATCGTGTTGCGCTGCTTGGACTCGCCGTCAGCATGGCTCTGATGCCTTGGATTGGATACCTCGATGATGAACCGTACTTTGGCGTCGGCACCGGCTCCACTTGGCTGTACATTGAGCTGGGAGCCATTCTCATCATCAAGAATATCTGCGCAGTCGGCGGGTTGTCCAGTGTGATGCTGCTAGTAAGTCCCCCCCAGCCAACATGACCCTCGTTTGCTGACAATATAGATTACCAACTGCGCCCCTAATCATGCCACGCTGGGCACACTAAACGGCATTGCCCAGACCTTGTCCGCCGCTGGTCGCAGCTTCGGACCTTTTGTGTCCGGCGCGCTGTTCACTCTTTCCACACGCGTCCACCCCAAAGGCGAAGCTCTGGCCTGGGGAATCTTTGGAGGCATCGCCTTGCTTGGATGGGTAGGATCCCTGGCCATCCGCAACCGCGGACTTGAGAGCGACGACTGGACCGGCGAAGAGGACGGCACAGACGGTGAAGCGGACCCATAGTCGAAAGCCTCAGCCTCGACAGGCCAGCCTGTCAAGCCCGTCGTTTGTCTTGATAGAAGACATCTGTTTTGTTACATGTGCTGAAAAATGTCGCGGATAATCATAGCGTAGCAGGTCGGAATCAATCACGCCCAGGGATAAAGCGGCTACATTGCATCGATAGAGGGACGACACGATGCCCTCCTCCGGAAAGAAGAGGAGGCAGAAATAAAGGGTATAGATCTAAGAGGCCCGCCAAGCCCACCTTGAAGAATTAAAAGAAGATTTTGTCATTTGACTACTGTCACATTTTCCTTGACGCTGTTTTGCCCAGAACATTAATAGTCACAGGGCGATCTGCTAACAGGCAAAGTTCTCTCACTTCCTCAGGGCCTTGGCAACAGCTTGGTAAGACCCCTGCCGAATGTCCTCAAGAACGCCCATGCCCTTCGGTTCCCATCCCAGCTCCTTCCTCGCCTTCACCCCGGAAGCACGGTTCTCGACAGACAAGAAGAAAGCCATCATAGGCCCGAACTCCTTCTCCACCTGCTCCTTCGTGATGTTTCTAACAGGAACGCACACAGCCTCCGCCATGGCCTCCGACATCTCCCTCAGAGTCACCTCGGTAGACGCACTCGCGTTATAAACCTCCCCGACCTTGCCCTTCTCTGCCGCAAGAAGATACAACCGCGCCGCGTCGTCGACATGGACCGTGGTGGTCCGGTTCCCGCCCCCATCGATGACGGTGATGCAACCCGCCTTGGCGCCCATGTCCATGAGCTGCGCCACGCCGCTGCGGCCGTGGCCGTGGACAAATGGCGCTAGGCGGACCGCTATCACGCAGATTCCCCTGTTCCTCAGGCTGAGAGAGTGCGTCTCGGTCAGCATGCGCGTGTGCAGCTCGTTGGACCCGATCGGCGACGCCTCGTCCGTCTCCGCGCCCGCGGGGTCGGCGGCGACGATTAGGGTGCCGGAGGTGGCGACCAGCGGCTTGTCGGTGCCAGCCAGGCCGTCTGCGATGGCGTCGACGGCGGCGAAGTCGATGTGCCGGATGGACTCGTAGGGGGCGCCGCCGAAGACGTAGGCTGTGGCGAGGTGTAGGACGGCGTCGGCGGCGGCGGACTCGATGCGCAGGACGGCGAGGGAGGTGAGGTCGCCGCGGACGGGGACGGCGCCGAGGGAGCGGAGTTTGGTGTCGCTTTCGGGGGTGCGGGAGAGGGCGCGGATGGAGTGGCCGTCTGCGAGGGCTAGGCGGATGATCTCGGAGCCGATGTGGCCGCTTGCTCCGGTCATAAAGATGCGCTTTTGGGAGGCCATTGATGCGGTTGATGCGAAGTTTGAATTGATGTAAGAAAGGGGTGGTGGCTCTTGAAGTCTTGAATGCTGCAGACTCTCCTGGGGACGAGTGAGAGTCTTTATATGCGTTGACTGTGTCAGTCGATTTCACGGGTCAAGCCTGGATGTGAACCTCAAAGTGAAAAGAGTACATCAAACCGCTCCCTCGTCAAGCACGGAGTCTATCTCCGCAAATCACCAATCTCCATACGAGCTTGCAGTAGTTCCGCAGTTCGGTCAACGTTGCTGTCCGAGTTGCGCTTGTTGATACCACCCCGGAAGCAGCCCCAGGGGTCAACTTACCGTAGCAGGTTACGTATTAGTAAGTGAAAGAGAAGCATAGATGAATATTACATTGCAATCACGGCAAACAGAATGTTTTTCGGGTCCGGTGGACTGTCTTCGTGATACGGTTGGCGCAAGGCCGGCCGTAAGCGGCTCTTAACTCCATGCAATACGACGGAGGTCTTGGTCTGATCTATCTAGGTTGAAGCTCCAAAGTATTTCAGTCTTTTTCGAACCACTTGAACGAAATTCAGGATTCAAAAAGTGGGTTTCGTTTGATTCCCATCCCAACTCATCTTACGACTTAGCAATGCTAAGGTGGTGTCATCTGCCCTGGCGGTAGGTATTCTTGCTGTTTTGGCAAAATCACCAATCCGGACAACGGAAACCCTTGTTTTTGACAACCTCTTTGAGACTAAACAACTCTAGATTCATGTTACGAGAAAGAAAGGCATAACCAAGTGATGAAGCAAGTATCATCGAGGCAATCAGAAGTTTCGCGTAACGCCAGGCTTGATAGCCTCCAGCTTCCCCATCAGCTCCACCCAAACCCGATCCTGCGTCACCTTCCCCTCCGCGCTTCTCACAAACGCACTCGGTTCATCGACCTGGCAGTCAGACAGGTACTTTCCGTGGGACTCACCCCCCGCAGACCCGGCGTGGACTAACGTCCTGCTTCCATACTCCGCGCTACGCGCCATGAAAGTGTTCAAAAACCACACAAACCACGTGTCTAGCTCGCGCACCAGCTCGGAGCGGCAGTAGCCCGGGTTGAACATATTGACAGTGACCAGACACCCAGTCGCCGGGTTCCGCTCCGCGATGCTCCGCACGCCAAAGACCTCGAGCAGTTTCGACGGCCAGTACAGGCTGTTCGGGTCTTTCTTGCCCTGCTCGTTGAGGGCGTCGTAGATCCCGCCATCGGGGGCGTGGCGCTCGTTGAACGGCGTCCAGGCGTGCGTTTCCGAGGTGGTGATGGTCAGCGTCGGACGTGTGTTGTACCTTGCTGCCGTCTCCTTCATCTTGGGCAGCACGAGCGCGGCCAGGAGGAAAGTTGAGACGACATTGACGGTGATCTGGCCCTCGTCGTCTTCCATCAGCTTGTACTCGACATGCACGACGCCGGCGTTGGCATGAAAGATGTCGACGCGACCGAGCTCGGAAGAGAGGCGCGTTGCGAACTTCTGCACGCTGGCGTAGCTGGACATGTCGAGCTGCCAGACTTCGACGACGTCCTGAGCGCAGTTGGTGGTGGACTCGATGTCGTCTTTGGCTGCGGTACCCTTGTCGAGGCTGCGTACGGCGAGAATCATTTTCCTGGCGCCGAGGCGGACGTAGTGGCGCGCCGCTTCCTTGCCAAGGCCGACATTACTGCCGGTGATGACGATGGTTTTGCCAGCGTAGGAGCCGGTTGGGTAAGGGAGGCGGGCGAAGAGTTGGCTGTAGAAGAAACCCATTGCGGTTGATTTGATCGAGATTTGGAGTGAAGAGGGTCTGAAATAATTAAGTTCTTTCAGATGATCTGTCTGTCTATTGAAGTAAAATGGCTTTTGATGAGGATATCAGCCATCGTCAGGAAGCTCGGTATTTATCATGTTTCCATGATGTTGTTCTCCGTGCACTCGTATAGCTGGCCATGGTTGCTTAGACCGTTGTACGAAAAAGGGCAATTGTCCAGACTGTCTTATCTCCACGCGAAGTTGATTGTTTCACTAAAAAGGGACCTGTTGGAGAGGAACTTGCTCGCGCCTTGAGTGTTACTTAAGGCCGTGTGTCTCGCCTTCATGCTGGTAAGTCAGCAGCCTGACTGGTATTGTTGCCCCTAGCAGGTATTGTTTCCCCTTTTGGGCAATAGTCTAATCGTTGATGCCAATGGTTGGTTATGATTGGTCGAGACAAATGCGCCATTCTTGGGGAGTTGATGGTTTCTGCTCCTTTCTACTAACAGCGCCAGATCGACCGATGCCCAGATTTGGTCCGAATATGCTCTCGTTGCCTTCCTGGACTTTAGATCTTGATTATAAAGAGTCGACGTCGAACTTAGTTGATTAGCTCATGATTAGGAGAGCATGCTCGACGTATCTTACGCGATGACAGGGACGAGAGCATGTCTCGTTCCGTTAGTACATGTATCCAAGCAGCAGGAACCTAGAGAGACTGCGAAAACAGAAGAGAGAAAGAAGCGCGAATTTCATGGACTTGATCTACCGGAATACGTCGATGTTTTAACGATTGCATCACGTTGTGGATAGCGGCAGCTCCCGCAGTTAGTCGCTGAAACGACTTCAGCTGGTTGGATGCCGCGGGGAAGATCGTCGCGACCGGCTCGGCGAAGTGGGGGCCGGGATTAAGCGTGCGCTCCGGACTTTGCGGACTTGGTTGCTCGCTACGTATTGAAATTCCCATACCAAAGTCCCAAAAGCCTGGCTTCTGCAGGGTCTTTAAACGAGCCTGAAAAGGCTCGGAAAGTGCTTTAGTGTCCGTTATCTGTCCGCGACCCATGATTTCCCCAGCTGGGTGAATATGCGGTACAATTCACATCGAATGTCCGCCATCACGCCGATGCAAGAGCTTGACCGTCCCGTGCATCTCACTCGCCTCGATCCACAGCCAAAGACAAAGTCCGGACTCAACCACCTACCTTCACACGATCATGGCTTTGCGAAGGAGTTTGAGGCTTCTAATGTCCATTATCTCCCCTTGAATGCACCGCGGGTCCATGTAAACGCCATAATGTCTTGGGATTCTGAGTTGCATCACCGGTTTTAAGGGACATGGTAGTCATTACGTAGCAATGAATGAGTATTTAAAGATGCATCATGTGCGTCTATCGTCAGAAATCCAACTAGCACAACAACAGCACCGCATCATTCAAGGCGGACATTCGATTCAGAGAATTTCAGCACTTTCTTCAGCACTTCCACCGATCACCAAAATGTCTGCGCCAGCTTTCCCCGCCTCTCTGCAAAAGAGCCTCCACGCGACCAAGGTTGAATACATCAACATGGGCACTTCTGGACTTCGAGTCTCAGTCCCAATCCTCGGCGGAATGTCTCTCGGCTCTTCAGAATGGGGTTCCTGGGTGCTTGACGAGGAGCCGTCCCTCGAGATCTTGAAGGCCGCCTATGATCGCGGCATCACCACCTGGGACACGGCCAACATGTACTCGAACGGAGTCAGCGAACAGGTCATCGGCAAGGCGATCAAGAAGTTCAACATCCCCCGCGAGAAGATCGTGCTCATGACCAAGTGCGCGTTGCATGTTGGCGAGGAGGTCGGCATGCACACGCCCCCTTTTACCCAGCAACTCAACCAAAGCAAGGACTATGTTAACCAAGGAGGTGAGCTTATGCATTCGAAATCAACGATGATTTGAAAAATGATAACTAATTCAGATCAGGTCTTTCACGCATCGCCATTTTCAAGGCTGTCAACGACGCCCTTGCCCGCTTGGACACGACTTACATCGACCTTTTCCAGATCCACCGCGTCGATCCCGCCACACCCATCGAAGAAACCATGAAAGCTCTCCACGACCTCGTCCAAGCCGGGAAGATCCTTTATATCGGCGCCAGCTCCATGTGGGCGACCCAATTTGCGCGCATGCAATTCGTTGCGGAGAAGAACAACTGGACCAAGTTCGTGTCCATGCAGAACTACTACAACCTCTGCTACCGTGAGGAAGAGCGCGAGATGAACCGATTCTGCAACGACACGGGCGTCGGCATCATGCCGTGGTCGCCGCTGTTCGGCGGCAGGCTGGCGAGGCCGCTGGGCTACGACAAATCTATCCGGTCGCAGATGAAGGGCCCCATGAGCCCCGCGTTTACGGAGGCCGATGAGGAGATCATTCGCAGGGTTGAGGAGGTCGCGGGGAAGAAGGGGTGGAGCATGAGCCATGTTGCACTTGCCTGGGTCAGGTCCAAGGGTGCGATTCCCGTGACGGGATTCAACTCTGTCAAGAGAATCGATGAGGCTTGTGAGCTGAGGGGGAAGACTCTGACGGAAGATGAGATTAAGTATCTTGAAGAGCCATATGTCCCTAGGAACGTCATGGGACACTTCTAAGTCGGATCATGTAGTACACTGAGGCGCAACAGTCTCTTTTCGACCCCTGCCAATGTTACAATAGTCCCAAATATCTCAATTCTATCTAACTAATTGGAGTTCGCAGAGTCATTCATGCGGTGCTTTTCAGACTTTTCCTGTTGTGAAAGACCAACTGGTACTTTGTGTCTAGCTGGAGAGGGTTCTCGGAATGAAATGAGTAGTCCTTTGTCTGTAACTTAGCTTAGAAGGCCGACATTGCTTAATATGAGACCGAAGACTATCTTTTCGGAAAGCCAGAACTTGCGGTAGATAGTTGCCCCGACCATTCAAACACACAGATCCGACCTTCCGCATGATCCGAACTTAAAAAGGGAAGAACTGCATGCCAAGGGCAATATTCGCCTGTGAAATCGAGACGTTTTGGTAAAAGATGAGCAACCCGAAAGGTTCGTGATCTAGACCACGTTGGCTCGTTGTTGTCAGTGCTGAGAGCCAACTGACTAGTTAATTACTTTGTGGATCCCGTCCACGCGAACTCGTGGGATGGCAATCATGTGGCCAAAGTCTAAATAAACAACGGAGAAATACGGTAATTAGGAATAATGGGGGCTAGAGTCCTGACTCAATTTGCACCTCAACACGAAAACCTTGTGTAATGAGTGTCAATCAGATCCCCAAATGAGAGAAGGACAGGACATCTGTGTATGCCGTCAGTTTGAGGCTATAATACGGGAAGTATTGCCCACAGATCGCAAGCAATAGCATTCTTCTCTTACTACCGAAGTCATTATTGAAATCATTGGCAACATGGGGCCGTTCACTCTTTTTTTCTCGTCACTCCTTTTCACCTCTGCGCTCGGCGCACCGGCCGCCTCTGGCGAGTCGCACCTGCACAGGGATCTGCTTTTGGTTGAGTCTTTCAAGCAGAAGATCACCTCCGACCCACAGGGCATCACCAAGAACTGGACCGGAAACGACATCTGCAAGTTCAACGGTTTCAGCTGCGACAACAATCCAAACACGGGTCAGAAGGCTCTGGCTGGCATTGACTTCAACGGCTTCGGGTTCGAGGGCCAGAAGTTGACTCTGGATGGCTTTCTTGACAAGCTCACCGACTTGACCTTCTTTCACGCCAACAGCAACGGATTTGTTGGACAAATTCCGAGTGATCTTTCGGCGCTGAAGTGGCTGTATGAGCTTGACCTCAGCTCCAACAAGCTGTCTGGGCCGTTCCCCAAGGCCGTTCTCAATGCCGACCTCACCTTCCTGGACCTGCGTTTCAACGAATTTTCCGGCTCTATACCTCGCGAGCTGTTCACTCTGGACCTGGACGTCATCTTCCTCAACGACAATAAGTTCATTGGCAGCATTCCTGACACCATTGGATCGACCCCGGCCCGGTACATCACCCTGGCGAATAACCAATTCAGCGGAACCTTCCCGAAGTCTGTCGCCAACGCCAAGTCTCTGGAAGAGATCCTGCTCCTCGGAAACAATCTGTCCGGCTCTCTTCCCACGGTGTACAAGACTGAGAACCTGACGGTTTTCGACGTCGGCAACAACAACCTGTCTGGAACCGTCCCGGAGGCTTTGTGTCAGTTGAAGAACGTTCAAGTCCTGAACCTGACGAGCAACAACTTTGAGGGAGCTCTTGGCCCGGCTTGCACTGAATTGGTTTCGAAGGATATTCTTGATATCTCCAACAACTGCATCCAGGGAGCTAAGGGCCAGAAGCCCGCCAACCAGTGCAAGAAGGCTTAATAGTATGGGCTAAACTTGGTGTACTAATATCAGACGGTTGTTCACTTCTTTGCTAGTTCACTATGTGTTAGCGTGCGTGTGTCTAATCTTCAAGTATGTTGGGCTCAAAAAGCCACAATACCTAGTAGGCAACTACTTGATTCTGACTTGGCTATTTGATCATCTTTAATATCCTAGTATTCGCGTTGTCACATCTGTTGCCATCGTTCCCGTTGTTCTCGTTGCTACTATAGTCGCCGTCGCCATCGTCCTCGACCTCCCCCACGTCGTCCTCGTTCGTCGTCGTCGTTTTGTGATTGCACCACCCGCCCGGATAGCAAAATTCTACTAGCTGGTCTGTGGCCAAACAAGTCTTGCCTGCCTATTTACTAAGTGGGCAGAACGTGATCTAGAATTTATGTGAATGTCATTTGTGAATTAGTCGCGACGCAATCTACGTAAAAGGAAGGCCAACAGACTGTTACGCATGATTATGACGAGTCAGCATCAGATCATTGGCATATGCTGCCAGCCATAGAATGCCGTAGCAAGCTATCTATTTTATTTCTTGCTTTAGAATCGAACAACGAGCTGAATGAGACCTCATGCTTGCCCTAGTGGATGTGTCAGACCCCTGTCTGACTGGCGTCGAAAGTGGCTGGCTGTGTACCGTATTTGTCTGCAACAGCGAAGGTCATCATTCCCACTAGTCGGATCATCAAGCCTCCTTCATTCCATGTCGACGCCACGCCGTCGTTTGTTCTTGCGGGAATGATTTGCTGGTATTGGGTCCGGACTGCCTGAGCAATGTGGGCGGCCAAAGCTGACCCCCTTGCATGCCCCATCGTCTTCGTTCTGCGGGGTTGTGTAACTATGTTGGGGCTAGATGTTCCCGGGCCGCACCGTCACTTAGTCGACGGGACTTCCAACGTAAATAGCCGCCAGGAACTGGTACGATGGTGGCAGAAGCGGCAACACGGAAGAATGCATGAGGTTTGGTGGCGTTTGAACAGGCAACTAACTGTTGGCATCCGAAGGGTAATGACAGCTTCCGCCCAATGACTGTCCACAACCGGTAGACAATGGAAAGGCACCGTACCCCTTTGGCTTCAACCGGTAAGCTTCCCTGAAGCACTTATCAAGCCGATATCTTGATATGATGAGAGTGAGAAGATAGAACCAATGAGAACCAGAGAGGAACCTGGGCATCATTGCAAAACCAGCGGTGAAATTTCGACCTCGAGCCGTTGTGGCATTCTGAGCTAAGACAAAATACCCTTTTTGAGTATTAAAATTCATAGCGTATTTGTGGGCTGAAAGTTTGGATGAAGCTTGAGCTGAAATATGTAGATAAACTCGAACGTCAATCCATGCCTATGAGCTTGGCATTATCATTCGACATGTCCGTCATTCTCGCGTGTAAAAATCCACTGCCAGTTCACCGATGTCTTGCGTCTCACAAGTGCCGACATACCTGAGCAGCTACGTATCAAGAAATTCGGGGTCTCTGTCTCTAAGGTATGATCTGCAACTGGACTTGTACGCGCGGCTTCGCACTCAGGTACTGGACAGCCGACTGCTGTGCTCCCGCTCTTCCGCGAGACCACAACGTTCCTGTAACATGACCTGACATAAGTTGCATCCTTCAACCCCTCATTCCGTGCTACCCCATGCTCCTGGTTTATTCGGCCTGATCCGGATGCATTCTCTCTTGCGAAGTCTCAGCCCTGATCCCACTACACTTCAGGCGATTACATATTGATCGGGCGACACTAACGTCTTCCTCGATATCTGCATGCAAGTCCTCGGTCATAGCGTAAGGGCATCCGTGATGAGGTGAACCGAAAGAAAGGTGGAATCATGGTAGCACTCTTGGGGAGTATATGGAAGTCGTGCGAGAGTGGGACGATGGGGCGCTTGCAGGCGGTTGCTGGGCATCTTAATCATGGCCTGGCGATGAACAGAGTCTATCGTCAATATGTGAGAAACGGGGCGCTAAGAGTACCTTGACTCAGACCCTCGTTGGATCACTTTCCACAAACAATCTTCACATTCTCCCTTCGACGAGACAATTCCCGAGGATTTTCAAAGGCGTTAGAAACCGGGGTCATGTCGTGGCAAAATCTGGAAAACCTGGTCTACGGTGACCTATGGCGTTGGTTGACTCGGCTATTTCGCGAAACATCGAATTCTGGATTGTCTCACAGTCACTCCTGCGATGTTCCGACATGTTCCATTGACAGGCTTTTGCCGCCCAGGATACCCCGATAGCGAGTCGAGGCGTGAGGCTTTTGAAGGTTGCCCACACACAGTTTCCATGAAGTGGCTGTAAAGACTTGGATGCCACGGGATGTCAGCTGATACAGGTTCCAGGTAAACTGTTCATGTATAAAGCTGAAGGCCGCCCGGCAGCAGTGAGAACCAACTTCTCCCCAACTATTCATCCTCACTTACATCTATCTGGATTTTATTAACTTTACACTATTCTCACCTATCTACGTTTCAACCGCTGTCAACATGGGTTCCATGCCGCCTAGAGAACGCCTTGACGAGGTCGATGTCCTGCTCGTGGGCTCCGGTCCTATTGGGGCCGTCTTCGCTCGCAAACTCGTGGAAGCCGGAAGAAATGTTGTGATGATTGACGTTGGAGAGCAGTGAGTTGTTCTGGCCGACAAAATGCGTACATCTACGGCTAAACTTGCGTTCAGAGAGACCAGACGGATCGGCGACCATAAGAAGAACGGTATCGCGGTTCAGAAGGATATCAGTCTTTTCACCAAGTAAGCCTTTCCAGATTTTGTCCCTCATCAATAACAAGTCTACATTTGCTTACACAGCCTGCAGTGTTGTCAAGGTAAGAGCTGTGTGCTTTTCTTACCTTTAATCTTACCTAATGATGATATTTAGGGAGAACTGCAACTTCTCTCTGTGCCGACCAGCAACAATGACGCTGGCCTCGAACCTTCAGCCTGGGTTCCTGAGTGAGTTACAGTATTGTGATCCTTGCGACGATAAGCCTGCTCTGACTATTGATAGACCCTGCCAGCAGAAGTTTGTCCACAACGGCCAGAACCCCGACCAGAAGCCGTACGAGAACCTCCCCGCCGCTGCTGCCACGCGCGTTGTCGGCGGTATGGGATCTCACTGGACTTGCTGCACTCCTCGACAAGACCCGACGATTGAACGATCGACACTCTTCAACGATGAGGAGTGGGACGAGCTGTACACAGAGGCAGAGAAGCTGTTCTGGACGAACCCCAAGATCTTTGACGACTCGATTCGCCAGAAGCTTGTCAAGTCAATTTTGGACAAAGCCTTCGAGGAGAGAAACCGCAAGACTGCCAACATGCCTCTGTGCGGCAGGCGCAGGGAGAAGAACAAGGACTATACCGAGTGGGCCTGTACGGCGACGATTCTCGGCGACATTGCCCACGCTGAGAACTTCACGCTGCTCCCCAACACTCAGTGTGTCAGGTTTGAGCTCGATGACACCACTAAAAAGGTCAGACTTGTGCAGGTCGAGAATCTCATCGACAACGAGAAGTACATGATCAAGGCGAACAAGTTTGTCGTATGTGCTGGCGCTGTCTTGACTCCTGGGATCCTCTATAATTCCCGAGGACCCCAGGAGAATTCCACAAGACTTAGTGAGACTCTCCCGGCTTTGGTAAGTACTATTCCCACTCTTCGCGGCGGTATGGTTTGGATGACAACATAATAACTGACGATGCTTTCGCACAGGGCCACTACATGACGGAGCAGCCCATGTCCTTCTGCCAGATCGTCCTTGATCGCAAGTACATTGATGCCATCAAGAAAAACGAGTATGAACTGGGCACCGAGGAGAAGAAGGCTGTTCAGGCGCATGAGAAAAAGTTTCCCAACGATCCTCTGCCGTTCCCCTATAACGATCCTGACCCGCAATGCTACTTCCCTCTCACCAAGGACTACCCTTGGCATACCCAGATTCACCGCGACGCCTTCGGATATGGTCAGATTCCGGCCGGCATCGACCAACGCGTGATTGTTGATCTGCGATGGTTCGGCTACACCAAGCCCAACTATGACAACCATGTCAGCTTTTCCAATGAGATCAAGGATGGCTTCGGAATGCCTCAGGTAAGTTCTCTTGTCTGTGATTCAGTCACCGTAGCTGATAATAAACGCGTCTACCAGCCCACTTTCCATTTCAAGATTGAACAAGATGATGCCGACCGTTCCCGGAGAATGATCACCGAGTAAGTCTGCGGCACGGTTTTCACAATATCAGAATGCTGACCAACTCCTTTTTCTAGCATGGTTGACGTCGCCCGCTGCCTCGGCGGCTTCCTTCCCGGAGCCGAGCCGAAGTACCTCCCAGCCGGCTCCGCGCTCCACATCTGCGGCACCTACAGGGCTGGAGAGTCCCGGGAAGACAGCGTCGTGGACAAACTCGGCCGTGTCTGGGGCCAAGACAACCTCGTGCTTGGTGGATGCGGTGTCATCCCGACGCAGAACGCCTGCAACCCCACGCTCACTGCTGGTTGCTTTGCACTGGCCGCTTCGGAGCAAATCATCAAGGATCTGAAGGGAGTCAAGGCCATCAAGCCGCGCACCCTCTAGATCTAGTCCGCGCGGGCAGCGATATGGCACTCAGCAAGAGATTCAAGGAAGTCAGAATGATATTCACATGCGCTAGCTCGAGACTTTAGTCAACAGTGTATTACAAAACGTTATCCGCATTGAATATTTTCCAGTGTTTCGAGTCTACATGAAAACTTTTCTCACACACCACCAGGCGCATACTCTTTCAAAGCTGTTGCCATAGGGGCAAAGTCAGCCCCAGCCAAAACCTTCCCGGACGTCTTCCACCCTAGAGACCATTGTAGCCTCTCCTCCACGAAGCTAGCATTAATCCAATCCCTCCTCGCTTTTCCATCCTCAACGCTACCTCCGAAAGCCGCCAGAATACCACTCATCTGGTCAAAAGTAGCCTGGATCCCCGCCGCATCAAGCTCGAACTGCGGGTTCTCTTTCCTCGCATCCTCCAACCTCGCTGCTCCCGCCTCAGCCGCCTGCTTCCAGGTGACGTACTCATCCGGCAACCTTGCCACGACGGTGTCCCAGATGGTTCGATTGAATTTCAGATTGTCACCTAAGGCGAGATCCCCGCGACTCAGACTGCCATCATGGTCGAGGGGCTTCTGAGCGAGGTCGTCAAGGTGGAATGTCCCATTCACGCCGGTCGTGGCGTATTTGAGAGCGGCAGGGACGGGGCCGGCCGCGACGGCACGCGAGAAGTTGAAGGCTTGCATCTGTGCGACTGTGGCGCTCTCTTCTGTGATGAATGACCCATTGCGGTTGATGTAGCCGTGGTTGGCAAGAATGTTCAGGGCCGGACAGGGTGAGCGGCGGTCGGAGGCTGTTGGCGGGATGTACGGGTGCTCTGGATCTTCGATTTGAGCGTTTGCGGAGGTGGCTGCGAGGGCCATGCATATGGCTGCGAGTTTGAGTTGCATTGTGCTTGTCGGGGCGGACTTAGAGAGTAGGTTGGTGTAAGTGTTGATGACGTTAATGTGGTTCCAATCCTAGTTACGAGGCCATCAAAAGTAGGAAAACGACTCAGGGTTGTGTGAAATTGACCGCTGGCTTGAGTTGATCTTGAGAACTCGCTATTACAAGATAGTAGAACGTCTGTTTCGTCCTTTTGAACTCCAATGAGACCACGGGCAATCTGGATGACATCCGGTCCAAGAACATGGGGGATTAGAATACGTGCAATGGTATTGGCTGAAAAGTGTGGTTCTTGGTGACGACCTGCCTCGATTCAGGTCAAAATAGAGTTTCGATATTGCCCAGCCCGCTCTGCCGAGATCACCGAGAATGGAATTTTCGCTCTAATTGGCTTCTCGGCAAGCAAAAGACCACTGCAACACCGGTCAAAGCCCCTATTTTCTTTCCGAGACCGAAGAGATGCATAACTGTACCCCATGGCTTTCGTACACTCTGTACTCGGCAGCCCCGTGGGTTGCCCCAGATGCGCGCAACTGGCAAGTCGTCTGTTTCGAGTGCCGGTGCGGGTCGACGTGCGCCTTTCCTACCGAGCAAGGCGAATGAGACATCACCCTTAGCCCTCTATACTCAAGTATATATTGCCCCGGTCGTCATTGTTGTCGTTATAATTCCTGTTTTCTTTTGTATCGTCGTTCCAATCTATCTTAATACCTTATAAAAGCTTTCAACTCGGCACAACTCATAAACCATCAAACCTCTCGTCTCAGCTGTGACAATTCTTGAACTCAAACCGTGAATCTCAAATCCAGAGTGAAGCATTATATTGTCGGCATTCCAGCAATATGTCGGCTCCTATACTGACTGTAGTCTGTAGCGATAGCTGTCAATAGCAACCAAGCATTCCTGTCAGCCTAGATATCTAGATATTTCTATTGTTTCGTCTCATTCAATCTTATCCGCAAAACCCATCAACTTAGCTCTCGTAATCCATATATTCTCGCTCTTAACACGATGGTGACTGAACATTAACACTCATCTTAATAGCTTCACATTTTGTTACTCCAGTGGTTGCCTTCAACCCAATGAAGTAGATGACATTCTGACCGTGTCATTCAAAATGCCTTAATGCCGATTTCAGAGCCAATCCGATATCAGCCACGAGAAGCTCGAAACAGTCGATTGAAAACTTTGCCCAACGTCACACATAGCCCTTGAAGTTTTTGATGGTACCTGAACCTCGGCCTCCCCCCATACACAAAGGACAACTATTGTGATCAAAACAGTTGTCAACGTTTCTATTATGCGACAAACCAAGTACACATAGGCTCTTTCCATTAATACAAGAGGGTGAAATCCACCTTAACGTTGCATCACTTATTTCTGAATGGGGAAAGGAGGGACACCCCACAAATCGTAGAGATGATTAGAATCTCTATGTTGAGAGGATAATATCGGGCAATTAAGAGAATGCTAAGATCACTCTCTCGAGGCAACACGGGTCTCAACTTCTCTCCTCGAAATACGCACTTTAATTACTCACAGTTCAAGCATGTCATTCCAAGAACAACTTGTCAATTTACATTGCGAGTTTGGTAGGAAGCAGCACTGCGACGTCTTCATGACCCGGATCACCCCTTCAACATCTCATCATGATGAAAACCTTATCATCCAACTATTCCCGTCGTCTTGCTTCATCAGACACAGGGCTGAGACACCAACACGAAAGCACACCCAGCAGCAATCAGCCAGTCGGTGCCATCATCGCCAGAAAAATCGATCCACAAGATCACGAAACGTCCTCTGGATAAAGCATCTTCCGCCATCCCTTGAAGCCGTCTTTTTTTCCCTCACCATCACACCGCCAAAATAGCGGCGCCCAAGCCCTCCCAGTCCCGATCTCTTCCTCACACCGCTCGGCTAACGAAAGCCAAGACGGGCGGACGCCGGGTGATGCGCCCCGTGGAGGAAGACTTACGCCCAGGAAGGAGCGTTGGTAATCCCGCCCCGCCCCAATTGCCGAATCAAGCCAAGGCCGGGGATGGGCCCCCTAGCAATTTTTTGACGACGGTCGTTAACAAAAAGTGTCGAAAGTCCCCCGTGACGATGGTCCATGGCCGCGGCCGGGGGGCCCGACATGAAAGTGGTACGAAGACCCCGGTTTGGGAGTCAGCATGAATAATGAGAAAGAACGCGTCGGGCTCCGATATGGGGCCCCCGTTGACCTCGGTCCGCTTTCCCCCGAACCGTCGGGCATTTTTGGGGCAGTCGCATTATTACGTGCTTTGTTTTGTTTTTGTTCACAGCGGAAATGAGCCGAGCAGAGATTCTTTTTGATTGAATTTATTTTTCCAATTACTGTTTAGAGAGTAGGTAGGTAGGTAGGTTTAGGATATTGGGATATCATCACAAACGTGATCCTCCACATGCGCCATGCAACATTTCAAGACATTCCGCATTAACAAGTTTGACGCCCGGTAACAAAGACAATTGGGCTCAACTCCACACACATACAAGTGCCTCTCCGTCAGAATACGGCACGTGGGGTATTCCGAGTAAATATACTAGTATAGACAAATGATGATTGGGAGAAACAATTTAGACGTTGGAGCCGCGGCGCTCGATCTGCTCGCCGTGGACCTTCTCGAGGACGCCGTCCTTAGCGACCTGGGCGGCGAAGGTCTCGTGGGGAACCCACTTGGCGGAGGTACGGGGGGTGGTCTCCTCCATCATCTTGTCGACCTGCTCGAGAGACAGACCCTTGGTCTCGGGAACCAGGAAGTAAGTGTAGATGAGGGCGCAGGTGCAGAGGGAGCCCCAGACGAAGAAGACGGAGGACTTGAGGTTGCCGCGCTTCTCACCGACCATGTAGGGGGTGATGACGGCGATGATGGTGTTCCAGAGCCAGTTGGAGGCGGTGGACAGGGCGACACCACGGGAGCGGATGGGCAGGGGGAAGACCTCGCCGATGAGAATCCAGGCACCGGGGCCCCAGGTGGAGGCGAACCAGAAGATGAAGATGGCGATGAAGGCGATCTGGGCGTTGACGGCGGGGATGTTGTTGGCGATGGACTTGGTGGCGTCGGCGGGGTCGGGGTGGGTGTGGTTGAAGCCGACAGTGACACCGATGATGGCGACGAGGTACTGGCAAATCAACATACCGGCGGCACCCCAGAGGAGGATGGTGCGGCGACCGAATCGCTCGACGGTCCAGAAAGACAGAGGGGTGGAGCAGACGTTGACGAGGGTGAAGACCAGGGAGATCAGGAAGGTGTTGTCAATAGCGCCGGTAGACTGGAGGAAGGGGGTAGAGTAGTAGAAGATGAAGTTGACACCAGTCCACTGCTGCATCATCTGCAGAGAAGTACCGAGAATGGTCTTGCGCAGGTTGGAGTTGGACTTCCAGAGACCACCGCTGAAGCAGTTGGCCCAAGAGCCGAACCAGGTGGTGGAGGGAATGAGCTGGCGCTCGTACTCCTCGTTGGCGACGATCTCGGCAAGCTCGACCTGGATGTACTGAGAGTCCTTGGGCTGGCCACGAAGGCGAGAGAGAGACTCGGTGGCATCCGCGAGGCGGCCCTTCTTGACGAAGTATCTGGGGGAGTCGGGAAGGAGGAGCAGACCGCCACCGAGGATGAGGGCCCAGGGGAACTGGATGGCGATGGGAATGCGGTAGGCACCAGTATCCTGGCGGTCCTTGGTCGCGTAGACGACGCAAGCAGCGAGCAAGAGACCGATGGTGATGCAGAATTGGTAGCCGGCGACGAGGGCACCGCGAACCTTCTTGGGGCACTGTCAATTGGGGTTAGCGTTGCTGTTGTTGGAGAATGGATGTTTGGGGAAGGGGGATGTCAAGACTTACAATCTCAGACATGTACAGAATGACAATGGCAGACTCGAAACCGACACCAAGACCGGCAATGAGACGACCAGCGACGATGGGACCAAGAGGAGCGCCAATACCGGTAAGCATCTGGATGACAACACCGATCATGTAGATGAAGCAGCCGAAGATGACAGTGTACTTGCGACCAATCCAGTCGGCGACATCACCAGCAATGAGAGCGCCGAAGAAGGTACCGCAGGAGAGAATGGAGACGATGAGAGATTGGTCGGATTCGTTCATGGCAGTGGCTGTGTCGTTGCCCTCGACCTTGCGGATGAAGGCAGTGTTACCAATGACACCGTTGATGTATCCGGAGTCATATCCGAAGAAGATACCTCCAAAGGAGGCGAAGGCGCAAATCACGTAGGCCTTCCAGGTGACGGGGGCCTCGATCTTGGAGACGTCCTCGGTGACGGCCAGGCCGACCGGTTCGCGGGTGACACCGCCGGTTCCCTTCTCCATGGTTGCTGTTGTTGTCGTTGATGTATTCGGAGATGAATAAACAAAGGACGAGAGGGGATCTTGTCGAGGGGGGCGTGAGGAGGAAAAGCTCGTGAGGAGGAAGGGGAGGGAAGACGATGTAGGGAAGGGGAGATGGGAACCTTTTATCCCGTGTTACTCTTCGACGAGCCAGTCAGTTCGCGTCTGTGTCAGTTCGTCCTCTGCAAGAGTGCAAAAGGTGTGCGGTCTGTCTGGTCTGGTCGGGTACCCGTCGAGGTGGCACCGAAGAATGGAACGTCAGGCAAGGCCGCTCTCCTCGAGGCGTGGTGTGTGGTGCTTCATCTCCCCATTCCGAGGGTCGACAGGTCGCAGTTCACGAGGGCGGGCTCCCATTGGGTTAGAGGCAGATGGCTAGCCGTCCCCATGTTGGAGCTCATGCTTAAGAAGGGCCGATAACTCTTGGGGGCTTTCCGACGAGTTGGGAAGGGGGCCGCGGGGCGGGCAGGCCACGGGGAAGGAAAAGGTGGGAGGACGAGGATGATGGGCCGGGGACTAGAGACGAGGAAAGGGAAAGGAGCGCGCTAAGGACTGGGACTGGGACTAGGGGGGTGCATTGCAGATGTTCGTATGTACACACGTAGGTATACAAGTACCTTGTTTTGCTGACAGACTCTTCGTAATATTAGGTAGAACGGCAATAAGGTACCTCCCGCTGACTCCGTGCCTGATCTGCTGACAGCTTGATTCATTCTTTCACTGCTGGAAGGGCTGGAAGGACTAGAAGGTAACGTATCGTGAGTTCTTGTTTGTGTTGTTTGGCTATTATCTTCATCAGGAGAATAGATGTAAGCGAGAGCTGTTCATCATTAGAACATGCTCAGGTATTGTTGGAACATGTTCAGGACCACGGCATACCAGCCATAAACAGCACCAAAGATGCTCAATCATCACGCGGACAGCAGACAAAGAGACTCCGTATGATCTACCTACCCACTGCGGTGTCCAGCACTCACTCACTGGCACAACTGATGGACAGATCATCATGGCTAGCAGCCAGATCAGGCCTGAATACGGCACACACAGCGAGCCTGAAGCAAAGCTAGGTACCTATCTCAGTAGGTAGAGAGAGGGACCTCCATCTCCAGTTTAGCTGCCGCTACCTACCCTGTTCGGCAAAAAAAAAAAAAAGAACAAGCCGTCAGCGGCGTGCGGCGGGCGGCGTCTGCCACCCACAGCGCTAAAACATTTGGAAAAGCGACACTCTGACAGTGTTCTAGGTGGTTTAGGTGGCCAGTCATAGGGGTGGCCGGTCGTCTGAGGTGACTTTTAGCAGTCAGCAGCGCGGTGGTCCCCTGGGGAACAACACTGGGGCTCTCTCCAGGTCGCAGTTTTGCCCCCCGGGGACCCCCTTTCTCCCCCAGGACGGGCAGCAGTGTGGCTGGTCCTGCCCCAAGGCCCTAGCTTGCCCCCTAGAAGCCTCCTGGTGTGGTGGGCGCAGCGTCCCGAGTCACGGGGTCACTCGCCTGGAGACCGCCTAAAAAAAAGAGTGCCTGCCCAGTAAAGAAGAAAAAAAAGCTGGGGAAGAGTCGCCGTTGTCTCGCCGTCGCGTGGCGTTTTGCGGGGCGGCCTTCTGCTCCAGAGGTGCTGTCGCCTGTAGGTACGTACCTAAGAGGTTGTCGCTGTTGCGCGCTGGCGAATCGACGCTAGACTCGATCCAGATCCTTGACCGCTCTCGGCTGTGGGGCCTCCCTAAGTACCCATGTACCTGACGAGGTACGTACCGCGGCACCTTGCTGGGGTCGCCGGGATGCGCATGGAAAATGGGATGAGCACGGGGACACGACGCGCTACAGGTCAAATTTGCGTGTCCCTTCTGACCAACATTTTTTTCTTCCTTTTTTTTTTTTTTTTCCAAATCCCCTGCCGCTCGTGTTGGCGCTGCTGCTGATCTGGACGTGGTCTCGACTTTCATCCTGCCTTGGGCCAGACAGACAGAGACACAGAAAAAAGAACCACATCGGAATTCTTAGTCAAAGTTGACAGATTTTGTATGGGTCTGTAATCCCTTAGTCGGGGGGCTGTGATGACGGTAGTTCCGGTCATTATGAACGCAAGCTAAGGACCCAAAAGCCAATTCGAATCAATGACACGATGTCCCAGCCGCGGATTCAGTCGCGACTTCAATCGCAAATTGCCCTTGCACTCCGCCTCTGTCTGCCCAGAACATGCGTCAGTGAAGAGTCTCGGCAGCCGAAAACGACCTCGTTCGTCGCAGACATGCTGGGATCCTGGTAAATCCCTACGGCGTAAACGCGGAACTTCACACACATGATCATGACGCCCGTCCACCGCAAGCGCGCAACAAGCGAATCTCAAACCTGGGGGTGGCCAATCCCCCAATCCCATCAACACCTCGACACCATCACCACCAACGCACCAATGCGGCGGGGGAGGGGGAGGAGGGGACCAGCTGTCGTGCCAAGCCTGAACCTGCCGAGCTTGGCTCCGAGCTCGTGCAGAAACGCTGCATATGTATCTGCCTTACGATGTATGTATCCTTACACTTCCTTACGGATACAAGGGGGTTGAAAGGCATGTAGCAATAACGGGAGGGAAAGACAACGCTCTCAAGCTCTGGAGCTCTCGAGCTTGACTCTCGTCACGTCAACGACATGATCCCGCTTCAGGACAAGCGCCAATCTGTCACCAGATTCCACGAGAGCCCCTTGTCTCTTGTCTTTGGTGTGTCATCGTCACCGTTTGGAAGTAAGTTGGATGTTGCTGATGTTGTTGAACCGGACTTGTCTTCATCCGTCCTCACTCCCCTTCCCCCTAATCTCACGATGAAAATTTTTGGCAGGTTTTTCTCAGTCCGTCCCTCCGTCTAATTTTCTCTCTCCAAGCGTCTTCACCCGCAATGGTGGGGTCCCCGAGGGGTTCCAACTTCCGAGCCAGCTGGAAATAAGAGTAAAGTGTGATGACTTGTAACGAAAAAAGACCACATTAAAAAAAGTGCCCCGGAGATGGAGACGGAGAGGGGAATTCTGGAGCTTCACTTGGGGAAAGCGCCAGAGAAGCGCCGAGAAGTGCCCCAACCTGCCCCCGCCCAACCTGCGGCGCCGTCCTGTCGTCCTTCCCCGGCCGCCATCGTGGCGCTGATTGGCTTCGCGCCTCTCCCTTCTCTTAGCCCAATCCAAAACACCACCCGTCCCTGTCAGAGCCACCACCCCTGCTCTGCTGTTCCTCCCGTTTGGCGTCTGCGCTGCTCTGGGCTGCTCAGGCAGGCAGCTTCAGCGTCCTCCGGCCTCTGTCTGGCCTGATTCCACCGCTGTAGGTGTACGTATTGTCTCGCTTTGGCTTGCTCTCTGTCTTCCACGTCAACCCTCCGGCTGCCGGTTCTGCGGGCTGCGTGCTGACTCTGCCGCCGTCTCATCCCGTGATAGTGTCGCCAAACCATCAAATCAGATGCCTATCCGTACTCGCGGAGGCATTCTACGTGCCCTGGGAATTAGATGGTGAACACCAGCTGGACAGAGACACACAGACATCTGCCAAAGAATGCGGCTGGGCCTGTGCTTGCCGCCTCCCTGGCCAAACCCTTCCACTCCCGTCATCCAGCAAAAGCCTCCACGATTTTGGCACATGTCTTTGCTTCCTTTTCCATCAGCCCTTCAGCCTCCCTCCTGCGGCCTGCCCCTCGCTCGTTTGTGTGGTGTTTCGATGGACAGATTCCGGTCAGTACCGCACATACGAGCATGCAACCCGATCCTCATTCTGATCCTTACCCCGGCGGGACTAATGATCCCAACCACTACGAACATGTACATACAACAAGCCGGCCGCCGAGACAGGCCACCGGTGCTCTCCCGCATGCTGCAGCGTCTCTTCCTCCGGACATGCGCAGCGTTACTCGGTTCCGTCTAGCTCGACTGTCCAGAGACAACTCAAACAACCAAACTGTCGTCTCGGTTAGGTTCCCAAGTCGAAGCTATTCGGGCCATTCATTCGAGCAGCGCCCTAAACTCGCCTTGGCTTCCAAGTCGTCGTCGTTGTGCCTCACTACCACTGCCTAGTGCAACTGTTCCGGCCTTGCATGCCTCCCAACATGCAACCGTTCCATCCCATCCCATCCATCCATCCATCCCACCCTCTTTTCCCCAAACTCATTCCCCCAAATTCCCCATCATCCCTCCTCCAATCCCCGGTCCCGGCTCCATCTATGGGCCAATGCTCGGTGGTACTTGGGAACGCTAACTGCCTCCAGATCCCTCTCGATGCAGCGTCCTCTTGCTAAATTGGCCGAGTTCCTGTCCGCTGTGGAGCTCCTCCTCACACTCACATGCACCTCCAGACCGTCTCCGTCCCTCGACAGTCTGGAGATATCGGGGTCTCCAAGAAAAGAATCTCCCAGGAGGCCTGCCTAGCACCCATCTCCAGCTTTTCCACCCCGCGGTATCCAATCACCTACATGTTCGTTTCCAGGTCCGTGGTTACTGGTCTGATGTCGGGGTTTGCGAACTGCGACGACGGCGACGACGCGCCATCATCGAAAAGGGAGAGCGAGTAGCGAGTATCGGCGTTCGTCAGAAGCCTCTGCTCCCTTCTCGGTGACTCTTGCTTCACTCTGTCCGTCGGGCCACGCCCGCTCCAACAAGAAAGCAAGCCAGTCACCTCGTACCATCTTACCGCCTGACTCGGTATGCGCCGCTGTTAACGGGGCCCCGAGTTCGTGACCACGACGTGACCAACAACAAGCCGCTGCCTTCGTCGTGCCTCCTGCGCCCGTCTCCAGCCTGCGCAACCAACTGCCCAGACCTCCCTCCCCCGGCTGTCGGGCTGTGGGTGCGTTCCGACCCATCCCCTGGTCGGCTCTCCGCCGCAGGTGCTTAGATTTACCTGTCAAGGCCGTGACATCGGCCCGTCTTTGATGACGGCCCCATCGCTAGCGACCACCCCCGGGAAATCAGTAACAGGCGCCCTCTTTTGGCTCTTCTGGAGTCTGCTGCCTTGCTTTCAAAGATCCAAAATCGTCTCGGCTTTCGGCCGAGTTTGGGACTGGTCTGGCTTCGTTAGAGTCTCCTCTTTCTTCCTTTGTTCTTTTCCCCATGGGCAACACACTGGCGCGACGCCGACCGCGTTTTCACCGTTCCACCTGACCGGCAGGGCTCCTCATACGAGCGAGGGGCCGCCGCGCTTACAAACCGGCGGACGATGCAGAATTCTCATCACTCCACGGGGTCTCCGGACCATCACGGCTACGGATCACGGCTACGGCTGCGCTGTCGGTCTCCGCTCGGAAGGATTTCTCTTGCCCTCTCTGGCAGACCAATACCAGAGAAGGCTGAAAAGAAAACAAGACCAAGAAGAGATCCAAGATTGATTCACTCTCTCCACAGTGGAGTGTATGTCATTAGATCACCCCCTGAATCACCCGGCCCCCGGCGGGAAAACCAGGAAAAAACACAGACCCAAGACCGGAAGAGAAGCCTGGAAGACTCATCGTGAAGAATCCAAGAGTGGACCTCGCTCGCGCACGATGGCAATCACGTGGTGTCTCGGCCCAGACCTTGAGTTCGTCCGCTGTTTTCCTCCACCACCGGGACCACCGCTCAAACACCAAACACGAAGTCTGCAATGCGCACCCCGGTCAAGGACCAGACCGTCCCATCCCATCCAACCCCCCCCCCCCCTAGGCCATCCCGAGTCCATGGACACGTGAGTCGCAGGGCCCGCATCGTGGCGGCGGCTCGTGTTCGTCGCGCGTTGGACTGATTTCCAATGACACCGCGCACGCACGATCATTTTCTCTTCTCCCATTCCAAATGCCCATGATCTCGGCGTGCTGAAGCTAACGATGCGACATGTGAGTCGAGCCAAACCATCGGATTCTAGCGCTGCGGTGCAATTGCCGGGGTTTTTGCAAAGTGCAAGGTCCCTGCTAGCCCCTGTTCGGACTCGCCGCCGAGCCTCGGATGTTGTAACCATCGTCATCGACATTCGTTCAGGTCTCCAGACCATCGAGCCGTTGACTAAGCAGTTGCTCAGAAGTGTCTGGACACTAGGCAAAGCGCTCTACGGAGATCTCGCAATGCTCCCGGATGGCAACTCAAATCGTCCACTCGCCACTCCCCCGCCGTTGACTGTCCGATGCAGCCCAGAACGGTCTCTGCTTGCGGGGTTGAGGCTCAGTTTGCGGTGATGAGTGGCCCGATCAATGAGACACTGCCGATCTGGGGTCTGGCCGCCACCCTCTCGCGCCGGCGCGTCGTCGTCGCACGCCGCCAAGCGCAAGCCGCTTACTCGGGCGTCGAACAAGCTATCGAGAGATCCAGTCCGATCCAACCCCAAGCAATAGGCTTCTCACTGTCACCTGCCAGCCACCCAGCTAGAAGGCGCGCACTGTCGGAGAAGGTTGTCAGCCATCCCGATTCTGCTGACCATCCGGCCAGCTTCCTCTCCCCGCCAATGGCCGTGCTCTTGGGGCGGCGTCAGGGTCTCTGGAGTTCGGCTGGCGGCGAGGCTATAGCCATTCAATTGGTATTTTTGCGTTGCACAGACTGACCGTATTGGACGTTCGACACCGCTGAGTGGTTGGTGTGCCACCGTTCTGGACCGCACCTTGCCTCGATGGAACAATTGGGGGGTCACACCAAGTTGTTGAAGCTCGCACAAGCGTGCGCCGGTCATCGGCACCAAGAACTTCGTTCAGGTCTGTCAAAGTTTTCTCTCCTAGTTGAGAAACTACTGAATTGCCGGTGGTCTTCCTGATTGCGGGGTTGGCGTTAGTTCTTGGGATGCGAAAGCTCATCGAGACGATGTCAAGTCCCGGGAAATGGAATCAATAGTCTCTTGATGGGGTCTCAGTATGATTGCGTAAGAGCAGTCAAGTGACCCTCTCGATTCATACTCCGCTGATGAGCAACGCACAAACTGGCGCGATGACACGCGACATCGTGAAAGAAGGACACGGTGCTCAAACCCGCGAGCCAGGCACACACGACTTGCTGAAGCAGCGGCTTCGACCAACTCTAACGCAAGCCCATCTGCCGGTGCTCGGAGGTTTAAAGTGGCGATTGCATGGTGGCGCTCTTGGCCGTCAAACATGATCATAGACGTGAGATCGAGAGATGATGATGATGGTCAATGTTGATTGCTCCCAACTAACCCAAATTACCAACCTCTGGTCCGGCTCTCGCCTGTGCCTGATTGAACAGCCTTTCCAACGTAGACCTCATCCTCTCCACATCCCTCGCCTCGCGACCCCATCGCCGAACCACCCTCAGCGCCAACCTGACCAACGCCCTCCAATTCGGCGGCGCCCTCACGGGCCCGTCCCGTAGTCTCGCGGCAAGAATCATCATTGCGCAGGAGAACGCCCTCCTCGCCACGAACCAACTGCCCCCGTGGCGATGGTGGTATGCAGTCTTGACAACCATGGCAGAGCACGTATCCACCGCCTTCTGCGCCAGCTCAACAACCCTGGCGCTGACCTCCCCGGGAGCGTGGAGCGCGCAGTACAGCAACGGCCGCAGCGTCGCCTCACGCCACCCCTGGAACCTGCCCTGCAGGTAGAACGCGAGCTCGTTGTCGGCGTGCCGGTGCTCGTCGAACTGAATCAGGGGCGGCAGGTGAGAATGCCTGTATTTGTGCTACCGTGTCAGCTCATCGCCGGCCGCTCCTCACCCTCATTTGATTCTCATTGCAAGACATAGGACGAGCAACTTACAGCTGCGAAATCTCCTTCTCGAACTCGTCATACTGTCGCACCAGGAGCTGCTCGTTCTGCAGCCAGTACGTCTCGCCCTTGCGGTACAGCACCGCCATGGTGTCTTTGATGGTGCGCCGAAGCGAGATCTCGGCGAGATAGTACAGCCAGCTGCGCTCCTCCTCGACGCGCTGCTGGTCGTCGGACATGGGCGACCACGCGTAGTAGTCGCCGGCGGCGGGCCTGGCCGAGGAGAGGGTCGACGGCGGCGCGGGGAAGGAGTCTGGGTAGGTGAAGTCCTCGAGGCCGCTTGATCTCAGGCCTAGGGTGGGCAGGATTTCGCTGAACGATGTCAGTGTGCTTTTATCCGACGGTGGGTTATGGGCTTTGGGGGATGAGAGCGGTACTTTTCGGCTTTGAAGCAGGACCAGAAGACACGTTGCTCGAGAGGCTGCGTCGGCTCTTCCCTGCCACTAGCTGCCCTCCACGGCCGTCTGCCTCTCCGGAGGAGATGCGCTTGGAGACGCGTCGATGCTTGCTGGATGTAGAAACACGCTCTCAGAGGGCGTAAACGACACTTTTCGTACATGGAAGCTAGGAACAGGCATTGGATGTCGAGAATGGACGGGCCTAGTAGACCGATGCGTTTTGATGCGGCGAGATAGTATGCATCTGCCACGCCGCAGTCCTCCGGCTCTATGATCGCGGGAAGGGGCATCTCTGCCACATCTTCCGAGGCGACTGTCATCATAAAAGGGGTATCTTCGACGGGAGGGAGCCATGGTGTCGTAAGGCAAGCCAAGGCGCAGGCGAGTAACTGTGCAGCAGTCAGCATGACATTATATCAAGGCGAAAGGGAGTTCGCACCACTAAGCATGAGGCTGAATCCCATCCCACACCGTGTTCGGCCGCCCGCTTTGCGTAGGTTACTAGTTCCCTGCCTTCGAGGATGGGATTCCGCGGGTGGACATGCATCAGGAACTTCTGGCACAGCGGCACGAATGCATCATCCCTTATCCCGGATCCCGCAGCTGCTCCGTATGAAGTCGACGACGGCCCCATCCTCTCCTCAACAGCTGCCGCATCATCCAGGTCCGCACCAAACTCGAGTATAAAAGACTCGATCCGCGCATCTTCCTCCGGTATAAGCCCATCAAAAACAGGCCAGCGGAGCATAGACTCGCACCGCAGCGCAGAATAAAGCGCCCGCGAAGTCTCACCGCGGTCAGAGGCCCCTTCTACGTCGAAACCTTGGTGTCCCGGCAATGGCACGGCGGCGCCGGTAATGAGCTCCGGTTGATACGCGGGATACGCGGCCGTCGGCGCCAAGCCCCTCGGTGAGCTCTGGAGCATTTGTTTGATCTCATCCAGTCGCTCCAATATCGCCGCACTGACATCTTCCTCGTGATCCCTCGCAACATTACCCCCATTCCCTTCTTCCTCGTCACCGTAGACACAAGTTGCGCGTTGCCGGCGGCAGAAGCCACACACCGGCCGGGCATTATCGCATTTCGTCTTGCGCAGACGGCAGAACTCGCACGCGGTCACGGCGCGCTTTCTCCGCGCGTATGCAGTTCCTCCCGCGGACTCTGTCGTCGTCTTGCGCCTCTTGTTCGCTGGTGGTCGTGGTGCATCTTCTGGCAACGGCGATGCGGAGGCCGATGAGGACGGTGAAGAGCTGGTGTTGTCATGACGTCGCCGTGTACGTCGCGATGGTGCGTTGGCGTCGGGTTGGGAGGTGCTGATGAGGTCTGGAACACGCATGGTGCGTCGTAAGCTGGCTAAATCGGAGGAGATCTGTGAGCGCTTCAACGAGTGAGAGTGAGACTGGGTGTGTTGGTGAGATGCGACGGTGCGGGGCTCCCCCGGACTTTGAGCCGAGTTCAAGTCCGGGGCGGAGGTGAAGAAAACGATGGGGCCCGCAATCACGACATCGCCCTAGTCCGATTCCTTGTTCCGGTGAAACTCTGCGGGCATACTGTTCTATCTCACTGTTCCGTTTTTCTGTTTGATTAAATCGATAGAGAGTGGAATGTAAGACTTGAAGATTATTAACATACAGGTGGATAGCATACCATGCTTTTGCCTTTTCAAGCAAACAAATGCGCCGCTTACTCTACTAAGGCGTTTTGGGATGATCACCTCAGGGATCCCCCAATCATCTCGCCATCTGCAATCATGTTGACCTGCCATACACGGCCAAGTGCATTTACCACTGACGACTCCCTTCGCGGGCGCGCGTACCACGCGAGCCGGTGCAAAAGTTCTTTTGAGTTGGGTGATGTATATGAGTCTAAAATCTGCATATTCTGTCTGAGAATAAGAATCAACTCATGAAAAAGCCATGAATACAGTCGCCATACTCGCGGTCACAGAGTCATGGCTAACCGTATGACTTGTCCACTGGACAGTGACAATCGATTCGGCCCACGCATTGCCTTTGAATGTCGCCCTTTCGATTTCACACTCCTTTTTGAAGATGAAATCTTCCACGTTCTCCCTGCAGCAATATTCCTGCTACTGATACCTGTTCGGCTTTTCTCGATCGTACGGACTCCAGTAAAATTAACGACTTATAAACTCGCTTTGCTGAAATTGGTATGAGATTCCCCCAAACGGGAACGAGAACTCACTTACACGACGGCAGGGTCTCTTGGCTTCGCTGGGTGGATTTCACCTCGCCTTCCTCATTGTCCAGACTAAGACACCATCGATCAACACAACACTCTCCCTCGCCTCGGGAATCTTGACCTTCGTTGCCGTCCTCGCGGCCTCGCTCCACTCGATCCTCGAAGACCAGCGCTCAACACGCCCATCCGATCTGTTGATTCTCTACTTCTCGGCCTCTGCGATTCTCGCTCTCCCACGCCTTCGGACGCTCTGGTTCATACCTTCGGCCAGCACGGCAAAGGCACTATGGACGGCCATCTTCATTCTCACAGCGCTCGTGGTACCTCTGGAATCAATTGGCAAGAAGAAGTTCCTACAGACAACGTACCAATCGCTCACCAAAGAGGAAGAGACCGGATTCTGGGGGCGCAGCTTCTTCACCTGGCTCCTGCCGTTTTTCCGTCTTGGTTACTCTCGAGTGATCCATATTCATGACATGCCCGAAGTGGACTTAGATCTCACCGGTGAAACGGCAGGCCAGGCTTTGGAGCTATCTTGGGCATCTCGCAAAGGCCAGAAACATCACGCCTTGCTACGCGCGAGCTGCCGTGCCTACCGCGGGACCATCTTCCTTGGGGTCGTCACCCGACTATTCCTCACGGCGTTCACCTTCTGTCAGCCCTTCCTAATCACAGCTACAGTGACTTTCATGCAGACCCCGAAAACCCCACAGTCCGAAAAGTACGGCCAAGCGCTCGTCGGCGCGTATGTACTCACTTACATCGGGCTTGCCGTATCGCGCGCAGCTTATTCTCGGCAGCAGTACCGCTTCACGACGATGGTCCGCGCAGGCTTGATCGACATCGTCTTCCGCAAGACTGTGTCCCTGAAGGCAGATCATTTGAAGGATAGCGCCGCGGTCACATTGATGGGTACTGACGTTGAGCGGATTGTGACTACTTTCGCAATGTTTCACGAAATCTGGGCCTCGGTTGTTGAGGTCGGAATAGCGGTGTTCTTGCTGCAACAACAGATTCAGATTGCTTCCATCGTACCAGTCGTCATCTCAATTGGTAAGGGCTGTTCTGGAGAGAGTTCTGCGCGCTCTTGAAGGCTAATACCTCTTTCCACCAGTCTGCGTTGTGGGAGTGATCCCTATTTCGAAAACTATCGGAAAAGCCCAGACCGTCTGGATTGAGCGACTGCAGAAGCGAGTTGCCGTTACCGCCACGATGCTTGGCGACATGAAGGCCATCAAGATGCTTGGTCTGCCCGAAGTCTTGTCCGGCGTTATTCTCCAGTTGCGACGCATCGAGCTCAGCGGGTCCGAGAAGTTTCGAAAACTTCTGCTGTGGCAAGTCCTTGTTTGTGAGACACCTCATCATCCCGAGACATTAGATCGCCTGCTGACTCCCGCTCGAAGCAAACCTGCCCAACGAATTCGCACCATTCGCTACGTTCGTCATATACAGCATCATCGCCTTAATCACCAAAGACCAGACTCTAACTTCCACCAATGCTTTTACCGCACTGTCTCTCATCAACCTCTTAACTGACCCGTTGCTGAGGTTTTGCCAGTATGTTCCCAACATCGTGCAGGGGATCGCTTGCTTCACGAGAATCGAGGCCTTCTGTCTCAAAGCCTCCCAGGCGCCGGAAAAGGGGTCATCTGGTCTCTCCGAAGTTGGTGTGCGTCGTACTAGCGACGTTGAACTAATCACACAGACTACTGCCCAAGCCCCAGAGGACATCATCACCTCTTTCCAGGATGCAACTATCTCCTGGTCCTCTGAGACCGACGTTGTTTTGAGTCATCTAAGCTTGCGTATCAAAAAAGGCATCACCATGGTTGTCGGGCCGGTAGGCTGCGGAAAATCTTGCCTACTTGAAAGTATCTTGAGCGAGACGACTCTTCATAGCGGCTCCCGTACCGCTCCTGTACTGAGCATTGCGTACTGCTCACAGAACCCGTGGATATTGAATAACACAATCAGGCACAACATCACTGGCGGGTTGGAATTCGACGCTAAATGGTTTGAGCGTGTGCTGTGGCTGTGTTCTCTCACGGACGATGTTAGGAACATGCCAGAGGAAGACGCATACAATATTGGAAGTAATGGCGTTGGGTTGAGCGGAGGGCAGAAGCAGCGAGTGGTAGGCTTTTACGTTTTTCATTTGAGAGAATCTTGCTAATCCCCATGGCAGGCCTTGGCTCGGGCTGTGTACTCTAGGCATCGAGTGATCATTCTAGACGACACGTTCAGCGGTCTCGACTCTAGAACTATTAGTCGGATATCGACTCGTCTATTTGGTCAAGATGGACACTTCCGGAAGAACGGTATCTATGTCATTCTCGCAACTCACACACGTAAGCAGTCGCAGCTCATCCGCAATATGTTGAGCGCTCGCTGAATCTTAACGGCCAGGTCACCTTCTACGATTTGCTGATGAAGTCGTTGTCCTTGAGAATGGCGGAATTCTCAGTCAAGGCCCCTACGAAAAGGTTCTCGCCACATCAGCAGACGTAGTCACATGCTCAGTGCCAGCAGATGACTCGGCAGACTCCATTTCCGAACAAGACACCGTGCCATCTCCAAACGTGGAAAAAGAAGGCAAAGTCGTCGTTTCCGACAACAATGAGGCCGATCGGCTGCGGCAAAATGGGTCGTGGCTAGTCTACAAGTACTACTTTGAGCAAGGAGGATGGGTCGCTTTCGGCCTTTTTGTGGCTTCTACAATAACGGAGTCTTTTTGCGCCGGATTTACAAGTAGGTCCGCTCCAACGCGGTTTGAAAGTCTAACAGACTTGCTCACGGAATTTGCGTTCCAGCAATCTGGTTTCAATGGTGGGTTGAAGCCAACGGAGAAGAGCCGAACCAAGACCTTGGCATGTACCTAGGGGTCTATGCTTTGTTGTTTCTGACCAACATGTTCGCGCTTATTTTGGAATGCTGGTAAGCCATTTGATCAAGAATCATCCCAACCACAGAATCACAACTAAGCTTGATAGGGTGATGTTTATCCGCATCATCAACAATACCGCGACAGGTCTGCATGCAGATCTCCTCCAGACAAGTCTAAAGTATGTATAATAGGGGGAACTCGCATCCATGGATGCAATCTCATACTGACAAGTCTGCAGGGCACCACTCAGCTTTTTTCAGTCAACAGATACTGGTTCCATTACCAACAGGTATTTGAAACGACTCCGCTTCCACAGTCTATCTTTCTCACAACCAGCATAGATTCAGCCAGGACTTGAACTTAGTCGACATGACTCTGCCGTCAAATGCCATCAACTTCTTCACCAGTAAGACAACATCGACACCAACGTGAGCTCAAATTTATACTGATCTTTGCTAGACTCTTGCGCATGCGTCATTAAACTCATAATTCTATGCGTCCTTGGAAAATACCTCGCATCCTCTATCCCCCTTCTCGTGGCAGTCCTGTTTTTCGTCCAGCGCTACTATCTCCGAACCTCGCGCCAAGTCCGACTTCTCGACATTGAAGCCAAGGCACCCATGTACACACACTTTCTCGAGACTCTCAAAGGTGTAGCGACCATACGCGCGTATGGATGGGAGAGTAACTTCGAGGCTCAGGCCTCGGCTCTTTTGAATCGGTCACAGAAGCCGCACTACATGCTTGCCTGTATCCAACAGTGGCTGGCATTGGTCCTGGACTTGGTTGTCGGCGCTCTGGCGCTCATTGTTGTTGCGATGGCCACTTCACTAACGGACAAGTTTACCCCAGGAGCCGTCGGTGTGGCAATGGTTCTGGTGCTGGGTTTTAACTCTGATCTTGCAGTGACCATTAAGAACTGGACAGCATTGGAAACTTCTATCGGGGCGGTGTCGAGAATCAGAGAATTCGCGAATGAGACACCATCTGAAGAACGAGAGCTTGGCAGCGATGGTTTTCCTCCAGCAGGATGGCCATTGAAGGGTGCTATCAAGTTCGAGAACGTCACTGCCGGATACTCGTGAGTCGCCCTTTGATTGGAAACACTGTGCAGCTGATAACTGACACACCCTGCAGTGCAGATACCACAGCAACATTGAAAAACCTCTCCCTTGACATTTCCCCTGGTCAGCGGATTGCCGTATGTGGGTCATCAGGCAGCGGGAAAACGTCACTTGTTCTCTCGTTGCTTCAAATGATCAAGGTCACAGATGGTAGGATCTTTTTAGACGGCATCGATCTTTCCACTCTGGGGAGGTCTGAAGTTCGTTCGCACATCAATGTCATCCCACAAGAGCCATTCTTCATGCCTGGAACTGTACGTTTCAACCTAGATCCTCACTCACGAGCAAGCAGCGAAGGAATCAAGACAGCTCTCGACAAGGTCGGGCTGCTAGGTAGGATCGGCATGGCAGGCGGCCTTGACGCTGAATTGGAGGCGGATGGCTTCTCGGTGGGCGAGAGGCAGCTTCTTGCGCTTGCTAGGGCTATCATTTCCAAGAGCCAGATACTGGTTCTCGACGAAGCTACAAGCAGGTAGGGTGTTGAAATTCTCATCTCACTTGCATGAAAGGAACTAATGCGCAATTTTCCAGTGTTGACCAGGAAACCGAATCCATGATGCAAAGTATCATTGATCGAGAGTTCTCTGAGCAAACAGTGATCTCTGTCATCCATCGCTTGCGATTTGTTGAGAACTATGACAAAGTCTTACTTCTGAATAGGGGAGAGATTTTGGAATGGGATACCCCGAGAAGCCTATTGATGAGGGATTCTGAATTCCAGAAGTTTTTTACATCGACGCAGAGCTCTCATTGAAAGAATACTAATCAGGAAACCACGTGATGATAGAAGAATAATTGAAGGATCCAATACCCTAAAACTCAATTATCACAATGTGCACATAAAGTCATTACGAGACATGGAACTTGAACACCTCCAGTTAGCGCTCTAAGATTATGGCTGTTCCCGTGGCTTACTAGAAGATGGGTGCAAATTCAGTCAAGGCAGATCATCTAGTACTTATGGACAACATAGGCACTGTACTATTAAATATGAAATCTTTCAATGTTGAACAGCAAGATAGCTGTACCTAATTACTGCTACTTTGTATACAAGAGTATCAATTAGCCGCGTCATTGTTAATCAGTTCCCTATCATCAGACTTGTCTGGCAGCTTCGAGACGGTTCAAAACTGGAGCAAAAGTTGAGGAACAGGATTCATGTTCTAGTGGTCAAGTTTAACTGAAGACTTTGCCAGTCAGAATCTCATATCCCGTCATGCTAGACGCATCAGACAATGACCTCTCACGGTAACGGCAATACCGCGCCAACAAATCTGGAATGGTGTCGAAAACTTCTTGGCCATAGATATCATTCAGCATGTACCTCCAGGCCCATGGCTCAGGGGAAGCGCTGGCTTCGTCATTCTCGGCAACCCTCCGACAGTAGACAACGTAGGGCCAACAATCACAGCCAGCGCCCGATTCCCATCCCGCGGCAAAGTCCCAACAACTGGCAACGTGCTCCTCCAGCCACTCTGGGCTCTTTATTGTGCCAAGAAGATACTTCTCAGTCTCGGTAGTGACCTGGATATACGGCCCGGTCCAAAACGAAGCTTGGTACTTCGATTTATGCTCCGTCTTGCCGGGTCCTGTAGGGCGCCGACTTGATTTGCCAGGAGGCGGAACTCTTCTGGAAGTTCAATTGTCTCTCGTACCTCCTCCCGACACGACCTCTTCAAGCCCTTTTCCATTACTAGGAAGTAGTCCTCGAAACGAGCTTTCTCCTCTTCGGAAGGCACACCACCGCCTGTCTCGTCCATATCGTAGATAGAGTATAGTTCGTCCCAGCGGGTGAGGATTTGAGCTGGTGTAGAGACGAAAGTCCCAAGCCGTGTGTCAAACATGGGCCATAGGCTTTGTATTCGCAGGTAGTCGATGTCTTCGTTACCCTCATCATACTCCTCGTCATCCCCTTCTTCGAGATCTGCGTCGGCGACTAGAGATACTAGTAGCTACAGTTAGAAAGGGCTTACTCCAGGGCATATTATGCGAACAAACGCACCGTAAACTTCGATAACACGACGATTATGGTTCGAGATATGGGATCTATAGGCCGCGACGGCGGCATTAATCTCCTCGGGAGTCGAGTACATAGTGGCAGGTCGAAATGGTTTCTTGAGCCTCTGCTGCTGAAATAGAGATCGAAATATGCCTGACGACAGGGCTGGTGGGCTTTACTGGGCTTTTTAAGCTATGCTGCTCTGGGCGCTGGTGGTTTGTATGGCTGCTGCCTGCGCCTGTGCCGCAGAGGGGACCAGCACCTGCCTAGATCGGTGTCCTGTAGGGGTGTTACAACCTAGGTACATGGACAGATGAAAAGCAGACATAAACGGTGTCAAAGCGCGAAGTATTGTATTGTCAGGACATATCAGTGTAGGACGTTGTGTGATCGGTGACGCTTGGGCGCGGATATTCTGATTCGTCGTTGTTTGAGATATCCCTTAGTTACTCTCTTGGCTTGGTCGATGCCAGTTCCTACTGTGCTACATGAAGGAGTACCAGTCACCCTTATCATCATCAATTGACTCCCCTTTGTCAGCCTTTTCCAACAGCTCCTGAACTGTCCAAAGCTTGAACGGAAAGCCGGGAACCGTGTTCGAGTTCTTGAAGTCCTTTCCATGAAGCAGATGGGCTGCGCAAGCCTCGTAGTTTTCGTAAGCATAGACCTCGGGATCATGCTTCAACAACCATGCCCCTGTGAATTTGGCAATGCTTCGGGGATTCTTGGCCGCCTCATTCCAGTTGGTGCGATGGAAAGCCTCCCTCGATTTGAAGCCTATCTTTTGAGCACAGGCTGTTCTCTCAAAGCTAGACTCATCGTCAGGAAGAAGGGCTCAGATGGAGAGACTGTCAGTAGCATAATGTGGGATTCACTCACCGGAGGTGGTTGTGAACCTTGGTGGCGATGTTAGCTGACTCCTTGCCGCCCATCTTTAGGCAGGCTGCAAGAGAGAAGGCATCCTCAAGGGCGGTTGTGGCACCAAAGCCGGATGAGGGCAGGAAAGAGTGTGCTGAATCACCGCATTGCACCACTCGACCCTCGTCAGAGACCCACTTTGGCTGGGGGTCCCGAAAGCGCAACTTCCAGTCAGTGGCCTCATTGTTGGGAGTGGATTTGATGACCTCGTGGACGATAGGTGCCCAGTCCTGGACATATCGAAGCGCTCCTCCGGAATCCACGACACGGTTCCAATCCTCGACAGCAGAATCCTCGTCACGATGCGTCAAGCCCCAACTGAATTCAGTGGGCGACAACCCGATGAAAAAGTGAGCCCCGGGACCAATGTGCAGAGAGGTCCACTCTCTCTTGTCTTTGAAGAATTCTGCAAGAGCAGGGCTTTCCAGTGCCTTTTCTGCGGGATAACTGGTCCTGTACAGAGCATAGCCAGAACTGATTGGCTTCTCCTTCGTTCCAGTCACAAGACTCCATGACTTGGAGCCTACACCATCTGCTGCCACGACAATGTCTGCGGTGAGCTTGCATCCGTCAGAAAGAATGACGCCACCAAGGTCCTCTGTTTCAAAGAACTCCTCAACCTCTTGACCCCTATCAATTGGAATGCCAATTTCGGTTGCATAGTTGAGGAGTAGCTCGTAAAACTCCCTGCGGCTAACCGATACCGTGGGAACGTCCCGGGAGCCAAGCTGGGTTCCGAATAGCTTCTGGCCGCTAAACTTAAAGAACTGAAACTCGGCCGAGATGGCAACCTTGTGCAGTCTGTCCATGAACCCAGGCCATCTAGACGGGGTATGCAGTCCGGGCGACTGAATGAAGAAGATCTCGCCTGACGACGAAGAAGTTAACCAACTAAGCCAAGCCATGTTGCTTTGTCACCAAACACCCTTCACTCACCGTAATCTCCCGGATTGGCACGTTTCTCTAAGACCTTGACAGTATGGCCCTGACGGTGAGCTTCAATGGAAAAGGCCAAACCGGCGATTCCAGCGCCAACAACCAAAACCGAAAGACCAGAGTCAGGAAGGCGTTCCATAGCGTTGGACTTCAGCTCGCTTCAACAAACTATGAAATATGAAGAATGATCGATGAAGATTTGGGCTGGAAATGGTCTGCTATGAGCACTTTCTAAAGATGAAAGATCGCGAGATGATGTGATGATTTTGAAAGAGAGCAGCAGGTCCTCTCCGTGCTTTGAAGGCCATCTTTAAGAGCGCACCAGCTTCATGCCCCGCTAGCTATTTCCCAAGTCCGGACTTTCGGACATTCATGAATTCTGTATTGGGCCGAACAACGAGGCAAGAAGGGTTGAACCTGTTCCCGGTCTCTCGCAAGATCTCGCGAGATAGACTCGACAACTCCTGACTCGAATGATCTGCTGGTTCCCGTCTTTTCGGAGTGGGTAGGTAGCGTAACGATCTGTAATGACCCAATCATGTTTGCAGCATGATCAGTGAACCTAGAGGATGAACCGGTGTTCGGTCTAGTAGTGATCCCGTAACCCCTGGTAATTCTCTCAAACCCTTGGTACGTGTACTAGCTTTACGTTTAGTACGAAGACGGTATCCCTCGCGTTTTGTCGTCAAAGGCGTGCCGCTGAGTAAGCTCGCGCGTCTATAAACGCGAGCTCCTACAAGCAGTACGCAACCTCAAACCATGCATGACAGGATGCATGGGATTCTAGAGTAGAATCTTATCAGATACCCCACGAAGTGACGGAAAACGCATAGACCTCACTGCCAATACGGAATAGCCAGACTTGAATGAACAGTGACGGGTGATAACAGTCTTCTACCAGTGTGAGGTTTTTGAGTCAAGGGCAGAGCTCAATACGTCCCTGTCAAGAAATACTATACTGACTGAGTGACCCTCAAACCTCCGTTTGAGTGACAATGCACTGCTAGAGAAGCATTGATGAGCATGTACTATCCCGAAACTCATGATATGGATTGCACAGCGTAGAATTTTAACTGAGTAACCTCGGTGACTAATTGCCTATTTGAGCTATCGCCGAAACAAGCGCGTGGGTCGATGCGATGGCGGCGTCGGGCGGCGCGATTTGTGCGCCGAGCTCCGTAAGTTCATTCTAAGTAGCTCATTTGCCTCTCTATTTGCAGGACTCGTAAGCGTGAATCGCATGTTTGAGATGTTCAATCATTCAGATTAGAAATTGATTTGTTTCCACCGAAAAGGAGTGTATGACGCTGGGCCGAACTTTGTAAAATGACCGGTCTCTTAGGAAGCAATAATCACAGGATGAACATATCCGTCAATTATTCTGCGGTGGTCTTTGGATGAACTCATAACGCCCAGTTGTCTACCTTACCTTCCAAATCTATGGTTGCTGTCATTGTGGGTAGCGTGATAAACAGCACTGCGTCCTAATCAACTCCATGAGTTGTGTCGGATGGCTCTAGAGAGATGGCGAAGTGAGCAAGGTCTCCGTAGCGTCGCCCGCCCCCCGAACTAGGCCGAGGCCCGAGACCCGCTAACCATTACATTAACTCATGGCTATTGCGCGCTTTTGACAGTGAGCACCTACAACACACTGCAGCTCTGTTCAAGCGGTTGTTACAGGTGTATCGAGACTCTGAAGCTAGACTCATACAACACCAGCGGAGAAAGACCGTATTAGACGTGACCTCGAAGAACTGCGTTCATATCGGAACTGTTAAAGATCAGATATTTGTCAATCAAGATGCGAATAACGCCTCGATCTGACTTAATGAATGTTTTAGTGTACATGGGCGGTTCGGTAAATGTCCAACGACATCTTGATGCCCACTTCATTTGTACTTGACGCCAATGCCTTTCGGCTGCTTGTTAAAAAATCAAGTTCTAGAGGAAACGACAGCTTGCTATTTTCTCTTAACTCGGCGTGAATAATCAAAGCTGTGGAGGGTCTAAGATTCTGCTCAATTTCGATGCTATCGAGATGATGCAATACGAAGAAGTAGGGTCCTTGTAGCTTGACTGTCAATCATAATACGCGCCGAGTAATTTGGCTCATGACGCGATCATCCGCGAAGTCTTTGAAGAGACACAATTGGCCGTGGTGGAGGTCATATCGCCGCTATCTCGCATAACTTACGCCACCGAGAAGCTGGAGAAGAGCCCGACGGATCAAGGAACAACTGTCAGACGCCGTGCCGTGCAATTGAGCTATGTCGTGAAAGTCGCAGAGAACAACTTTCGAGTCAATAAAGAGGAACATTCTTGCGGAATCTGGGCGAGCTGCGACCATCTTGACGAGATTCCAATCACCTCAGATATGAAGGCGTTGGTATTGGAGGCGCTGGAGTTGGCACGCGCACACACCGCATCAGATAAGTGACTTTGAGCCGGTCCCAAATAGCATCTGGGAGGTATGTTCAGGCACAACCTTAACATTTTGGTGGAAAGGCAGAACTAATGCCATTCGGAAAGTCTCACGTGCTTCAGATGTAATGAGTGGAGTGCATCGACACCGAATCAAAACACAAGGATGCATATAGAAACACTATCGTTCAAGCAGAATAAGATACGAAAGAAGCCTTCGTAATTGATCATCAGTTGATCTCATGGCTTTGTGAACAACATGCCCCAGCCCTGCAGAGGCGACATTTCAACCTTACACATCCTCAACATCTCCCAAATGACGGTCGCCACCGTATCAAATACAGGGACATTATACTCCTTTTCCCAGTACGCTACGCGCTGGGCTGCCCTCAGATTCGTGCAGAAGGTCGTAATCGCCTGGACACCCTTTCCCGCAACCTCGCCAACCATGCCGTCCAGCGTGGGTTCATCCACCGCCGCAAAAGTAGAATTCTTGAAGATCCGCAAATGACTTTCTTTAGCACAAGCGATACCAATGGTGGAGTATGTTCGAATGATGGCTTCTTGCACGTCATCCGTGTAAGGAGTAACTAGGCCGAGTTCCTTGACGCCAAACTCCTGGGCCGCCTTGTTCAATGCTAGTACAGACGTGGTGGCTGGGATCCCTGTGGCTGCTGTAATGTCGGCGCATAACCTCCCGTCCGCCTCAAAACCTAGCCAACCAGACGATGTTCCGCTCCAGCCGATGACGTCGACTTCGGCATCGGCGAGAAGTTGTGCAGCCGCAACAATGTTCTCGTTCTGAAATTGGTTCAGTCCATCTTTGTCCAAGCTGATCTTGAGAACTCGAAACCGGGAGAAATGAACCGACACGTTGGGTAGACATGCGATGATAGCCTGTGTGAGTGGTTCGAGACTCGTGTTGGATGAGGGGGTCAGAATCCCCAGGCGGACCTTTCGAGGCATGGTGATAGATGTCGGCGCTGGAAACTTTTGTACAACCGAGAGGAAATCAATGACAATTTGGTGTTGAAAGACTTGGTTCGAATTGAGTCAGTATTGATTCAGTATACCTCAGGATCAAGAGAGTAGAACGTGGCCTTATTGCACAGATGAACACTGGTTCGGATGAAGTCCCGCCGTCACCCACTTCAGGTATCGGCTAAGTTGGCCGATCCTCCCCGCATCAAGACCGAGTCGGCCCCATCCTATCCGTTGATACGACGTCCGATTTGGCTCCGATGAAGTAGGCCTATCGCCCGCGCTGGGTTGCTCTTATCAGCCGAACCCAGCCTATCTCCAGGAGGAATTATGAGTGGATCTTGATTTCATCCCCGCCGCACATTACTCCTTGGCATGAAGAGCCGCTGATGAACACCACATAAGCTGTACCTTTGGACTGAACATAGAAGATGACGCTTATCTTGATAGAATGATGGATAGAAACCTTCATAATGAGCTTTATTATCCGGGCGGATGCTTCCAGCTAACTGAGCGGGCCATTACCTATCAACTACATTAAAAGACGGTCACCTTTATAATTATCCCTATTATCAGTATCATCGTTATCGCCGCCGTTGTCATCGTTATCGTTATCAACGTCATCATCCGCGTCGTCGTCTTCGTGCTCACTGCTATTGTCCTGTTATCACTATCCGCCCGAGTAGCAAAAGTATTCACACTCTCACCCGATTTGGCCACCTTCATGAGCAACGAGTTATGCTCTGTGCATGTTGGTCGGCAGTGAGAAATTATTAGACAATCATTGCAATCAACCTTCTGTTTACAATGGGATTTCGTAATCTAGCCAGCGTCGCAGATCGAATCCCAAATTCGCCCCGGGAATTGAGAGAAGCAATCCGACTCAACAACTCCAAACCAGAATCCACGGAAGGCAAGTTCGGCCGCTGGTCGAACAAGGACCTTGATCCAACACCCCCCGAACAGCGGACTTGGAACTCGTGGTCGTTCTTTGCCTTTCAGTTCAGCATCGCATTTTCGCCTACCACCTACAATGTCGGTGCCAGTCTGTACGCCATTGGCCTCAATTGGTGGACGATTTTGATTGCATCCAGTAAGTTACTACCTAAATACCTCTAGATACCCATGTGTTATCGTCGGCTCTAACGCGTGGATTCTTCCTAGTCATCGTCTCGGTCATGGTTGCTGTTCTGCTGTACTTGAACTCTCGAGGGGCAACCTGGTGAGAACTTCGAGCCCACTTCTATGGATGCTTAGATCACTTAATGAACGCCATAGGTATCATGTAGGGTTTCCTACGATTGTTCGGTCTTCAGCAGGAATCTATGGTTCCCTTGCGTACATTGGCATTCGAGGGGTGAGATATCACAATACCTGGGTTCATCACGGCAGTAACTGATGGAGTAAACTAGATCGTGGCTGTTCTTTACACCGCCATTCAGACTTTGTATGCTAGCCAGTTCATGGCTGTAATGCTCCGCTGTGTGTTCGGACACAAGTGGACGGACATTCCTAACCGTAGGTTTCCCTATTGATATACTTACAGCGGCCTGTTCTCATCGTGTACCAGATCTACCAGCAACGGCTGGAATCACATCGTCGAATCTCCTAGCCTTCGGGATATTGTGGTTGCTACAACTTCCGTTTGCTTTTGTCCACCCGAGCAAGATCAACATCGTCTTTAGGATTAAATCAGTCCTTGCCCCAATTGGCTTGATAGCGACTATGATATGGGCATTGGTGAGCAAAGCCCTTCGCGTGAGACGCCTTAAACGCTCACATTATACAGATCTCTAGCCACGGAGCTGATTTTCAGGGCCTTAGCACCACGGAAGCTGCAACAGGGGCAGCTCTTGGATGGTCCTTCATGAAAGCCCTCAACACGATTGTGTCTAATGTGATACCACCACTGGTGAACATCGCTGACCTCTCTCGCTATGGGAGCCGGCCGAGTCAGACAATCCCCATGCCTATAGGTCTGGTGATTAGCAAGCCACTAGTCACCTTCATGGGCATGGTCATCACGGCCGCGGGCTACAAGCAATTCGGAGAGGTGGGTCATACAGCGAGACTCTCTTCAGAATTGGTTGTTGATTTACTTTTTAGGCATACTGGAATCTGTGGGACTTTTACTCCAGCGTACTTGACAAGTATTGGGGTCCAGGGGCTAGAACCTTGGTGTTCCTAGCTGCTGGTATACAGGTAAGGTCTTATGATTGAAGCCGGTACTGTTCACTTGTTGAACGTTCTTGCAGGCTTTTGCAACATTCGCCACCAACTTGAGTAGTAACTCAATTCCTGTCGGAAGCGATCTTGCGGGGATGTTCCCTAAATACTTCACCATCGTCCGCGGCCAGATACTCTGCTTCGTTCTGGTTTGGGTTTGTGGTAAGCTCAAGTTTATGCGAAAGGTACAAGCAGAACTTGAATGTGGTTGGCTAACTTAATTCATAGTCCCGTGGAAGCTCACTTACTCCGCCGCGTCGTTTCTCACCTTCTTGGGCTCATATCTTTGCTTCATTTGCCCTATCGTAGCATGCATGATGTAAGCGTACCTTGATTCTTTGTATCTTGCGCTGAGCCTTGAGGTTTTGAGTTATCTGACATGACCGTGTTCAGTGTCGACTACTGGCTCATCCGCAACGGCAATATCCACGTTCCATCGTTGTACTCAACGAGCTCCAACTCCCCTTACTTCTACTTCAAGGGATTCAACTTGCGCGCCTTTGGATCATGGGCCGCGGCCGTTCTTTTGGTCCTGCCAGGGGTGTCTGGAAACCTCCACCCTGGGTCAATCGGGCTCGCGGCCGTCCGCATCTACAACATGGGCTTTCTCCTATCAACTGTCACGGCGGGCGTCCTATACTATATCAGTTGCCAACTATGGCCAGTCATGGTTTACCCTCCGCAGCGGGACGGTCAGCCTAAGACATGGGAGTTCATGCGCCATACGGAGGGGTTCTTTCCTGGGGACAGAATGTTCCCGGCGCATCTGCTGGTAACTCCAGTAGTCAACGGAAAAGAAGTACTGGACACCAAGGATGAAGAGAACAATAATGGAGTGGATGCCAAGGGTGTAAAGGCTTAGATGAATGTGAGAAATGGTACTGAAGCAAAGTTCTGAGCTATTCGTATCGCCTGTATCATACGGCATGCAAACACAGGTAATACCATTAAAGCTTTACAGAAACTGCCGAATCCGGGTATTTCATAGGTCTTGCTCGCAAGCGAGAACTCTGAGTGTTTTTAAGACAACCTCGTCTTCACCGATCCCCTCCTGAAGGGCCACCCGCCGCTTCCCTACCCTCTCTAATCCCACGAGAAATGCCCAAACACAATTTTCAACTTGCTGTCGTAGGCCCAGAAGGAGTCAGGAAATGTTTCAGAAACGGCGGAGTACGTACACGCAGTCGAATGAAAGACGGGTTGATCGTACTCTGGATAAATCGAGAGATGTTCGTGCTGCCACTTCTGAAGCACTGGGGGGCTCCGACGACGAAGACGATGGTCTACAAGCCACATTGTTGTTTTTCCGAGATGTTCAATATCCGTCACAGCGTTCAATAAAGCCCCATTACATCACCCAGTGCTGGAGGTCTCGCTGACTCTCATCTCCCTCGAGCTCGTCACCTTCAGCAAATCTTTCGGACGCTCGCAGTCCCTCAGCAGTCTATGAAGGATCAAAGTCTATGGCCAGGTGACGTACGCCTCTGAAACCGTTCCGCATTACTGAGAAAGGCATATCTTCAATCAGGAGTTGAACATCCGGACTACAACCCCACGGTTGTATGTAAATAAGATCCCCCATCGAAAGGACTGTGAAGTACTGGTCTTCGCCATTGGTCTTGGCGATGAACGCTGCAGGCATTTCGGAATCAGGCCTTTCCTCCCGTGGGCGAATCCTGGTGTATGTGCACCGTCGCATGTCCAAGTAGAATTTCTTCATTTCGTCGTAGGTACTGAGCCAATTATTAGGTCTTAGCGGCGAAGCATTGCTGCTCCATACTCTTTGCACGCAGTCCATAGTTCCATATCCATGGCGTATGTTGACCGATTCTACACGTTCCAGGAGTGGAGGAAAGAGCTGTTCACTGGCAGCGGGGCCCCTAGAATTTGGCATGGCCGTTCGGGTACCGGCGGGATGAGATTTTGACCGTATATTTCTGGTATCGGAAAACGGCTTTGGAAGGCGGAGAAGGGGGAGAAGTAATGCACGCCACGATCACTTGTGCCGCGATCATTTGTGGGACGGGTTGCAAAATCCCAAATGGCGTTTCGAAGCTCGCCTGGCAGCGAGGGGAACCGGTGAAAAGTCGGCGCAATCATTGTCTTGATAGATATAACCATATATCGGAAAGGTGTGAGGTAAACGTGAGACTGAAGATGGGGCAGAGCTAGGGAGAAATTACTTGAATGCGGAAAGCAGAAATCGATAGGCGAATCAAGGACAAAGCCATTTAGACGGCATATATGTCCAAAATCATAAATGGGCTCTGCGTTAAAGTTGAACTTAAAGAAACACCTTAACTTATGTCCCACTTAATCCGTCTACAATTCACTAGGCGTTCACTTAGTCTGCTAAGAGTTGCCTTTCTTACTAGCCCGGGACATCTAATGGTTTCCTCCCATATATCGCATACCCATCCCAATAGCCATGCAGCCCCAAATTCTTCACATCTCGCCTCACATGTGAGCAAAACACAATAGTCTCCGACATCTTCCACTCCAGAACCCTCGTGAATAGCGCCAGACTCATCCCCTCTAACCCAGGCAATAGCGAAGCCTGCACCCACAGCCCCATCTCCTTCAGCTTCGGGTCCTCAGGCCACGGGCTAACGGGGAACTTGATCTTCTTCTTCACCACCCCCTCGAACCCGGCCTCCTCCATCATGTCCGCAAAAGTATGCGTGATCGCCAGGCTCCGCCCCAGCTTCTCGCACGCGTCCGTAATCATCCGCGTCCACTTGCTCAGCGGCATGTCCTCCGTGAGCGTCCCGTCGTCGCACTTGATGGGATACTCCGAGTCGTGAATCTCAAAGTACCCGCCCGGCTCGAGGCTCTTGTACGCCTGCGCGATGATCTCCCTCCAGTTCGCAAAACACCCAATCATGTTCCGCGCAAAGATGAAATCAAACGGCTCCTTCCACGTCCACTCCTTCTCCAAATCGTCCACCTCAAAGTGGCAGTTCGGCGGCACGTAGATCGGCTGGATAGGGCTCAGGTCGACCCCGACGACGGTCGCGTGCGGGAACTCGTCCGCGTAGTCCAGCGCCCAGGTCCCCGTCCCCGTGCCAAGGTCCAACACCCGCCTGGCCCCCTCGTTTTTCGGACATAGGCAAAACGCCCCGTCAAACGTCAGCATCCAGAGGTGGCTCACAATGTCCAGCCTCTCCTGCTCCAGGGCGTCGTTCGGGAACGGGTACTTGCCGTCCGACAGACGGTGGTACGTCCGCCCGTTCTCGCGGCGGTAGTTCAGGATGGTGGCCTGGAGGAGCGCGTCCGGTGCATCCCGCTCGATGGCCACCGTCGTGTCGTCGGCGTAGTAGTCCGGGTACTCCGCTGCGGCGGCTGCGACCGCGTTTTCCGGTGCGCTTGCGCTTGTCGGCCGCGAGCGCTGTGTTGTGCCGACCCGCCGGGAGGCCAGCGAGTAGTAATCCGTGGGTTCTTCCGGGTCGGACTGTGCGCGCCCTCCCCCCTCTCCAAAGACCGGCGCCGGCGGCGGGGCATCGTTGTTGACGGTCTGCCAAAAGTGGCCGGACATCCTTTTTTCTAGAAAGACTATTGGAGGGGTACAAAGCTAGCAGCAAGGCGTATGAATCGTACGCCGGGGGCGGGGCCGTCTGGTTGAGACGAAGCCGCTAAGGGAGGGGACGGTCTGGTAGGACGAAAGGCCGGTGCGCGCGCCGGAAACCACGCAAAAAAAGACCGATAGTTCATGAGAAAAGGGGAACGACGAGAGAAGGGAGGGGAGAGAGAACGGAGCGAGGATGGCCCATCGTCCCACCTACCGAGTCCTGGGAACATCCCCGCCATAACGCCACCGCCTCAGTTCGCCCGCGGGCCCTCCTCCCGGGGTCCTGGGGCCCAGGCAGGCTGCGTTGCGCGAAAGCCAGACACCCCGCCGCCCGAGTAAGGATTAGAAAAGCAGACGGGGAGGGAGACAGAGAGGGAGGTACATTTTTGGAGCGGCCTGGCTGGCGAATATTATCCCTGGAACGCTTATCCGCATCGGCGGGACCATGCCTCTCTCGGGTCCTAGCGTCACCCACGCCCCGCGGCTGTGGACACGGCGGCTGCATCGGCGCCGGAAGAACGTGGCCTTCCGGGCCAAAAATTCCCACGCTCCGGGGACTCGGGGATGGAGGCTCTACGGCCATCACCTCACGCTCGCGACGACGACGGAGACGATTGACGAACGAGACGAAACGAAGGCGCCCCGAGGCCCTCGCACATACAAACCGCCGATATGGTTGTCCGGATAAGACTTGCGCGCTTCGGGCGCGTCAACCAGCCCTTTTACAACATTGTTGTTTCTCAGGCCAGGTACGCCTCCTCAAACACCCCCCCAACTTGCGAATCCAAACTACCCACGCACCTGGAGGAGGAGGATAATGATGATGATACCGGCACCGGGATTTGGGAGGAAATGAAAGGATCATTGCGCAGAGGCTAACGTGTCCCCTGCAGAACCGCCCGTAACAGCAAGCCCATGGAGGTCATCGGCACCTACGACCCCATCCCCAGACAAGACCCGTACGACGCGACGACGAAGCCGCACAAGGAGATCCGCCTCGACTCGCTGCGTGCACGCTACTGGATCGGTGTCGGCGCGCAACCGACCGACACAGTTTGGAGATTGCTATCTATGGTACGGACTGTGCTCAGTGTCCACTACGTGTTGAGACATGATGCTGACCCTCCTACCCCCAATAGGTCGGAATCCTCGAGCCAAAATACAGAGCCAACGGCGAACCCAACACTGCGACTGCTGCCAAATCCCTCAAGGAGCCCGTTCAAACGCCGTCATCATAAAGTACCCAGATACGATCTTGAGAGGAAGCAGGAGATGAACCAACATCAGGCGATGGTAGGCAATTCGCAACGAAAGAACCGATATTTGCCACGGCGAGGCTGCCGAAAGGGGGAAGACGGCTTATCTAAAAGTTGATCGGAGGGCTGCTTGGCATTTGATAACAGAAACGCCGAGAATCCAAAAATGTACGAATATCAGAGCACCATCAGATGATGGCAGACTTTGTCGACGGAGACAGTGGCGAGGAGGCGCCAAGGCGGAAGCTTCAGATGAGCTTCACGACACATCATGTGGCACGATCCAGGCCTCATCGAGGATACGTCACTTTCATTGTACAACATTAGGATTGTAAAAGACCAAAATGTCACTCCATTGAAGCCATTTTATGCGCTACTCAGGACCGCCCGTGGCTATTCGGTTGGCCCGTCTTATCCTAAATTACCTCTTACAACAAGACGTCGAGAAATGAATTAGACGTGAGGTGCGAATTCGAGTAACGCCCACAATGCAGCCACCGCGCTGGTAAGGGGTTAAAGAAGGGGAAAATACCCCGGTGAAACGGACAAAGAAAACAAGCAAACCAACCAACTCCGAGAATGCGTGACGAGTTCCCGTGGGAAATTCCCGCCGCAATGTCTATCCCAAGCGGCCGTGTAAGGGCATTCGTATCATCCAAAACAACTCTTCCTCTAAACTCTTGTGTTTCGAAGGGGCAAAGTCTTCTTTTCTCAATGCGACGCGTGGAAGACAATGTTCATGATAAGGCACACAACCATGACGCATACGCCGTAGATAGCGAGTGACAGCGCAAGCTTGCGGAGCAGGTCCTGCTCAATGTGCTCCAGATCCCAGCGCCACTTGCGGTTCCACTTGCGGGGGTTGACGACAACGCTAGCTGCGCTGCCGAGGCTGGCGATGCTGTTGATCATTGTAGCTTCATCCTCCTCGTCTGAGGGGATATCGGCGTCGTCGTCCTCTTTGTGGAGACGCTGCTGGTGCACACTATCCGGGTCACTGATCTTGTAGTAGAAGAGACCTGGGAGAATGAAGCTGATACTGGTGGATCCAGTGCTGCCGACATAGGCAAGCACTCTCTCGAGGTTGTGAACCGACAAGGCGGTAATGTAAGAAAGAATGAGAATAACGCTGGTAAGGATCGCAAAGCGAATGTCGCTCATGGAAGAAGTAGACCCGTGGTCCGAGCGGACAGACGCCGAAGATGGTAGAAGAGGGCGGCCTCCAGGCGAAGTCGAACGGCCGTTGGCACCCGAGCTACGGTTGGGGCGCCACTTCAGAATGGCATCGATGGAGGCGCGGCAGGGGTGAACCTGTAAGGGAACCGAGAACGTGACAAGGACCACGATGGCCAACTGTCCGATGTAGGACGCGACAGTCGCAGAGTCTAAATACGTCAGAAATGACTCGGGGTGTGAGCACGCGATCACTTACACATTTGGATAATGTTGCCTGTAACGGCGTTGCCAAAGGTAAGGTAGCCGGTGATTGCTACGAGGATGTAGATGCTAGCGGCAGAGCCAATGCTAGAGCCGACGACGCCGATAATGCTGCCAGGAGAGCTATCCTTGATTTCGTTGATAATGGCAAACATCTACATCTTGTTAGCAAGAACCTAGAATCAAGTCCTGCGTCAAATGACGTACGTTCTGGTGGCACGTATACGCAAACACCACAACAGGCAGAGTACTGAGCACTGCTACGGTGCTCTCGGGCTTGACAACCCGGATGTCGCTGGTGTCCTTGAGCGGGCTGTCGGCAAAGTGGTAGACGACGAGCACAATCAAGTAGCCAATGGACACCAGCGCAACCACGCTGGTGTACTTGAGCGAATCCAAGCGCTTGAGGAAACTCAGCGGGATGATGACAAGCATAAACAACGTGATGTAGAAGTTTCTCTCCCCCAAGTACGGCCTAGTCTCCGCCAAGCCACTGAACAGCCCCAAGCAGACCTTGGGCATCAGGTCGCCGATGATGATCATGTAGGAGACGCCGACACCGAAGCATTTGATCGCAATGGCCGTATCGAAGAGGATGGCGGCGTTCGGGTAGGTAATTTTGGATATCGCAAAGAAAGACGACGATCCGCGGTCGAGGTATCGGGCGCAGCGAGACTGCAGGTAGAGACCGAAGGAGGCAGTGATGCCGGACCAGATTATTAGAAACACACCAAGCATTATACCCATATGCGACACCACCGAGGGCATCGCCAACGTCCCCGCACCGACAACTGTTCATTGCGCCTGTCAGCCGTGTGTCACCATCACCCCGCACATGCTTGAAAACGCAATCTCCGCGGGCTCACGCGACAGCACATACTAGTATTCAGCAGGTTGATGACACTGCTCATCATCGAGGCCTGGCCTCCTCCCTCCCTTCCATGTCTTCGGCGTGGTCTGCGCGCAACAATATCATCGTCAGCAAAGTGTCCCTCTTCTCGCATAGCCCTGCCTATTCTCGGATCTGACATCCGGGGCGGGTGGGGTTCGGCGTACCGTGACATTTCGCCGGAGCTTCCAGACGCAATTGAATTTGCGTTTCCATCAGAGATACTTGAGTAATTCGGCATAGTACTGCGTGCCGGGTGTTTCGGTCGTCGGTTGGGTTCGTTTCGAGGTCGATCGTCGCCAGAATGCGTCGTCTCTCGTGGGATGTGTGTGCGGCTGAAAGTTGGTTGGCAGTCGCAAGTCGCAAAATCGCCAAAGCGAGTTCTGTCCAGATAAAAAGTGCCGGCCAAAAGAGGAAGCCGGATACGGCGAGATTAGATAAAAGATGTCCACTTGGGCAATGACAACCAGCAGACAGTCAACAAGCGTAGCGATCCGGGGGCTTGTGATTGTCGAACCGGCAAAAACGGTATGGGAAATGGCAGGTTAAGAAAAACCAAAAAAAATGCGGTCCTGCTCGGGTTCCCGGCGTCTCTGTCGCAGACGGGCAGGCGGCTCGCTCAGCAGTCGGAGAGCGGAGAAAAAGAAGGCGTGACGTGAGGGTGTGCAGTGGAGGGAGGCAAGGCAGCTGTGACGTGCTTTCCTGCAAATCTCTGGAAATGTCTGGTCGCCCTACCGGGACAAACCTCGCAGGGTTCAGCGTGTCGGGACGTAGCGACCGAGTAATTCGATGTCGCGGCAGAAGGATGGGATGGGCGGGCAGGCCAGCGGGCGACGCAGGCTGTGGCTGGAGTCGGTATTCCCGTGGGTTGATCGCGATACGTGGGAGGGTGAGCGAGTCGGGTTTGTCGAGAGCGGCGGCTTGTTGGCTTCTTCGAGGCGTCGCCGTCGTCGCTCGTCGTGTTGGTTTTCTGCTGGCTGACTTTTGCGACGGGCAGTCAGAGGCGACAAGACAAGCCTGACTCTTGTTCTCTCGCTCCTCGCTGTCGCCGGCAGACGAGGACGAGCGTGAGTTGCGCGAGACTGACTTTTTGACAGCAGAAAGGTTGTGTTCCCCTCCGTCTGGTGTCCTGTTCTGCGGTTCTGACCTGATCTGACCTGGCCTGAACTGAACAGCAGGAAAGATGCAACGGCAGCAAGCACCCTGGGGTTCCCGCTGAATAAACGACAAGTTTAAAGGTATTAATTATGGACAGCTATCCAGTTTGTTGCGTAACATCAGTCGGGCTTGGGAGACGAGGGTCATACAGCGAAGGAGGCCACTCAGGCCAGGTTGAATTGTCGTTGATTTGGTTAGTTTTAGGTAACAAAACCGGAGCTCCCCGAGTGGGCAAACGGCTACTTCTTTAATTACCTCCCGCTTTACCCTCCCGTCTGTAATGATTAGGTACAAAGGCCATGCCACGTACCTGCGCTGCTGCTGCGCCGCCAGTGAACGCGCAGACGTTGGCGCTGTCTCGCTCCTCAGGCTCGACCTCACCTGCAACAGGGCCAGCCAGGGGCCGCTACAGGAGGCCACGAGGCACGACGCACACTGCACTCTCCGACTGTCCGCCCACTGTCCGCACCAAGACCCGACAAACGGGGGGCGGGCAGGAACGACAGGGCAGGCCCCATTCTTAGCGTTCACCCCCGGAATTACCCTTAGTCAATCTGGCTTGGCGCCATCAAAAGCAACTTGGACCTGGAAAGTCAAAGGAGGAGCCCCCCAACCTGGTCTTGGGCAGTCACAAGCCACACATCACCTGGCCCCCCATCCGCGGCACCTTGGACGAACTCGCGACAGCAAGCTTCAGCCACTCACAAACATCAGCCTTACTGCGCTAGACACCATCGCAGCAGACCTCGATCGAGATTCTGTGAACTCGGCCTCGCGACCATTCCTCTCGAGTGTTCATAATCCATACCTGCCACCATACCGTCCGCTACCCGGCAGTGGTCACCTGCAATCCACCAGACACCCCTCCCTGCGAACGAGCCAAACCACACTTCGACCCCCGACGCGACAACGCGCGTCCCGCGTACCAAGATGGACTCCTCGCTGGATACCACGACACTCTCGACAATATCGCTGCTCGAGTCGCGTCTCTTGCGCATCGAACACCTCCTGTACGGCCCGACCGCCGCGCCGCCGTCCCTGAACGCCGACTCCGCTGTCGATGGCCTCGAGGATCTCGAGCGGCGATTCAACCATCTTCTCTCCCGCATCCGCGTCTATGGCGAGCTTATGAAGATTTGTACGACGCGCATCTCCTCTGCAGGTTTTGATACTAATCTCCGCTAGACAACTCACACCCGACTCTCTTCCAACCCCCGCCCCCATCCGAGCCCCCCATCCAGCTGGGTCCCGAGGCAGTCCAAGCAACTGTGCTTGCATCAGCAGCCTCATTTCCTGCGACAGCCTCTTCACTGACCTCCGTCAACGACTGCCCGATCCCCGAGCCTTCCCAGAGTGCGAGCCTCGCGTCTCTCGTGCCGAGAATGCGCGGTATCGAAGCAACTCAGATCGCTCAAGAGGCTGAGATGGCACAGCTCAGGGAGCGGAGCGAGGAGGTTCTCAAGAATTGGTATCAGCAAGGTGTCCTTGGCGCCTCTGAGTTCGTGGCTGATGTGGAAGGCCGAGTGGAGCGGGCAGAGCGCCGAGTCCGGAGGGCGGAGCGGGAAAAGGAGGAAGCGGCGGCCATTTGAGACCCGGATGGAACCAATCTCCACCTGCCGGTGCCGACGCAGCCTTGTTCACCTCACAGCATTCGCGGACCGGAAGACGGCATGTTCCAGAGTGCAAGGGCTTGCGTATGCTTAAGAGGCTGCACATATACCCTCGACTCCGCCAGTGTCAACCACAGATCGTTCACCTGCAGAGCAATGCGGTCATTTGCCGAGCACGCATGAAACAAAGAGTGGCTACCTTGTGTCGATATCCAGTCATATTATTACGGTCTCCCGCAGGCCAAGTGTAGGACTGCATCACTCTTCAGAGACCGTTAACTCATGGCGCCATTCTGTCGGTATCGGCTGCTGATCATCTCGAAACCCGAGAAAGAGACGAAAGGCCAGTTTCTGCTTTCTTGGCGGTAGACGGGATAACGTGGTATCCGACGGCAACCAGCAGAGAAAGGTTCAGATTACCCACTTCAATCCCGAAGGTTGAGGGCGACGACTCCGACAGGTCTGACGTTGTCCGCCCGAACCTCAACGCAGGTTAGAAGTTAGACGGAAGTCAATGTGCTCGCTCACATCGGAGCAACAGTTGTGCAGACGGGATGGTCGGCAGGGATGCTTGCTTGTCTGTACGGGATTCGCCTCTCCGCGTTTCAGAAGCAGGTTTCTCCCAGTTACAGAACTGATGACTGAAGTCGACACCACACTGGGGCTGAAATAGACTCGGCCGCTAGTTCAGCAAACCCTCATCCACCACCCAGCCGATGGCTGACAGATGAAGCCCCGTAGCAAGTGAGGTAGTCGACAATACGAGGCCTCGTCGCCACCAAATTTGTGACCGTGGTGATTAGAGAGTGTGCAGTAGTGAGTGAAGTGACAGAAAAGTCGTCTGAGCGCCTGGGGTTGCATTGGGTGCTCGAATCGGAAGAAAGGTTGATCTACCCAACCAGAAAAGCTTGGCCTCGCAGGTCTTATGGACTGCAGCTTTCAAGGGGCCGTCCGTGACCAGTGGGCACGGATGATGACCTAGCTGGCAGTGGCTCCAGGCCCTTCGAAGCTGATGTTCCCCTCGGATGGATGATTATGACATGACGGTGTTGATGCGCAGGTCTGGCCAGAGGCAAACTTCGGTTCCGAGGCGACGACGTGGCGTTGCTGATTCTTCGTGCCGGCACAACCGCTACCGCGGCACGGCACGACGGCCTTTTCTTTTCCAAGTGGAATAACTTGCCATGATCGCGAGGGGATTGGCCTCCACAGCGGCATTTGTACGGATTCCATTTACCCCGCGTTCTTCACTACCGGATCAGCAGGTGTTTCCTTGATTTTCCCCCCAGCTTGCTGACGTGTCAGCCACACGAAGAAGCCACTGAGGCGTTGGGTGCATGCAGAGGGGACGAGGCCAACCGCTGGTTGACTTGATCTAAGCGAGGGTCGTCCAATGGAGCGCGCAGCATCGCTTGAGCTTGGTCGTTCGTGAGAGCTGCAGGGGTCGGGGCCAGGGTTGTTGGTTGCAGGAGGGGGCTGTGGTAGAAATTGTTAAGAGACACAGTGTGCTCTGTGCTGACTGTGTCTTCGTTGTCTTTCTGCAGGAGCCGTGATTCGCAAACCGCATTGCCAGTGTCAATCAATGCGGCGATTCATAGATTTTAGAGGCCACACAAGATGTCTATCGTGCTGACGAGTAACAATGCAGGTTGCTGGAAACCGCCGTTTTTCGTGTAATTGTACAGGTGCTCTGCTCACGAGATCCTTCGATACGTCAAATATTGACCAGAGACTTGGCGCTGCAGTTGACACGAACATCGGAGATGGATGAATCCCAGCGCGGTAATAGGGTGGATCCTAGGGGATTTGAATCATGAACGGTCTCGGGACCTTCGGGCTGCATGAACACCACGAACATCATATGCGCCGCGGCTCAGAGCCGGCGAACCACTAGCATATGAGCACAAATACAGTTTGCGCGCGACGCGGTTCGCGAATTCTTCCTTAATGCCAGCGACTAGGCAAAAGGACTCTGTCAGAGACGCCGGCAGCTTTGTGGTCCGTCGATGTGCAGCGGGAGCGAATGCTTCAAGCCCGGTCCGGTAGGTAGTGACCTAGAAGCCGACCAGCACGAAGCGCCGAGAGACCCGGCGATCGGCCTGACGGCGTGTAATTTCGCGGTTAAAGGGTTTCCAAATTTGGACCAGGTCGAGTTAAGCGAGGCCGAGACTAGCACCGTCGGCCGCGAACAGCCAGATCTCCAGAGCGAATTCAGCGGATGAGGCTCTGCCAGAAGCGTTGTCAAGGTGTTGCTCCTTCGTCGCCCGTCAGCAAAGTGTTTCGCAACCGGTAGTTTGGTCGGGTGCTGATCAACATGATCTCCGGAGTTCCCCCCAGACTTGCGAACGCATTGGTGAAAAATCATGGGATGAAAGAAGAAAATGCGAGTCAAGTGCTGTCAGTGACATTGGGCTGGGTTGTGCGCTCATCGTCAAAGCAGCGTCTATCCCAGGCCGAGGAGGGTAAGCTCTGGATGGTGCTGCACGTATGCTACCAGCAGTAATATCACGAGGCAATGGTGAGGATGGTCGGTAGCGATGACGATTCGAAGGTGTCCTCGAAGAAGCTGGGAGGCTAGTGTGACTTGGACAAGCCATGTTTCGGGGGTTAAGGCATTTTCGGTACTTGATTGTCTCGTTGTTGGGCGCTTGTTCTGCGAGAAAAGACATGGCCTGCGGCAGATGGTGTTACGGCTTCTGTGGTCTCGAGCGTTCAAGACCATGACCTGCCAACCGCTGCCTGCGATTAGTCTCGCTGTAGGATCAACCAGACACCAACCAGGCCGGGGTAAATGGCGCCGCAAACAAGCTGATTGAGCAGAAGCCGAATGTCGCAGCGCAGATGTCATCCAGCGGTGACAGAACCGAGCTCAAGCGCGGGCAGCGGAGACCCGCCGCGTTCCTGCATATCAAACGGTATCGAGTGCAGGACTCGGAGCGTGAACCAGTCGATCACAGGGGCGCTGGCAGCAGCACGGTATCAAGTGGTGGCATTTGCAGCTGTCAGCACCCTTTCTCGCCAGCCCTCAGTGGACAGATGGACAGACGGACTGGACACGGACAATCGGTCGTCAAAGGAGCCGCAAAGCCCGGGTGGACAGAACCCACAAGCAAGTGCGAAGATTCGAGGACGGGTGAGGGTCCGAGGGTTGAGACTTGGGACTTGAAAGGCGGGTATCGGATGTCCCCCGTCACGGGTACGACTCTTCAGCGCATCAGGCTGTCGTTTTTGTGCTGAGCATCTTCAGATTCCGGTCAGTCAGCGACCGCATCGGGCGAATGCATGCTGATCTCTGCCCGCTCACGCGGTGAAGGTGTGCTGGCGATGAAACGGCAGGAGAGGCGGGCGGGAAAGTGATAGGACGCCCCTGCATCCTCTCTGTGTCGACTTTGCTGTGGAATGTGAAGACGATGGGAGGGCGGTTCCATTTTGGTCGTGAAGGCGATTCGCATTCGCAGCCGGGGTCAGGTATGCGAGGCAAACTAAGACGTCAACCAGTTTGAATTCGAACTGTTCGGATAGCCCATAGGTATGGATTGCCATGATGAACCAGAACAGGTGCAACTGAAAGTCGACGACGACGTGGAAGGGACGATCCAAAGGTCTGGCCAAGTCTCCGCTCAGGCAAGGCAAGGCAAGCGGCAGCAGGCAGCGGGCAGCCTCAGGGCCTCGAGGCTTCAGGGCTGAACCTGAAGGGAAGGGAGACACTGAGAAAGGTTAGTTAAGGTAAGAGCACCCGCCGGAACGTGCCTCGAAGAGCGGGTCTGATTCAGGGGTTAGCGGGCGTGATGGCCAATCACCAGAGTCATGCCGTGGTGGTTGTCCAATTGGTGTGGTGGGATGCGTTGCAGGAACCAGCAACCAAGAGAGTCTAGAGAAGACCAAAAATCTCAAACCCTAGCCTCGATGGCAATCAGGGGGGCAGGGACCAACGGTTTCTGGGGCACCACTGCAAGGTGAGGTGCCTTACCTGGTAAGTACATTAGGTACTCCGTAGGCAGGTGGTGGATATCGTGAGAAGACACCGGGCCTTTTGCTTGTGGACTGGCGGGAGATCCTCTCTTGTTGCGTGCTTCCTGTCGTGTACTACTAGGTAGCGCGTTTTACTCCATCAGAGAGGACCTGTCCACGAGGTAGACCTTCCTTGCTGGCCCGGTAGATACTGAAAATGGAATGAGATGGATCTGCTCGAGGCACGTGCCGTCTACGGATACCGTTCCACCACCGTCTCCAACAGCACACGGTGCCATTTCGAGATGTTCAAACGGTGTCGCTCATCAGACAGCACCCGCGTATGCCAGAGCAGCCAGGCCGGGTCTCCCATCCTTCCCGTCATAGCCCTCCGCACTGCAACGAGGATCGCTGGTGGTGGTCACAGGTGTCTGTCCATCCGAATGTTCGAACAGCAGCATTCATTGGCAATGATTGCTGCTCTTATTGATTTCTCTCCATCGGACGCCCTGGACGAGTCGATTTAAAATTTGGCTCGTTCCGGACTAGCGTGGGTGCGACACGCCAGCCTGGTCCCGCTTCTTTTTTTCTGTGCTCCTTCCACAGTGGAAAGAAGGGCCCAGGCACGCTCCCACCTCACTGCTGACGGGATGCTTGGTGCTGCGGCTGGCCTTGCTGGCTGTCCCATCGCTGTTGCTCGTCTCGCTTCCCGTATTATCGGCCCCAGTCCACGTTCTCTGCGTCTCATTGAGTCTGGATCCCTTCTCTTGGTTTTGGGTTTCCACTTGCACGTTCATTTAATTAATGTCCACATCCACTATGCCGTGCGCACACTTTGTATATAGTGTAGAGATAGATGATCACAGAGGCTGATAGACCAGATGGAAAGGCATGCCTGGCCTACTGGGAAATTCGGCATCAAGGGAGGGAAATGCAGCTGGAATAGGGACAATACCTATGGCACCTTTGCAACGTACAGTAGCAACATACAGACACACTCTTCCATTGCTGCACCTCACACGCACGCC